TCACGGTAAACCTCACGGTAAACCTCGAGTTACCACCAGTTTAATTTGGCATTTTCCCCTTGTCAGTCCCACTCATGTTCTTTTTATGAAAGTGCAACTTTAAGTTCTTTCATTACAAGACCTACAACTTTTATGACTTGGAGGAAAGACTTCAATATGAAGTCAATGAAGTACAAACTACAGAATGTGCTCAATAAAGCCCTAACCCTAAAATTCAACAGAAAGCAACAAAGGTAAAAAGTTGTTGCATACAGTTGCATTCTAAATAGCAGGCAACTCAAGACCCCGTGCTTGTTGCATCTTGTCGCATTTAGCAGGGTAACTGTTCATAGTGCCAAGGCATTACAACAGAATCCACTGTTGCATTTTGGTTGCATTAAGCAGGGTAACTGCTTGGTGCCAAGGCTGGTATGCACTGGGTTGCATTGTTCGGTGATCACTGAACGCTGCAACATCCACTGTTGCAATTTGTTGCATTCGACAGGGTTCTATTTCAGCCAAGTTGCATTTTGTTGCATTTGGCAGGGTGCCTAGAGAAAAACATGTTGGGGGTTAGGGATAATGTTTCTTGTAGTTTGATTTTTAACATACCTTGACTGGAAACCAACATCCAATACAATCAATGCAACAGCATCCAAAGACACCACATGCCTTCAAGGCAAATTCTCGTTATGACTACGTTGTGTAACAACTTAAGCTAGGGTCAGGACTTTGGTTAGTATGTGCAACATGAGTATTTTAGATTCTTTATAATGTTCATACCTAACTTTCATAATTGTTATTTGTGATTTTAACTGTCATAATTTGCCTCGATCCCCTTGTTGTTTTATGCAAACAATCTTTTGCATTTTAATTTAGATATTATAAATTGGATGAAAATATTTAGAACCTGCCAATATGTATGATGTTCAATGCACGTGATCATCTGATGATGATTCAATTTTGAGTTCAACATTTGCCAGCCATGCAAAATGTCTACATGACAGTGCATCTTTATTATGTAAAAACATTTGTTCATTATTCAAATGTAGAGTATCCATTCTGCAGGTTTTGACACACATCTGGTGGATAATACAATATAAACTAAAACCCAAAGCCGCTGACCCTAGATACCTCGGAATCATTATGCTCAATAAATGACAAGTCCGGATAATATCAATTGCTAAAATATCAATTAACGTATTCATCATGTATCTGCTGTGCAGTTACGTACAACAACATAACGATAGAAACCAAAGTTACATAAGCCTCGTGGACAATAAATGTACATCTTCACACGTCATCAAAGCCCATACATGCATCTAAATACATTACTTATAAAGGTTGTTAAAATACACGTTCCCCTATCAATTGTTACAACCTCTCCCCTACTGGCTGCCTCTCTTCTTCTTCCTTAGTTACAAGTGCAGACTTCATGACTGAAGAAAATCGCACTGCCAGAAACACCGGGCGAACCCCTTCTCTTTAATTTATAGCGATAAGTGTACTGGGTTCTTTAACGTGCATTATAGAACACACGGGACCTACGGCTTTACGTCCCATCCGAAGGACGAAGCAATAATGGTTAAGTGCCTTGCTTAAGGACACAAGTGTCCGCCACGCCACTGTTGCCTATGAAACACCAGAGCATGAGTCTGGTGTTCTTAACCGCTAGGCCATGACACTCTCATCAGGCCTGAGTACACAAACAGTGTACATCATATGTTATTTTGGCTGGTAACCTATTCTGGATAAGCGAATATATTCTGTGCTTGTGCTGAAATCCATTTATGTGCTTAGCTCCAATGTAGTGTTTCAGTTAAAAACAATTCCACTTAAAACTCGGGGACAAGCCCACATCCATATGCAGGATCTCGGCACTGTTTTGACTTAATTGGACTTGTAGCTCTCTAACTATAGGACATTGAAAAAACACTGTGACATCACTTGACCAGTGATGACAACATCATGATGTTTCTTCAATTTTCATTTATAACATATCCCTGTCTATGTACATACCAAGTTTGAACCCAATCAGAAATGTAGTTCTATAGATATAGGACTTTGAAATATGCCCCAACACACAACGTCATGGTGACATAAATTTTGAAGACACAACTATGTTACAGGGTCTTTCTCTCTGCCCAGTTTTTTTTTTGGGGGGGGGGGGGGCTGGTACCATCTTCCAAAATAGGGGGCGCTCTTCAAAACTGACCATTATGCAAACCAAGCATTATGTGCCCATTTTCAGGGTGCATTGTAAGGGTTTAGGGGGCTTGGTTTTCATTTTCCTCGTTCATATCAAAACTCTTTATTCCATTTTGCGAAATGGTAACTGAAAACTATCATCCAAAATTTTAGGGTCAGTTTTGTTTTCATCTGAAGGCAACTTTCAAGCATTTCAACTGCACAGGTTTCAAATACTGAACAGTAATGCCCCTCTCTTTATTGATAATTCCCAGAGTCACTTTCGAAATTTCACATTCGTGACCCATTGTAATTTTTGCAAAACAGGCTGGTTGCTGTTGTGATTTTGAATTCAGGGACCTATGCAAGTCCTGCATATCATTCGCATACATAAGAGAAAAGCCTCCTACTGTTTCAGAATTCACTGCTAGCTACCTGTCCCTATATTTGAAGTCCGAAAGACAATGGAGTCAGGGAACCAGACTAACACTTCGGCAACGAATACTTGTAACTTGTTACTTGAGACTAGACTTGACAGTGACTTGTGATGACTTGGATGTCACATAATCAGGGATCCAAGTTTTCTTGAAGACGACTGACCCCATATAGACACGTTGTCTAGTCATCTTTGTGTTTTTTGTGTGTTATTTTAATTCAGTAACAATGAATGCACAAGTCATCTTTGTGTTGTGTACCCCCGTGGGGCAAATGTACACAACACGAAGATGGCTGCAGCGCAAACTATTCAAAGACAATCAAATCTGTAATTACTTAACTTAAAAGACTAAAACCAAAAGACTATACCCAACATACCACTATGTATATTGTTACTAAATAAATCTGGCAGTTTTACAAACAGGCACACAATTGGGAAGTAACATCAAAAAAGAGCAAATCCTAAACTTTACATATAAGAATATTTACAGTGTTTTAATTTTTAATGGCATACGTGTGATATGAAAACAAAGGAAATCAGCTGATCCACGGAAAAGTTGTTGCATGCCTGTACTCATGTTTCGCGTAGTGTGTGCGTGTTGCTCCTTTTTTGCTCATTCCAATTAGGCAGATTAACTTTACATTTAACTTTTTTAAAAGTAAATTTACGGTTTTAACAAAAAGGTGTTTCTGCCAGATTACATGACTTTCTATGACAAAGAAATTTTTATCAAAGGAATCAGTCATGAAATGTTGGCAAATTTCGGCCAATTTGTGAAAAACCACATCGTGAACAAGTACAATATAATATGCAACAGATCTCTGCATAAGCATTTTTTTCTTTGAGAAAAAATGTAACAATTTAACAAGCATAATTATGAAATTGTAATTCAAATTATGCTTGTTTACCCCATGGGGATAATATGTAAACAACTAAATGTGTGGTGTTTTTTGTTTTCATTACATGCATGCAATTACATGGATAACATTCATATATGTAATACAGGGTGAGTAAAAAAACCGAAACCCAAATGTCTGGACTATTGTTTTAGTGAAGTTCCGCATGTAGCACTTTCAAAATCTAGGATATGAAAGCCCAATTCATAAGCTTTCTTTTAGTACAAGAATCATTCAAATCACTCATGTACTTTTCAAGTTACAGAATTTTAAACACAACCACCATTTAAAGTTCCGTCCACGGATCACCAAAAAGGTGTGCGTTCTTTCAATTCACACACATCCCTATCTGATTTGTTTTTGTTTTGCTGAAAGAACACTTAACTTTTTTGCGATCAATGGACAGAACCTTAGAACAATAGTTGTGTTTAAAATTCCGTAACTTGAAAAGTACATGAGTGATTTGAATGACTCTTGTACTAAAAGAAAGCTTATGAATTGGGCTTTCATATCCTAGATTTTGAAAGTGCTACATGCAGAACTTCACTAAAACAATAGTCACGACATTTGGGTTTTTTTATACTCAGAAATCGTGATTTCTACTAGAATATCTAAATAACTCAAGAAAGGCATTTGGCTTGCCACAAGTTGTCACTCAATAACTGTACAGTTAACGGCTATCGTTTCAAGGATCTTTACAAATGAGAGAACCACGAACCAATATCTACAAGTAAGAACTAAATTATTCTTTACACTGCTTTTTTTTGTATAAGGCTCAACCAAAATATAAAATGAACTGACTACATATACTACATTCAAGGCCCTTTTTGGACAATGCCTTCATGTCCATCTTAAAGCTACAGTCCATCATTTGCAGCTATCCAAAAAGTCACTGGCGTAAATATTGTTGAAAAGCATACTTGGGTGAAAGATAGTAAGGGGACTAAACTCCCTGTGAAATATTTCTTTCTGGCATGCTGTCAGTTTGAAGAAATCAAAGGACAGAGGCCTTTCCGACGATGTGTCTGAAGATGCGTCGTTGGAAATTTCCATTAGTAGTTCGTTTTTTTTATTCGGCGAAGCGCACACAAGCGTTGACACGACGCACACGCGCGGTTGCTTTAATTCGTCAGATCAGTGTGCGACATTGCGTATCTGCAATCGGCTCAGTGAGAACACGTCTCGGACGCTGAAAACAGGCCCAATTCAAAACATGATTCAGCAACTTTTGATTTGAAATCGAGATCCTAGAATGTTGTTTTTCTAGGAGTATATATAGCTGAAGCTGAGCTGAAACTTCATCAGGTTAGTTGTTCAGCACCCTTCTTTAGATTTTGAGCATGTTTGTTGCTTCAAACCAACAAAATGTACAAATTACAAATGATGGACTGTACCTTTAACCAGTTATATTGTGTATACATGCAAAGGTTTGGCGGTTTTCAGACCAAATGATGGATAAACACCTAACGAGCGAGGCCGGAAATATCTGTCTGCGACCCGCTCGCAGCGAGCGAGGCCAGAAATATCAGGGTGTGCTACCTGCAGATGACGGCCTGAACCTGTCTGGCATCGAGGTTCCTGAAAACAACCCAGCGCCTGTCCAGTCTGGTCAATGTCAAATTAATCCTGGCCTGAACTGGTTAAATGAAATCAGCATAATCAACTTTTAAAATGCAATATTTTTACCTATAAGCAATTCTTCACAGTGGAGATATGGTTTAATGACAGATTGGGACGATAGTGCTCTCAACATGGCATATGATCAATACTGCAATGAATCCATACTGGAGAGTGATGTTAAACTCACCATTTCACCCCATGCTGCTGTTATTTCCGGTACATATATTACTCACTTATGACCTGCAGAATGGGAAATGAACAAAAATACAATTCTTATAATATGATACCTTTGATGTATTTTACAAGTAGCAGGTATTCCGATGAAACTTGACACATAGCAAGTCATTTGATCATGTCTTGGTTTGTACAAACTTGAGCATTTTATATTTTAACCCTAACCCACCTCAGATCAATCCTCCAAAATCCTCATTGCAGTTTTGGAGGATTTTGAGGATTGAGGATGAATGGTGTTTGAGAAAAACGATGATTTTAGAGGATTGAGGATGAATGGTGTTGAAGCACATGAGGATTTTGGAGGATTGAGGATGAATGGTGTTTGAGAAACACAATGATTTTTGAGGATTGAGGATAGATGGTGTTTGAAGATGAGGAAGATTTTGGAGGATTGACGATGAATCCATTTTGAGGCAGGACTGTCTGATGATTTTGAAGGATTTAGGCGATGTTGCAAAATTTTGGAGGATTTTGGAGGATTGAGGATGAATCCATTTTGAGGCAGGACTGTCTGATGATTTTGAAGGATTTAGGCACTGGTTATCCTTCATTTGAACATGAGTGCAAAATTTTGAGATGAGGAGGATTTTTGAGGATTGACGATGAGGAAGGACTGTGTGACGATTTTGAAGAATTTAGGCGATGTTGCAAAATGTTGGTGGATTTTGGAGGATTGAGGATGGTTCCTAGCAAAAAGGGCCTAGGGGGTTAGGGTTAACCTTAACTCCATAGCATGATTTACTAGGAACCACACACATATTTCTGACCCAATGTCAAAGACTATCTCAGGTATTTAAGTTATTAGTCATTTTTTTGAGAAGTAGGAGTAAAGAGTTTGCAACATAGAGTCACTACCTGGATGATGACTGTCTGTTTGTGGAGGCGACGCCTGAGTGAGGTTACGCATGCGATGGGCCTTGTATTTCTCCAGTTCCTGTTGCTGAAGATGCTTGGCGATTGCTGCATCATTCACAGATTCCTAGAATACATAAATACAGCACAATTTTAATGATAATCTTATACCAGAAATAAATTTTAAATTAGACTTGGCTAGCCTTGTAAAGCTGATCGTAGAGAACACAAAAGCTCTGTTTGGCTGATCCGCAATGACTATTGACTGGAAGTCCTTTCATGCATCTGGTTTACACACTGGGCCGGATTTAATAATAATAATTTGGGAGGCTAATCATCCTTACTCGCAGCCGAGAAGCTGAATTGCGAAGGACGCGGCTATAACGTGGTCGAGGCCGAAGGCATGTAAAGGTGCCTTTGGCAGCCGCCATACGACCCATGTCTGATTGCAGAGCACAGCCAGAGATCAAAAGACTTGATTTTTGCGGAAGGAAAACCGGAGAACCCAGAGAAAAACCCATGTGGCACAGAAGAGAATCAACGCACAACTCACATATGGTCCGAGCCGGGAATCAAACCCGGACCACAGTGGTGAGAGGCAAGCACTTTACGCACTAGCCGTCCCTGGCCATTCTTTCACTGACATTACGGGGTAACCCCATACGATAGCAATATAAGTACGACGAGGATAGGCTGGCTCTCTGGGACCAGAAAAAGGTCAGTCTAATAGAACAAATCTAATAAAATAAAACAATCCAATCTGATCTACAATCTAACAAAACAAATTCATGATAACCAGAGCCACACCCTTGGACTCACCGCCCCAGCCATGACAAACTCGAAATTAAAAAGTGGCTTGACCTCCCTGGCACTTTGGTGTGCATTAACCCTAACCCCTTTGAGCGATTTACTAGGAACCTTCCTCACTCTTGCAAATACCAACACCATATGGTAAACTCTACACCCAAACTGTTGGACTCTGATTATGGTGGTATGCTAAACAACATGTAAAGCATAATCAGCTTACTAAGTGTCTACTCACTCCAACAGATTCCAACAAAACACGCAGTTCGATTTTGAAGGGTTGGGGGCCGTTAGGGTTAAGGACGTCATACTGATATATTTTATATATCTTAAGGCCACACGTATGCAAGTTCCAGCAATATGTTCGTTTAAACCCACGAACCACACATACTGGAATTGGTATCCTTGTGGAGTCATTTAAGTGTAGTTTCAAAACGTTCCTATTTTAACCAGAATTAATTTCCTGAGCTGAAATTCAGACTAAATATCCCTGACATAAAATACTTTAATTTGCGACGATCAACACACTTGGAAATTCCTAGTTTTTGAGTAAAATCCATATATCTATTTCGTGATAACCTTATGGAGATGTATTCACCTATAGAAATTGCCCTGTGGAGATGTAAACAATCTTTTGTTCCCTATTATGCACATGTCTCCACAGGGTACCGTGTATCAGATCACTGTTACGGTTAAGGATGTCATACTCCCCCCCCCCCAATGTACAGGTTTATACATGTCTAAGACTTCACTTACATATACACTGACTGGATGGCGAGTTGTAGGAATGAAGGCACCTGGATCCAATGCATGGGCAGCCTGCTCCAACAGAACAATGTCCTGAGCATTCTACACAAGAAAAAACATCATCTTATAATGTTACATCATATTCCATCAAAAGGACAACTGCTAATTAATTTGCTCACACTAGCTACATGATTCACTAGTTACAATCTCACACAAAGGAACTGTTATTTGAGCCAAGCTGTCACAGACTATGCTAATTTGGATATTAACCCTTACTCCCAGGGCATTTTTTGGCAAGGATACAACCTCAATTCTGCAAAATCCTCCAACTGTCTCTATGAATTTACTGCACACAGCCTCAATTCTGCAAAATCCTCCATTATTTCTTGAATGTGGTCCTTGGAGGGGTGACCACTGCCTCAATCCTCCAGCAATCACTGTCAATATGTTGAGGCAGAGCCATTGACATCCTGGAGCAGTGCGGAGGATTTCAAGTATGATCTAGGCCTAAATTTATGCACGGCTGGGCATAAACAACACAAGGTCCGACCCAAGACCTTGACACAGTGCATCCTCCAAAATCAGCCACACATTTTTGCCATATAGCCTCAATCCTGCAAATTCCTCCATTTTGCAAAGAGGATTTTGGAGGATTTGGAATAAAGCAACACAAAGATACTACAAAAAAGTACAGATTGAACAGGTCAACAAACATTCCACTGTTTAATGTAATTCTGTGACTCAGTCATTTACCTTGTTCAGGACCTTCTTTTGGATTTCTTGGGACACATCCGCCAACTCATTTTTCAGTTGCATCTCAATATCACACTCTCTTTGCCTGAAATACAAAGACAGAGATTTTCTTGTAAAAAAAAAAGAAACCAAAAAAAAGAAGAAAAACTAAAAGAAAATAGAAGTTTATGTCTCTTAAATGAACAGCACATAGGGCTTTTCACATAATGATTCTTGCTATGACTTGATGCTTTTTTTCATCAATGTGCAGTCAGTTAAATGATCAATTTCTTGTATGAACAAAGTTCCACGACGTATGTGGTGTTTTGGCAAGTCTTATAGTTCTCTAGATATAGGACTTTACAATATGCATCTTTGAGATGTCACATGACCCATGATAACTTCATCATAACATCACCTCAATTCTTACCTATAACACGTCCCTGTCTACACACATACCAAGTTTCAATCTAACTGGACTTGTAGTTCTCTCGATACAGGGCTTTAACATATGCACCTTTAAGACGAGGTCACACGACTGCTGATGAAGTCACCCCAGTTTTTACCTCCCTTTTTATATCCCTTGATAGCGATGAAGAGAGATTTGTATTACACAGCCTTAAACACCATTGGCCCCAAACCTGTTTTAAACATCATGTTTATAACTGCCCCATCAAACTAGTATCATCATTTCCATTCAGGAAAACCTTTTCAGTAAAAAGTTTTAAAAATGGAAAGGTTAACATTTAGTTCTACCATTTTAAATTAACCCTAACTCCCTGGGCATTTTTGGTAGGATGTAAACTCAATCCTGCAAAATCCTCCAACTGCCTCCATGTAAAAGTAGCAAACACAGCCTCAATCTTGCAAAATCCTCCGTTATTTCTTAAATGTGGTCCTTGGAGCGGTGACCACTGCCTCAATCCTGCAAAATTCTTGTCAATATATTAAGGCAGAGCCAGTGACATCCTGGAGCAGTGCGGAGAATTTCAAGTATAATATAGACCTAAATTTATGCACGGCTGAGCGTAAGGACCACAAGAAGCTGCTAGCTGAAGAAGCTAGCTTAGCAGTGAAACGTCACTAATTTGTGCGTAACATCTTCACAAGATTCTTATTGGATTTGTCAAAAAGAACCTTCAGAAATATTCTGACAAACAATCCAGATGAACTTATTCAAAGATGTCCCAGATATTTATGCATGCCAAGTATATGAATACAAAAATTAAAGAAGACTTTCAGTAACAAAAACAATTTCCACAGAGAGGAACTTACACTGGCTGAAAATGTTCGCCTTCATGTGCCTTTGAAGGTGTATTCATTGATCGTGATATAGGATAACATGGATCCTGTGTAGGGTGACCAAGGTAGTGATAGCCTTCACTTGGTGAAGACTGGAATGAAGGTGCAACATGGCAATCTTGCGTCAAGGTGACAGGGTTGGTTTCAAGTGAAGGACCAGCATGAACCTTAAAAAAACAAAAAACAGAAAAAAATCCCAAAAACATAATTTAGTACAAGCCTTGAGAGAAGTCGAATGAAATCACATTTTTGGGAACATTATAGAGAAAGTAACCAAAAATGAAATTAGTTTGAAGATATTTTCCGAGGTATGATTTTTAACGATAAACATCATGTTATATTTATCTAATCTATTAACTGAGGATTATAGACAATATCATCGTAACTTCAGGAAAGTGCACTCTTGAGATGTTCAGGTGTTCACACCACTACCGCTATTTCTTTGAGAGCCAACCTTTCTTTGCAGGTGATATTAAGAAAAACCAGTGTATGTTGAGCGGAGCCTCAAAGTATTTTAATACGATTATTTATACTGTGATTGCAATTTTCATTCTTTTTAACAGTGTCCATAAAATATCTTGAATGTTGAGCCATGAGAGATGATTAGCTCCTCCAAGAAGGTTATGTTTTCATCTGATTTGGTTAGTTTGTTAGTTTGTTCACAAGATACATGTAACTTGGAACACTTTTGGATGGATTTGAATGAAATTTATTTTAGGGGTGGTCCTTGGTACAAGTACAAATTGATTAGATTTTTTTACCAACACCAGTGCATGAATGGCCAGCTCTGTATACTGTTTTTACCCATGTGGTGAAAACTGCAACTTTTGCAAACATCATAAACGTGAAATTGGTTTTGGTTTTTCATGTATCCTGTTTTTCATTTTCCCACCGACATTCGAAACATTTCTTTTTCATTGACTGAGAAGTTACTAAGTAATTTGCAAAGTTGACATTAACAGTCGGGTACTCAGTTCCGATGCACAGCCCTATGTATGTGTAAATACCTATGACCTAACAAAGGTATTACAAAAAGAATTCTGAATACAGCATGTACTGTTGATGAGATATGGCAAAAAGGTAAAAAAAAATACATGCAAATAAGCCATAAAAAATATCACATGATGACGTCATTTACTTTTACCTATAACACATCCCGGTTTACCTACATACCAAGTTTCAACCAAATCCGACTTGTGGTACATGCACCACAACTCCAGGCCGAACTCGAACCCCAAACCTGCAGAATTACCTGCAGACCACGAATTCAATGCTCCACACCACAAAGCCATGGCCCTCCAGAGAACTGTTCAAGCCTACTGTACCTGGATGGGTCCTGTGGATTTGAAAGCCGTCCGTGATGACTTGAACATAGGGGACCTTCCATGCCGGGTAGGCTGGAGCTCAGGGGGAGGTGCTGATGAGAATGTCTGGTAGTATCTCATCATGTTTCTCTGATCATCATCCGATGTGTAGGGATGCGATCTCGGCTTGGCTTGCCTGTCTACTGTGTTGGCAGGGGCTCCTATACAAATTACAGTTAAAAAGAAGTCACAGATGAGCTCATTGGACCGAAAATGTGTTTGCCTGTAAGTTATTTTGCATTAATAAATACCTTGGAATGTTGATAGCTTCTGATTGGTTGAGACTCAATCACGTGGGGGTGTATTAATATGTGATATAAAGACCGGCTTCAAGAACAAGCGAATTGCCCCCGAACCAGCATTGATCCAGCATCATGTAAGCCAATGATTGGCCGAATATGCAAAAGTCCTACGGTAGCTTGTAACAATACAGCCAACCACCATCGTGTGAAGACTTACACGCGCGCATGCAACACAGTAGCTATGCCGGGCGTGCCATGATACGCGCGCGTAAACGTCTTCACACGACACGTTCGTACTGAGGATGTTTACGACCAAAGCGTGAATCTGCGATTAATTTTTGCAAACACGTCGCCCACGGACATATTTACTTTATCTAAACCGAGCTTCTTTGTAATTCTGGACATAAGGAATATGTTAACAAAATTTCAGCTTCCTCCGTCATGTAAAAATATGAAAAAAAATTTGTTGTAATTTTTTTTCGCTATGGCTCGGTCCATTAACAGTGGCCATCCCCCAACCCGGTCATTATCATGCAGTGAAGACCAGGTCCTCACACTGTTATTCCCTAATTACAAGTAGAAGCACCACACATGTTTAACACTGGGGCCCTGCTGGGCTTCATGGATTAACCCTAAAGATATACCGTGTGCTGTTTTCCAGTTTCACCCTAAAAAATATATTTGGTTTTAAATTTCCAATTTCTAGCACTACAAAAGTAATTCAAAAGTTAGGTTATACAAAAGTTAGGAAAAATGACCCAAGTTTAGCAATTAGTTTAAAAATGCATAGGCCTACCTGCCAGCTTTTCAAAATGCAAAATAATAATCAATCTGCACAGTCATTTTCATATGCGTGTACATTAATATAGTGCATGTACCAGCTATACCAATATCACGTATAGGTACATGGTATATATGTATACATGTGCACACCCTTCCTTTCGTGATTAATCTGTAGATACTGCAGGATATTTCGAGGGGGAAAAAAGTTAATTTTATTGTTTCTGTTCATAAAATCATGGTATTTAATTAACAATGTAAACGATTTTGAGGAACTTCGTAATAAAGGGCGATAAATTCGTAATTCGGAATACAGCTCGTATTTTCGTAATGATCCCGCCAATTTCAGAAAGGTTGGCAGGTATGAAAATGACACATGGTTGCAAGCTTTGTATTATTTGCAGGCCTTTTTACAATAATTCATGCCTCGAGGGTAGAATGGTATCTGCCGCACTTTCAGTATCAACAATTTGGCGGACCAGGAACCAGTCTACTTGCACAGCAGATTGGCTTTTGCACAAAAGCAACCTGACATAAAAGCCCTCTTTCAGAGGAGTGCGCATACCCCTCTCTCCAAAAACCATAATTTTCTTTGTTAACAATAAAACAATCAAGGTCAACATCGAGCTTTTTGAAGAGCACAGAGAGCCAATCTTGAAGACGCTTCCTTCGATTGAAGCAGCAGCGCCTATGCTACCTAAGGCCAATCCTACCTGCAGGCATTTCCCATGTGGTATTCTTCTGCTGTTCTCGTCGGTCCATCACCAGTTGAATTTTATGTCTGCGTTCATGGTGAGAGCTGCCTGCGTGTTCATCCTCCTGCTTCACCTGGGAAATACATGCAACCGAAAAATTGTGATCACTTCAGCTCTTCTAGATGTAACATTAACCCAAACCTTCTCAAATCCATTCAAATCTACTCCCCCATTTTGGGGATTTTGGTAGGCAAGCCATGAGTACCAAGTCCATCAAAATCCACATATGGTAGTGGTGGTCTTGTGGTGGACTATAGCGGATTTGGTCCTAAAGCATTATGTGGAGCAGGGTCAGTGATGGATTTAGGCGGACTTGGTCCAGTACTAGTAAAAGTTTATGAAAAATGATGCAGTTTGAAAAGTTGACAATTGAAAGAGTACGCGAGTGGAAATTCCTGCGTGACAATACAATGTTACACTGCCCGAAACAAACCGCAGGGATTATCGATCTCACAGTGCTTGAACGCATGGGAGCACGCGAAATTCAATTACCTGCACTTTGTTCGGACGCTGCGCAGTTGATAGGGGCCAATGACAGGCGTGTTTGTTTGCGCTTAGCACTTTCTCCTAATATAATCTTTCAATTTGCAACTTTTCAAACTGCATCATTTTTCACCGATTTTAAAAATTGTTGTCAATGTTGGACGATTTACAATTTTTGTTAGCAAACAAGGTATCAAAATGTAGCTAACAACATGTATAAATGAGATTCAAGATTATGACCCCTCCAATGAGGTTGGATTTTCTTTTTTTGCGATGTTTATTATAAGGACAGAAACAGGTCTAAAGTAAGTAAGTAAAGGGGACGAACCTGTGTTCACAGGAACAGCATGCCCATCTCTCTTTCCTTAGCGATTGGGCCAGACTCATATGCTGCTGTGGGGGGATCGCCACACCTCCTCTACAGCGAGTCTGTTACCTTCCCAACATTTAATAATGCCGGTACCCATTTAACACCTGGGTTGAGAGGAGTAATTGAGGTAAAGCGCCTTACTCAAGGGCACAACACGTATGGCCACGGCGGGGCTCGAACCCACAACCTCACGATCATGAATTCTGTGCTCCACCGCTAGACCACACGTGCCCCAAACAGGTCTAAGAGCCCCCATAGGTAAGCTGCATTTTCAAATGAAGATATGTACAGGGCGAGTAAAAAAAGCGAAACTCAAATGTCGGGACTATTGTTTTAGTGAAGTTAAGCATGCAGCACTTTCAAAATCTAGGATATGAAAGCCCAATCCAATCTAAATGATTCTTATTCTAAAAGAAAGCTTATGAATTGGGCTTTCATTTCCTAGATTTGGAAAGTGCTACATGCAGAACTTCACTAAAACAATGGTCCGGGATCCTGACATTTGGGTTTCGTTTTTTTTTTGACTCACCCTGTACATAAACCAGGGCAACACTAACCTTCTGCAATGTGTGCTCCAGGTCTTGCAACGACATCTTCTTGAACTCTGACAACTCGTGGGTTCCCATCGGCTTATCTTTGACGGTGCCAAGGGGCTCGTCCACCGACATGTGCCGGACGTGTGCCTTGATGTATGTCATCGTGTAGTTGGTGTTAGTCTCTTTAACTGGTCGCACCATCAAGAACGGGGCTTGGCTTGTCCATGGATTGTAGCATACTGTGTCCTCTTGACTCAAACTGGATGTCCTTTGCATATGGAAAAAAAAACCAGAGTTATAAGTTCCATGAGATAAATTTTCTGAGGAACACTTTATGACATTCCCTTTTGGTTGATAATTTTATTGAAAAGTGCACTTCTTTAAAGGGAATATACAACATTTGCTTCTGCTGTAATTTTCAGAAATGGATGGATTTGGGAGGTTACTATTTGATAGCAAATATTGTTACACTGACTTGTGTGAAGAATTTGCAAGGAAGAGGAATGTTCCTCATAAATCATCCTAGGGAGTTAGGGTTTGCATACAAAGTGTATCAAAATTTTCGATGTTAGGCATTAGGATGAAAGTAGCCTAATTGCCTCCGTATGGATATTTGCCCGTCGTACAAAAAATATGTTTAGCGAGTAAACACAATTCTAAACACTTTCTTGCTATCAGTTTGTAAACATGTTTACATGCTTAACATTTTTAGCATGAGGTGATAGCAGGAAAGTGTTTAGAATTGTGTTGCCTGTATTTGCCTGTAGGCCAGGCAAATATCCACACAGAGGCAATTAGGCTACCTTCAGCCCAATGCCTAAAATTGAAAACTTGGTCCCATGGTCAATTTGACCTCTCTTGGAAAATTACTCATAACTCTGTCAAAAATTATCAGATTTGGACGTTTGATGTCTCATTTTAAAGTGGAAAGGCGTATCTTTCAAACCATACCTATATTATCTATGCTGGTGACACATTCTACGTCTGGCATTCAGTTATATTTTGTTTGCATTTTTTTCGATACACACTGTATTGTAATCAACAATGAGGCCGAGGTTTATCATGAGTACATGAAATAGGTTGTAGAATACAGGTACTGACTTTTTAGAGACTGAATCGGAAGGGATGGTCCAGAGTGACGTGACTGTTTTGGTCAGGCAATCGTTTCTATCCCACGGATTCTTGCTTTCTTCGCTGCTGAATCCTTTCAATTGATGTAGGATTTCTTGTTTGCGCTCACACAGCTCGCCAAGAGAGACATCCTTAAGTCAAAAAGAATTTCAAAATATATAAATAAATAAATAAATAAATGAAAAAGGAATTAAAACAAAAGGTATTAACGAAATACAAAAGTAAAATACGGCTCTACGAAATCTTCATGGCACAAAAGTGAACAGGTCATCTTGCCAAAGTATTCTGTATGAAATACCTGGAATATAATTGGATCAACTTTTAATCTATTAGCACCTGGGCTTCATTGTATTGCATTGTATTCATAAATACCCAAGACAGTTTACCCATTCCTATTGGTCGAGAGCCCGTCATGTGGCCAGTTTTAAATGGTTGATAAAGACATGGCTGGCTGGTCTTTAACACTTTTCCAGTGTCATATGAAATTTGGACTCCTATGAAATCTGGTGCCAGCACCGTTTTACTGGTTGAACGTTCACAATCCTCACATAGGCAAGCGCAACACTAACAGTGAGCCAGTATTTCATAGTCCTACATTCGCACTACAACGGTACATCTGCGTTGTGCGCTACATCACGCAGTACGCATGACGCACGCATCAATCTCCATATAAGGAGTTGTTTACCAGAGGGCCTTACCATTGTAAAGCTAGAGGGGTGTTCTGTTGATTGAAATCGTTTAAGATTTATAATTTTTGACTTGTTTAGACTTTTGGACCAAAAAATTTAGATTTTGTTACCGAAAAGGTATTTCGGCTTGGGTAATTATCAGCATCCAGACTCCAACCTGGCATTAAACAGAGTGTTTAACATCTCCCAAGCACACATTCATTCCCTTATTTTTTCACTGAGAAATTTAATAAAACCACAGAGTGCTCAGGTGTTTCAAAGGCTACAGTGAGTAATAGGCAGGGTGTCTTCGGGTGTTACAGTGACTGAACATGCTAAAGGGTTAAAGGCATATAGGATCATTTGCACTTGATGCATTTTGTGTGTTTCCAATAATAACACCACTCAAAATCCAAAGAAGAATGTTCAAAACCTAACCAGCTAAACTTTCAGCTCGGTGGATATTACACTTTTTGAGAAAAAGTGAAAAACGTCGCACGAACTTTTGATCTCGAAACAATATTTTGTTAATATTATTCTTTATTTCCAATGCTGATGACTGATTGTTGGAAATCGCCTACATTTCTTGATTTCTCCTAAATGACAGTAAGCAAGACAGAATAGTTTTCAAAGGGTGTTTAGTACGATCTTTAATCCAAGTAAGCTTTCTGACAATAATTTGTCTTTAAATTTAGGGTCCCCGATATAGGGTCCCCGATACCTCTGAACTTTGTAATTTGTACAAGTTAAAGCTATAGTCCATCATTTGTAATTAGTGCATTTTGTTCGTTTGAAGCAACAAACGTGTTCAAAATCTAATGAAGGATACTGAACAACTTACTTGATGAAGTTTCAGCTCAGCTTCAGCTGTATATTCCGAGAAAAACAGCATTCTAAGATCTCAATTTCAAATCAAAAGTTACTGAATCATGTTTTGAATTGTTTTGAATTGCAGCTATACGCGACGTCGCGCACTGATCCGATGAATTATAACAACCGCGCGCGCGTGTGCGTCGTTCCAATACTTGTGCGCACTGCGCTGAATAACAAAACGAACTACTAATTTAAATTTTCCTATGGTGCTTCTTAAGAATCACCGTTGGAAATGCCTTCTTTCGTTGATTACTTCAAAATGACAGCTTCCCAGAAAGAATAATTTCACAGGGAGTTTAGTCCCCTTACTATCTTTCAACCAAGTTTGTTTTTCAACAATAATTACGCCAGTTACTTTTCGGATGGCTGCAAATGATGGACTATAGCTTTAAGTATCGAGTATAAAGTGTCGAGCCCAAGAACACAAGCACCATGTTTCCCGCGTACCACGGCGCATGAGTTGACCACCATAACCATTGGACCACAGCTCCCCTAGTAAAACTAGCCTCCCATGATGATTCATGGAGTTTTCTATTTTCCCTCGGGGGACTAGTTTGACCACACCACTCGAAGCAGTCAAAATGTGTATAATATATTATCAGGATATATACCTTGTGTGTGTTATTGCCACTGACGTTCCATGTGTGCATCACTGGTGATTTCATAGATGGTTTTCCCGCTCCGACAGTGCGCTTGGCAGAATCCTGGTCGTATCGATACGGCTCACGTGATGGTCCGTCAGGCATGTCCCAGTTGGCCAGGGGGTCATGACCAACTGTCTCATGGCTGGTCATTGACCGACTTGAATTGGACGGTTCTATCGCACCAGTATGAGCAGTGAAGTTATTAGAATACTGGTGACTGTACACTGGCTGAGGCGTGGTGTACAAGTGGCACACCGCCCCCGGCGGATGAACGTAGGTGCTTGACAATGAAATCTGTACGTGGGGGTTTTGCTGCTCTTCGTAACTCTCCCCCCGTTGTCGGTCCGTCGACGTTGCATAGGATACTTGGCGCCTTGGGTTTTCTGATGGAGGGGGCACTAGGGCCGGTTGCCTTGCCTGATGATGCTCAGCCTTGCTTACCATAGAATGCAGTATGGGGGATTGGGTTATATCGTGACGTCCTTCAGCATCTGTTCAACAGAAACAAACTCACCAAGATTTCTTGTCACATTATTCAAGGCTTAAATCCCTACACTCCCTTGAAGACCTGCTACTGAGCCATAAAGATTGTTAGCTTTGCAGCCATCTATGGATGCATACTTATAATCCACAGGGATACATATAAACAGATCTAAGGTGTTAAATATCCATGTTTCACATCTAAGCAGTCAACAAATGTATATTATTGAATAAAAATCATCATCCAAAATAAATAATCCTTTTATGGACAATGTATTGAATTACTTTTACTGACCATTTGAATGCCTCTGCATGTCTGTGTCTGACATGGTTGATATTGATGACTCATCTCTGTTTAGAAAGAGATTAAAATAAGATGCAATACATTTTAAAGAATTTATTACGACAAAAATTCAGGGATGTCTCTTTGATGTAATGTAAATCTTTTGCAATGTTGGGCTGATTTTTTTCTATTTTCAATTTTCTTGGGTGCAAATTCTACATGTTTTGAAAATAATACTGTAAAAATTTCAGATTGTCAATTTGTCTCCAAAGATGATTTGGGGTGTAACTTTTTGAGGTGTAACAATTTCAGACCTGCATTACCGAAAACTTGAATCAGGAAACTTCTCTGCTTTCAAGTTTGTGACGATACTAACTTCAAAGGAATGTCTGTTTCAATAAATTGATCACAATGGCACAGGGAAAGATCCACATTTCAGCAATTTCCAAAAATAATTTTTGGACCAGCTGCCTGGACATGCCAAGTGTACCATTTTGACAGAACACATCACTTTCGTACTGTACCTTTTGCTTCGTGAGGCAATGTGCTGTTGTAGCTCCAACAAATGATGGCGATCTTCTGAAGTCAGTCCGTCTTCGTTGACTCCCTTGGCAATGAGCTTGGGTGCTCTGGGTCCCTCTGACGCTTTGTTCTGGGAGCTCATCTGACGGTTCAATGCGGAGAGCATGCGTCGACTCTTAGCCCGGTACCTATGAAAAACAAATATTGTGGGTTTGGTTTAGCACAAGGAACTAGATTAGTGCTGCAACTGATCCTCAAAGTTCGGTTCGGTTCGGTTGCGGTTTGATTTTTTCCTCCGAACTTCGGTTCGGTTTGGCTTCGGAATTGTATAATGTACATGTCCATGGTACAATGTATTGGGCGACAATGAAAAGCATATAGATAGGCCGTTCCCCTGTTCGAACAAACATGTGTGTACCGCGCACGTTTGACAAAAATAGGCACAGCAATTTCCACATGCTATTCAACACAAGTTGAAGGATGAATCTTATTTTTGTTGTGCAAACAAAGTTATACTTTGACTTGATGACGTTGAGAAATGAACATCGTAAATTGCTACCGTGTTACCTATCGCAGCCGGCCCTATCCGGCCCGGCAACTATGATAAAATTGTCCCACACGTGCTGACGGTTTTATTTACAGGAGAGCTAACTGGCTGTACACAATGTTGCCTGCTAGGCGCATCCATGTTTCTATACAAATTCTGTTTGTGTGCAAAAGTAACCTAAATTGTACGCCTTTTATTAGATGATTGCAAACGTCAAAATAGAAACTAAGTAATTTTTAAATGTTCTCTTTTGAGTGATCCCAGTTTGTAGTATTTATAATGTTGCTAGCATCATGACTTTGGGTGTGATCCCTGGCTACATGGCATATACGGGTTTATGGCTTCTGACTAGCGCCCCTTGAACAAGAAATTGACAAATGGGGAACCGCTAACATAGGGCTGGATAGCTCAGTTGGTAGAGCACCAGAACGGCAATCTGGAGGTCGCAGGTTCAAGCCCTGCTCCAGCCAATTTTCTTTGTTCAACTTTTAGATAATTATTTTTTTTGTGTTGATATAAAACACACAAGTTTAAACATGTCAGGAGAAACAATCTATATTTTGAAATGTGCAGATAATAATAACATGATTTATAGCGCACATTTTCGCAAGTATCAATGCACGACTAAAGGACAACTCCAGAAGACAAGTTACAGATTATGTGAAGAAAACAGATCAGTTTTCAGTCTGCCCTTAAAGTTGTCAAGAGAACTGATGTTGCGGATAATGTGTGACAAGGAATTCCAACATCGGGGACCAGACACTGAGAAGGCCCTGTCCCCTGCCTTTTTGAATGTGCGTGGAACTCTTAAGTTGTTACTGGAGCGGAGGCCACTACATATCTGAAGTTTTGAAATTTAAAAACAGAAATTTTTACCTTTCTAATTCTTCCTCAGAATGTGCAAAAGTGCAGTTGTTTCCACGAGGGCAGCCTCTCTTCTGAGTTATGTCCCTGCACATACTGGTCTTGTACTTAATATTCTGCGTCTGCTGCAAATAACAAGAACAGAGTAATCAATTACAAACCAAATACGAACGAAAATTTCCAAAAATGTGTCACTTGACACATCTTTATAAATGACCCTCTTTTGTTGTTTTCTTCAAAATGACAGCATGCCAGAAGGAATAATTTCACAGGGAGTTTAGTGTCATTACTATCTTTAAACTAAGTAAGCTTTTTTTAACAGTATTTGGACGGTCACTTTTTGGATAGCTGCAAATGTCCACTCTACCTTTAATCCAAATGCTTTGAGACACTGCCTTGATAGTGCTACTTGTATGGGCTCGACATACCTGTTGTTCCAGTGTTTTCTTGTTCATGTTGTGATTCTGTACAAACTCTACCAAGCCCGTGACCACAGTCTTGACTGCTACCATGGCATCCTCCAAATCACTCCAACTAGGTATGCCAGCATCTGTATAAACGATATCAAACAAATGATAAAGTGCATATAAAGGTAGAGTATATCAATTGTTATTTGTGTATTTTTTTTCGTTTGAAGTACAAAAGTGCCCAATATCATAAGAAGGGTGCTTATCAACTAACCTAATGAAGTTTTTAGCTCGGTGAATGCTGAATATTCCGAGAAAACAATATTCTAGGACCTCGATTAAAATTCAAAAGTTGCCGAGTCATGTTTTGAATTGCAGCTGAAATCAGCATCCGGGACACGTTCTCATTCAGCCGATTGCAGCTACACGATGTCATGCACTGAACCGACAAATTATAGCAACCACCCACGCGTGTGCAACGTGTCAACGCTTGCGCGCACCCATAGACGTCTTCGCCGAATCAAAAACGAACTACAAACGGAAATTTCCCAAATGAGTTCGGGGACCACAGACTCTGAGGCAGTTTGGTCTTGAGACTTTTTGCCTGATGGATCTTGCTGCACTGGGCAGGCTTGTCACTTAGACAAGTGGTGCATGTTGCTACGTTTGGCAGGGTTTCTAGCCAAAAATACCCTGGAAGGTTAGGGTTAAAGCTGATATGGGCCTATTGAGCTCACTGTACACACTTTTATTTTGCTGTACTGACACACCGATGTGGTACTAATCTATGGACCTTTATAGACAATCTGAACAGCTACTCGCAAGATTTAAATGTTGGGGTTTGCTTCTTTAAACTTTTTTTTTTTTCAATTGGGTACCCGTACTACCCGAAAATGCACACCCAATGCCACTCAACACAAACAATTTCGTCTCCTATTTAAGTTCAACTATTTGTTTTATTCTAACCAAAAAAGATAATTTTATTTGTTACAGGACATTATATATTCTTTTAAAAAGTTGTTCGGAAAAGAAAATTTAACTGCTGAAAAAGCATGTATATACTGACTTTAATGAAGGCAGATCTTTTCATTCAATGTCTCAATTCGAACAAGAAAAACTTTCGTATTGCTTGAAAAAATAGCAGTTTGAAAATCAAATTTACTTTTCGGGATGAAACTTGAACATAGCCTGGACAGAAGTTAAAAATAGCAATGATAGTTGTACCTGGATTAGGGTCTATAGCAGCTAACTGATCCAGATAGGGAATCAGCTTAGTGAGTTGTCCTGGGTCGGCCGATCGCTGTAATGCAATAGTCAGCTCTTGGATACTAGATGCAAATGATGCCGGGGTTTGCAGCTAGAAATGAAACATATACAGTGAAATCTCAATAAGTCAAACCATTTACAGAAAAGAGAGATCAAGTTCTGTGAAAAAAAAAAAAATCGCAGAAATCTTTTTCGGTGACAATGTCTGCTTGCAATTTTGATGATGCCAATTTCGAATGTGATGTACACTGTTATGTCGGCCATCGACTGTTCCCGGACCCTCCATCATTACTAACACTTTGTTATAGCACGCGGCGGGAACCATTTTATACCAATTGCACAGCACTAATAATCAGCATATGCATGCTACATGTGCTATGCGACATGCATGCGCATGCTGTCTGATGCGAAGACATGCGGCCAGCCAATGGCCGTGGTGGCCGCGGTTAATGTCCAGGCCTGCTTTCAGTGGTTTATTGTTCTGATCCACTCATTGCTAATTTTAGACAGGCGGCTCGTTTAAATCCCAATCGGCAAAATGCAAATTTTTAAGCGGTGTGCACATGCAGACCTGACTGGCATGTGCAGTTCCTGACTGGTGCAGGCAATTCAGGCCGGCTCACGTAAAACCTGATCACCGCGTTTCGAATATTCAGACTTATTCGATTGACTCCACACTCCAATAATCAAACCAGTTTTCAGTGGCAGCTCAAGATCAGTGCAATCTAGTCTCTACCCTTTTTACTCCAGGGTCTAGAGGGGCAATTGTAGTCAAGTGTCTTGCCCAAGAACACAAACACCATGTTTGCTGTCAGGGTTCAACCTTAACTATTGGACCACACTGCACAACATACAGAAAATTCGCTATACGTATGTAAAAACAGAAGTCCATCTTACCTTATCAATGATGGACTGCATATGTGACTTGTGATTCAGATCTCCATATAGCAGTGAGGACCATTGCTCAGGGGAGATGCGTAGTCCTGCCTCCATTGCTATGTGTACTATCTGGGCATCATGTTCTCTTCGCAGAGCATCGTAGTTCCGGAACTATAAAAGCAGGCAAAATTACACATGTAGTTATAATAGCAATTAAACTTAGCCACAGTTACAGCTTACAGAACTGCATGTTTTTGTATTTTCTTCAGGTATGGAAGAACAAAGGATATTGACAGAACGTGTATGTGCCTCTAGGCCGAAGAAATCTTTTATTTTTGACGCATTCAAAATTCCAACAATGAACATGATAAAGACCAGTCATTATGTCTTCGATTGCAAGAGTTCTAGACTCAAAGCATACATAAAATGACTTTAAAAACCTGATGAACTTCAGTTGTGTAAGAGTCTTGTTACAAGCATGTTTGAATATTTTTATACTTGCATCACATTGGTAATCAACCTGCCAATAAAACACTACATTCAATGTTTTCTTTTAAAAATTGCTCTTTTTTTATATCAATACAACTTTTTGCAGCTCAACAATAATTTTGTTCGTGCAGGGTAGACAGACTGGTTCCAGCCCCAATGTGGGGACCAGGAACCAGTCTACTCACAGGGCAAATATATTTGTGCGAAAAAGTAACCGCCCAAAACAACTTTTCCCAAAGGGTTGCAGGACCCCCCCCCCCTCCCCCCCGAAAAAAACCCCAAAAAAAACACCAGAGTTTGTTTTTCCTAATTAAGAACACTCAAGGAAAAAAACCAGTTAGGTTAGAAAGTTTGAATTTTATGCAGAGCTAAGAGATTACATATTTATCACATTAACTGCCGATGACACTTTTACACAACACCCCCCCCCCCTTGCCAACTACATGTATGTGATGTACGCATGCACGCATATTTATTTGATTCTTAATAAAAAACAATAATTTGATAATTTGAATATAACCATTCAATAAATTTTTGTTCTCTAATTTGTTGCGTTCTCAGCCGCGCCAGTATATTCAGTTTACATTACAAAAGCCTTTAATTTACTATAAGTACATAAATGTACATGTATAATTGTAGTGGCAAAATCCAGTACGCCTGTCACTACGACAGTTTTCGTAGTCAGCAGTCAACGTGTTAAAACCGGCAGTAAAACTAACCTCATCTTTGAGTTGCATGAGCGATGATTCTTCGTCCCGTTTTGTCACAATGAAGCAAGATGCTCGATACAGCAACTGAACAACGTGGCCAACGCTGGTCTTGGATGCTTGGGGAAATTGCTGCTCTAGTTTCTGAACTACAAACATGACCAGGACCTTGCGAGACAAAGCAGCTCCGTCCTCCAAGGCTAACAGCACCAGCTTCAAGGTCTCTTCTTGCATCGCTGCCAAAATTAAAACATGGGGTTCAAAATAAGGTACAGTATAGTTGGCAATGAAGTACAGTTGAGCTCATTGATACAAACTGTGTCAATATTTTGTTTACCGTACCTCATACATATTCATGATCAAAAGCCAAAATCTCACTGGTCCATTCACCATCACGTGTCAGAAGCTATTTTTGCTGTTTACCAAGCGCGCAAGTATTCACATGCGTAGTAAACTGTCGCACGGGTTACCCGTGAGACAGCCCTCTATGCTTGCGCTTTACAAAGCAATCGTGGAACTGTCGCACGGGTACAGTATGCACGCGCGAACATCGCCCTAGCTAGCTACACATGAAAAGATGGTTGCACACGCAAATGTTATTTAGCGTTTTCCCGAGCTCAATGATGCCAAACTGGAGAATATTGTGGACAATAAAGATGCCTCCTGTATTAAAAAAAAGTTGTCCACAAACAACTGTATTTCAACCGTAGTTACTGTATTGTAAACGAACTGAACTTTTCTGAGGTTGAGCAATAATATTCTTCTGGTGACCTTGGCAAGTTTCTCCTGGTGAGCTGGACAAGGTGCATACCGCAACGGGAAATTTCGGCAACTGAATATGTATGAGGTATAGTAAAACAAATATAACATAGTTTATTTCGGGTGGATAATTGATATTAGCTCCCCTCGGTATTGGCAGTTGACAAACTAGTTCCCGAGGCAAAGTTTGTTGAAAAACTGGTTTGTCAACTTCCAATACCTTGGGGAGTGAATATCGACTGTCCGTCCTCAAACCATGTTATATTGTATACTGTTAGTCCTTTAGTCACTTGTAGCGCCAGATACCGCCCTGCCTATTACTCCCTGTAGCTCCCGAAACCAACCAAGCACTCTATGGTTTTATTGATTCTTTAGTGCACACACGCAATATAATACAGGTGCTATAGATTAAAAATGAACATAAGGCCTTGGTCTTGACCGTGCATTTATGTGCACACACTGAATACAACCAGCGCTTCTCTTAATACAAAATTCTGACTTTCAAACATTTTGGCTAGGATCTGGCTGAGAGTGTATTAACGAGAGTCGACTGTACCCATCTACATGTATTATTTTTCACTACTTCCCTTCAAACCGTGTTGTACTTCTATGATCAAGTGCGTGTGAGTGAATTACCTGGCCCAAGAAACTGGCATCCTCTTGCCCGGACCGCAGCCCACAGATTGGCCGACAGTTGCTGTTGGTTTTGATGCTGTAGTATGAGCTCCGTGACTGTCCGTTCACCCAGTGACCTAGCAGCACGCATGGCCCGTGATCGGCCCTCTTCCTCTACTAGCTGGCAGTTGACTAACGCTACTAGCTTGCGTTGCATGGGTTTACTCAAGGCACAACCACTGGCACTGGAGCTACTGGCACTGGCAGCTGTGCATGGACAAAACAAAATGTTATATGCTCCGTGCATGAGAGAGGGCGCTTTTTAACCACCTTTTTGTAAGCACGAGGGGCGCAAATGGCCTCAAGATGAAGCTGATGGAGTGGTTTACTCTAGTGTTGTGCAGCCCAACCTGAAACCGACCCGAAACCAACTTCGGGTTGGGTCGGTTTGTCCATCATTTCACAGTTTCGGGTCACGTCGGTTTCTCCATCATTTCAGTCGGGTCGATTTCGATTTTGCGTTTGTGATTTTCAGGTCGAGTCGGTTAAGCCATTTTGGGAAAACCCGAACTAAACCAAACCCCCCCCCCCCCCCCCCGAAACAGTTCAGAAATTCACACGGTGAATATTTATTGTAGAGTCACTGTGCCCGGTACGACCAAAATGGTTTGCGGTCTACAACAGTAGGCCCACCAGTAGATTACATTGTGAGTGCCGTACAGTATGATTCAGTCACTGAAAGATGATGATTTTCCGCGACGCGGGTAAGTTCAGGCACAAAAAATGGACACAGTTTGCCCAAGCCAGATATTCGGGGATTTTTGGGGTCGGTTCCGTTTTGGGTTGGGTCGATTTGAGGGAGTTCAGATTGGTTTCGGTTTGGATTTGATTTATATCTACAAATGTTTTGGGTCAGTTTGGTCTGGTCAACCCGACCCGATGCACAACGCTAATTCACCCCAAGAGCATACAAAACTAGTGGTAGGAGAAAGCAGAGATTTCAAAATCCAATTATCCTCATTTGATTCAAACTGAATAACGGTTATCCGATTTCCCCGGATGTTCCTATTCCAACAAAAAGTGAAGAGTGAGATGCCGCATGCAATGCCCTCCAGAGCTGTAATGGTGAAAAATAATGGCTGGGATTTCTCTGATCAGTCGAATGGGCAGGCTATTCAGTAACCAAGAAGACCACTAGCGAGTGAATGCGGTCACAATCAGAGACCATGGAGCAAATTGGGGAATGTTCCAATTGTTTTCTTTAGCCTGTGTCACAACAAAATAGAAGGCTTAACCCCAATTCCCTGGGCATTTTTGCTAGGATGCAACCTCAATCCTGTAAAATCCTCCAACTGCCTCCATGTAAAAATTGCATACAGCCTCAATCCTGCAAAATCTTCCGTTATTCATGTGGTCCTTGGAGGGGTGACCACTGCCGCAATCCTGCAAAATCCTCCAGCAATCACCGTCAATATGTTGAGGCAGAGCCAGTGACATCCTGGAGCAGTGTGGAGGATTTCAAGTATAATCTTGGCCTAAATTTATGCATGGCTGAGCATAAACAACACAAGGTCCAGCCTAAGACCATGCAACCACCAAAATCAGCCACACATTTTTGCCATATAGCCTCAATCCTGCAAAATCCTCCGTTTTGCAAAGAGGGTTTGGGAAGGTTAAGGGTTAATGCATTCTTCCCTGCAAATGAGAATAATTTGATCTCATTTTCAATGATACTTGAATGGCAAGTATGACTATTGGCTCCGTGCGTGAATTAGAGAGGGTGCGTTTGCACCGCTACGAGAGCCCCTTGGACAGGACACACCACGTGCGCGTACTGGTTCGCGCGCGTATAGCTCGAAGTACGCACGACTAATTTTGTGCACCAACCAATAGCGTCTTTGTGTGAGCGTCAGGCGTCTTCAGCAATGCATTCAAATGTCTCTCCAAGTAGTCATTCCTAACTCTCCCTTTCTTACCGTTGAGGGGGTACTTGTGCACGGAGCCCGTAACAGGGAAAGGGCAAATGTCCCACTCTAAAATTTATAGAATGACAAATACATGTATGCACATTACATGTATCTATTTAAAGACATAGTCCATCATTTGTAATTTGTGCATTTTGTTCGTTTGAAGCAACAAAAGTGCTCAAAATCTAAAGAAGGGTACTGAACAACTAACCTGATGAAGTTTCAGCTCAGCTTCAGCTGTATATTCCGAGAAAAACAGCATTCTAGGATCTCAATTTCAAATCAAAAGTTGCTGAATCATGTTTTGAATTGGGCCTGAATTCAGCGTCTGAGACACTGAGCCGATTGCAGCTACGCGATGTCGCGCACTGATCCGACGAATTATAGCAACCGCGCGTGCGTATGCGTGGTGCCAATGCTTGGGGCACTTCGCCAAATAACAAAACGAACTACTAATTTACATTTCCTACGTTGCGTCTTAAGAAGCAGTGTTGGAAAGACCTTCTTTTGTTTATTTCTTCAAAATGACAGCTTGCCCGAAAGAATAATTTCACAGGGAGTTTTGTCCCCTTACTATCTGTCAACCAAGTATGTTAAATTTCAACAATAATTACGCCAGTTACTTTTTGGATAGCTGCAAATGATGGACTATAGCTTTAAAGTTCACGTACATACCTTTGCCTAAGGGTTTAAGGTACCAAGCAAGATCTTCCACACAGCTCTTGGCAGCCGCGTAATGCCTCAGGTATCCATTCACGATGGATCTCGGTAATCTGTCTTCCTGTTCTTGAGCCAGCTCAGCCCCGACCAGTTGCAGTAAGGCATAGTTGGCCGGCAACTCATCAATGTCGCGTGTGATTTCGGTCTGGTCGAACGGACACTGCTTGCGATGCAGCTGGCCCAGGCACATCTTGCAGACGGTGTGCCCGCAGCCGAGGCTGATGGGCCGCCGGACGCTCTCATCGAACTCGTTGTAGCAAACCGGACACGAGAGAAACTCCGTCCACTGTGGTGCTTGGATCGGCATCCTGTCTTATTGCATCAGCATCCCTGTAAAACAGTCAAAGGAATTCATTGCTTGGTAACATGTAATAGCAGAAAAATTACATACATGTAGAGCCAAGTTACAAATATCTGCAAGAGACTCAAGAAAATTGAAGAATCCATCTGCCATCTTGGAAAATCAGCCATGTTATTGTTGAAAAAAAAAACACCCCAAAACGCCCGCCTCCATCATTTCTTTCAGAAAGCTCGAACGAGAAACTAGGCCTACAAAAACAATGTATTTTGTTTTTTTACTCGGCCTAGTACTAAGTTACACGTAGCAGAAAGAATGCCAGACGCCACTTATTTGATTGTGTACAAAGCCTATGGAGACTTGCGTGCATTTTCAAAGTATTTTTTAACCAAATTTAAAATGTTTCCCACTAAATCAGGTTGGCGTAGCGGTACTTTCCTCGCCTTCCACCGCCGTGACCCGGGTTCGAATCCCGCCTGGGCCAATATGTGGATTAGGTTTTCAGTCCCTACCTGATTCCGTGGGTTTTCCCCAGAATATTCTTCTGGGCTTTTCCTCCCACCTCTTTAACTGTAATTTCTTCTCATTCGCTCTTTTCACACTCCGCCATTGGGCATGCAGAGCCTCGATCTGGAAAGTTTACAGAATAAAAATTGCCGGTTCAGTGATCTGAACCCTGACATGAGAATCACTGAACTGGCTTTATTCATTGTGTAAAGTTGCCAGATCGAGGCTCTGCATGCCCATGGCGGAAGTGTGAAAAGAGCAAATTGTCTTCTCTCCACAGGTTTCTTCAGGCTGGGGCCTAATGGTAATACAGTGCCTAGGGCGCTTTTGAGGAATCCTTGGTTTATTACCACTGATATTTTGAAAATTAATAATAGGCCTAATATTCTCAGTCCCAGATTCATGTCTTTTCAACATTTTTGCAATGACTGACCTTCATTAAGATAATGGACTAGGCATAGGCCTACATCTATCCTTGAGTCACCATAATCGGCCAAGGTAATGCTAAGCTTGCAGCGCACGCACGTTGTCCAAAATAGATCCTCGTCGTTTTAGGTGGACTGACGATATATGATGAAAAAAGTGGCGTCAGGATGCAACATTTTTTCCTTGTTTAGTTGTTGCCTATAAAGTAAAACTAAAAGAAAGCCAGATCCGGCATAATCTACTATTACAAAATTCAATGTGCGCCACATCACAGCCGACCACACTCAGTCACAGTCACAGCCACAGGAAGGAACAGAGAAAACCCATGCAGATCCGGTCATAGCCAGGTAGCCTACCGTACCACTCAATACATGGTGGTGTATGGGCCTACATCATATGCAAATGAACATGCAAAAAATGATGATGTGTCTCAAAAGTAAACTAGACCTCCTCCCCACCAGCCGTACTAGAGCATAGCGATGCAAGCTATTCTAATTCCTTAACCTACATCATGTTGCTTTTTCAATGCTGCAATAAAAAAATCCAGCATACCTTGAGACTGATACCTAGATTGATGCTTAACCAAACGCCCATGAAAAATAAAAATGTAACTTTATAATTACCAACACACTTCCATCGTCATCAACCGCCATTGTCACACTGCTAGCTATGTATGGAACGCCCATCGTGTGCCTCTATTTCCTTGTAGTGCGTGAGCAGTGGATCAGCGCGATCTCCTGATTGCGCTGCGCCTAGCTGCAAACTATTGTTTGCGCAAGCATACATAAATCGCGCCAGTATTGGTTCATCACAGCGAGAACAGCTAGTTGGGGTTTTGTGTAGAATGGTTGCCGGCCACTTTTTACGAGAGTGTGATGGTATCGAGCGATGGTGATAGCTAAGCCATGGAGGAAGGAATTCCTTCCTCCATGGTCTAGCTCCCGCCAACCACACCGAAAAAAATGAAAATGTAATAGTAATTCAATACTGTTTAAAAATGTGCTTGTTTATTCAGAAATTCATGAAGCATAATATCCTAACTGATTGGATATTTCCAAAGTGTCTTTCCCATTTGGAAAAGTTCTTTTTGAAAGCCCACTAGTAGCGAGATGACCACCGTACCATTAGGAACACACTCTCGTAAAAGTTGGTCTGGTTAACTTAGTCTTTATAATGAGGCTTGCGGTTTTGCCGAAGTCAATTGAGTGTGATCGGCCAACTGATAAGGTTTGTACACAAAACCCCCGGCGCTTGGGGTTTTGTGTAGAATGGTTGCCGCCCACTTTTTACGAGAGTGCGCTAGTAATGACTTTTTGCAAAGTTTGATGATCATGTATATACGGTGGCCCACAACTGTCACGGCAAAAGCAAAAGCGCCACGGCAAGCGCAAAAGCGCCGCGGCAAGCGCAAAAGCGCCGCGGCAAGCGCAACAGCGCCGCGGCAAGCGCAACAGCGCCGCGGCAAGCGCAACAGCGCCACGGCAAGCGCAAAAGCGCCACGGCAAAAGAAAAAGCGCCACGGCAAAACAAAAAGCGCCGCGGCAAAAGAAAAAGCGCCACGGCAAAACAAAAAGCGCCACGGCAAAAGAAAAAGCGCCACGGCAAAACAAAAAGCGCCGCGGCAAGCGCAAAAGCGCCACGGCAAGCGCAAAAGCGCCACGGCAAGCGCAAAAGCGCCACGGCGAAGGCAAAAGCGCCACGGCGAAGGCAACAGTGCCACGGGTTTATTGGGAAGGGGCGTAATCATACATGCCGCTACTACATCAAAAAATAAAATGGGAAGGAGAATGGCCGCCACCAGGAATTCTTATTAAGCACAGAATTTAATTCTTTGAGAAGTGATTTTATGGCTGAGAAAATAGCAAGGCCAAGGAAAACCGGTCAGGAAATAAATCGTCGATATTAATTTGTTGTAGGATAATTATTATTCCAAGAGAGTTGCTGCCGTGAATCAGAGTTTATCAAGGAGTGGGACTCGCTATCGGCACCATCAGGGCCGCCGTTTCCTCATTTCTTTACATTTCGTGGGATGCAAACAATTACAAGGACGGGAGGCTCTGTGAGCTGATGCATTTTTGAAAACATTTTTTTCCCCTTCCGACTAGCATGCAGAGAAGAGTTCCGTTAATTTGAGCCTTTTTTCACAGGTGTGTATACCAGTGTAGGCACGAAAGTGAGCTGCCCAGAGTGTATGAGTTAATTTTTTTTTTTTCAGTATATCATACACATCTATAGGAAGTCGATTAAGGCTCTCCTGCAGGGCTGCGGCAGTGGGTGGGTAAGGCTTGTCAACACGTAACTCGCCCGCGGGCCCATTAGGTTAGAAATTCCCAGAGAGCGGGAATTTCAAAACTCTTCGCTGAACGTTGCTCGAGAAATGGATCGTTCTATTAGACAGTTGCAACGCTTTCGACAGAGGAGGTAAGGTCGTGGATTTCATGTAAGGAACGTAACACAGGCGAAGACTTTGGATATAGAATAAGAAAGAAAGAAATTAACTTAAAAAAGGGGGGGGGGTAAGGGAGAGACACTAAACAAAGGAGAAGTGTTATCGTTGAGATGCACAGTTCTAAGCTCTTCTATGAAAATTTGGTGGCTCTGAAAAGAGCCGTTTGCTTTGTTTCGAGTGAATACGGAACTATTTGATGCCGGAAACAAGCCCTCTTTCTGCCCTGCAGGCTGATTCTGCGATGATGTGGAATACTGTCCACAGGGCAACTCATCATCGCTATCGCTAAGCATCATGAGGTCTTGTTCGGCTTGTTGGTTTCTTGAGCCGGGGGTGGGTGGGCCAATGAGTTCTAGGTTCTGAGTTAATTTCTTTCTTTCTTATACTATATCCAAACTCTGGGCAGCTCAATTGTGTGCCTACACTGGTATACACACCGGTGAACTCATGGGCGTCGCCAGATTTTTTTCTAAAGGGAGCAAAACATATTTTTCCCAAAAAATTCTTGTATTTCTGAACAAATTCTCGATTTCTCAGTTTTAGACGGGGGCAGGGACATTTTGCCCCCCCCCCACTCATTCAATTTACACCACTATGACTTCGCGCCTCTTTTTCTTTTCTTTTTTTCTCTCAGTTTTTTCCCCTTCCTTTTTTGTGTGCTATTCCGGGGGGGGGAGCGCCCCCTTGCCCCCCTCGCGACGCCCATGGGTGAACTTAGTCTCAAATTAACGGAACTCTTCTCTGCATGCTAGTCGGAAGGGGAAAAACTCTTCAAACAAATGCATCAGCTCACAGAGCCTCCCGTCCTCGTAATTGTTTGCATCCCAAGAAATGTAAAGAAATGAGGAACGGCCCTGATGGTGCTGATAGCGAGTCCCACTCCTTGATAAACTCTGATTCACGGCAGCAACTCTCTTGGAATAATAATTATCCTACAACAAATTAATATCGACGATTTATTTCCTGACCGGTTTTCCTTGGCCTTGCTATTTTCTCAGCCATAAAATCACTTCTTAAAGAATTAAATTCTGTGCTTAATAAGAATTCCTGGTGGCGGCCATTCTCCTTCCCATTTTATTTTTTGATGTAGTAGCGGCATGTATGATTACGCCCCTTCCCAATAAACCCGTGGCGCTTTTGCCTTCGCCGTGGCGCTTTTGCCTTCGCCGTGGCGCTTTTGCGCTTGCCGTGGCGCTTTTGCGCTTGCCGTGGCGCTTTTGCGCTTGCCGCGGCGCTTTTTGTTTTGCCGTGGCGCTTTTTCTTTTGCCGTGGCGCTTTTTGTTTTGCCGTGGCGCTTTTTCTTTTGCCGTGGCGCTTTTGCGCTTGCCGTGGCGCTGTTGTGCTTGCCGCGGCGCTGTTGCGCTTGCCGCGGCGCTTTTGCGCTTGCCGTGGCGCTTTTGCTTTTGCCGTGACAGTTGTGGGCCACCGTATGTATACATATAGGAATACCTTTGCGCCATTCGATCGATCTTGCAGGAATGGCTATGATAGTGCATCACTTTTCAGTGACGATTAAATTTAAAACACATCACGGGAAACGAGTTCTTTACATCTTTACACTAATGGTTATCATATTTTCTACCTGAAAATGTAGGCCTTGTTGGGGAATGGATAAGTCGATACACAATTCTTTGATTGATACGAGGACTGTGTTTACCGTGACCATTTAGTCCACAACAATATCTTAATATGCATTGATTAACTAGACTGGTTAAAGCGAACTGCGACAATGATAAATCGATGAATGAGTTGAACGGAGTGAGTAGCTGAAATTGAATGGACGGGTTGAATGAAAAAGAATGAGGAACTGCTCACGGGGCAGTAGTTATATACTGGTGGAAAACAAAATGTCTTTGGAATAAGAAATGCTTAAGGATGGGAAAACTTAGTCATGTCTTGGTTTCCTTGACTCTCAGAAAGATGATCATGAAGGAGTAATATAACCATAAAACAATGGTCAAGTAACTTGATTGTACTGAGAAACTTTCAATGCTAAAAGACCAGGGCCCAATTTCATAGCACTGCTTAACAGTAAGCAGAAAAGTTGTGCTTACTATAGCAGAAAATCATGCTGCTGCTTAAGCACTATTTCATGCTGTGAACGTGCTAACGGTTGTGCGCGCATGGAGATTCTATTGTTACGTCACTGATTTCAGCAAAGTTTTCTTCTGGGTTTTAGTGTGCTTTTGCTGTGCTTACTGCTTAACGGTCCCTATGAAATAGATTGAGGCTCGTTAAGCACAAAGTCCGCTGTTAAGCAGCACTATGAAATTGGGCCCTGTGACTTGTGTGTGGGCAGTAAGGTCATTTGCTCTGTATAAAACTACACACACCTAATGGACAGTCAAGTTCAGGTATTCAAACCGTGGACGATAAATGCTGGAGAACAAAAGAAAACAATATCGTCCGCGATACGCCCGCGATTGGGGTCGTGTACAAAACATATGGGAGTCTTCCTAAAAAGTACAAACAAAAGAGGGACAATAGGTGGGAGGTCGATACACGACTGTGTGGGTACACATAGGCGTAGCCAGCCGGGGGGGGGGGGGGTGTAAGGGGGATATATTTTGAAAAGACTGCCCTTTTCCATTCAAATGCCCTTTGTCACCAGCTCTTACCCCCAAGTTTTGTCAAGAGTGCCTTTTTTCCGGAACAAGTGCCATTTTTTCCCGAAAAAGTGCCCTTTCTTCCCGAAAAAAGTGCCCTGTAAAAACGTATAATCGTGCCCTTTTTGTTTTCATCGGCCGTTACATGTGCCTTTTTTTTTTAATGCGACTCATTAAAAGCACCATATATTGTGCAACTGCCCCCCCCCCCGTTCCGCCGCCCCTGAGTGACCTCATTAATATTGCCGGTCTATTATGTGTAATATATAGTGAATACGCGCTTGACATATGCGTGCCTCGATTTGAAGAACTCAAACATTCTCATAATTTTTATTCACGGAAACTTTTCACTATAATTGTGTCGTCCCTGAAGTGCAACCGTCAATATTATTCGTTTAAGACCCTCTTAAATCTTATGAATTGTCGTAATTTGACTCGGAAACAAACTCGCGAATTATGGTCCAGGTCAAGTAGAAAACCACAGACGCCGGATGCTTTGTGCATAAGGCCAAAACAAAATGTCTCCGGTTTCTGGTATGTGCGCGCGTCGCCGTAGCCATGCGCGTCAGCAAAATGAAACAGTGTTTTTTTCAATGAAAGATATTGTCTCAACACGAAACTCACTGGTTTGACTAGAATCCTGCTGCTGCACAATTTTAACGTGTTTTTAGATGGGGTTATGATCGAGAATAAGCTTTATGTGGCCTCTCTGGTCTCCCATAATATTTGCACTAAGTTTAGTCGGGCACCATTTGCAGTCATCAGCCGACATTTGAAGCAAAAAAAAAGGTAAAAAAAAAAAAAGCCGCGTCGCCGCACCACTTTTTGGGCAAGCTCCATACCAGAAACCGGAGACTTTTTTTTGGCCTAAGACTTTAACGAGTAGAAACGAGCTACTCAAGATGACTTAGGAAAATACCCTTGCACAGTCAGGGTCTATGATATGCGAGCAGATTCAGCGATTAATTATGCAAAACAAGACTGCGTGGATCTTCATTCTGACCGTGACCATTCAGCAGGCGCCTTCGACAGTCTTCCGTAACCCATTGTTTTATTACAAAAACATGGTATCCAAATTGACCAATCCACAGCTTAGTCCGCATTGCCGATCAAAATGACGTCACGATTTATAAAGTCGACTCCGATTGGCTGCGCGCGGCTCTGCTTCTTCTACTTCTGCTTCTATACTGTACACACTGCCCTGTTGGACTATATCTCGGTACAGAAATGTGGACTGTGAGCTTAGATTTTGAAGTGGGCGCGGCCATAGATTCCCAACATGGATGTCGTCCAAAGATGATGACGTCACTAAAGTCGACTCCGATTGGCTGGCGCGCGCGGCCGGGGTCGCATAAAATTTGCATGCTAGATCGTTGTGTAGCCGGCTCGATCTGCACACGTACATGTCTGATTATGATATCAGACTACTTATTGACTTTTGAGTGCCCCTTCCAGAAAATCAGCCACCAATTGCTCCGCAAATTGGACAAGTACGTAAATCGACTGATCACGAGCCGGCCATGCATGATGCTTGATCGCGCCCGCTGTGCGCTCGTACTCATCGCCCCTCTGCCAACAACATATCTCATGATAGCGCAGCGCGATCTCATGATAGCGATGCTCCGCCGATCGCGCCCAACAATATTAATTTTTGAGAAAACCCCGGTTGGTCTCCGTCTCCGGTTCTAGCTATCTATAGCGAAACTAATTGTACGTCTAAAACCGAATTGGAGACGAAAATAAATAAGTAAGTTGGGGTTTGACAACCATGCACCCTAAATATCGAATAAACGAAGTTTTCGCTTTGTCATACATGGCGCTTCATACAGTTTTGATGCATCCGCAAAAAGGTCACGCAAAGAGTGGTCGGAACCAGTCTATTATTTTTAATAGAGACCACTAGCTACTGACATGACCAGCAGTGATTTTTTAGAGGCGGAAACCAGTTTATGTACGTGGGGTACCAGTATGTTGTCGATGTTGTGCCCATTCTTGAAAATCACGCATTCTCGAGAATGGGCGTGCACATTCTTGAGAATGTGCAACTGGATCCTTGCTCAATCTTGGCAAAAAATAACTCTTCCAGATTGAGCGCACATTCTCGAGAATGCGCGACAAGATAACGGTCTTGTCGATGCCGAGCACCGGCTGCGCTTGGCAAGTCTAGCTGAATCCTCGTTCACTGATTCTCAATAATTATACTGTTGCAACGCAAGGCGCTGAAAAGTAGAGTGGATATGATAAGTAAAGGCGTATTAATATGGGGGAGGGGGGGGACCGGGAAAATATAAGAGACATAATAATACTAGTGCAAAGAATTCTGATTTTTGGGATAATAAAAGCGGGGGGGGGGGGGACGTAAGAATGAAGAATGTGAAGAATGAGAATGAATACTGCGACATCCCATAGTGCTAATGCTATTTCCCATTTAAATTGCCACCAATTTATTGTTCACATCCCACCATAACGTCGCAGAGCTGGATTCTATCTAGTCAAAAGAGCAATTTTGGCAGCTTCTGGACATCGGTTTTTTTCGTGGCACGCATATGATACATGCAGGGACTTGTAACTTGTCTAGCCTAAACAAAGCACTTCCCAGACTAGTTCCCAGTCCTCCGTTATTACAAAACTTCCCATAGTGGGCAGAAAAAAGCAATAATAACAGGTTTAATTTGATTCAAATTATCGTAGTTATACGAGTACAGAAGCATAGCACATTTTCTTTCCTCTTTATATGAATTGTTTCCCTTTTAACCGCTATACAATTCATTTAACATAATTATGTCGTGCAATGTTTGTTAAGATTGGGCAAAATTCATAAATTGTGCACGTGATATTCCCACCCAATCTTAAGAATGAGCGCTCATTCTTAAGAACGCGTGCTCGTTCTTAAGAATGGGCGCTCATTCTTAAGAATGCGCGCCCATTCTCGAGAATGTGCATGCCCATTCTCGAGAATGCGTGATTTTCAAGAATGGGCACAACATCATCATCATCATCTGTGTTGTTTTACTATTCCTCTATGCATCAGCTGACGTAAAAAAAACAAGTTTATTGTAGGGCTACATGCATGTGATCATTACTGTTAGTATACGTGTATGATGTAGCCATATTGAAGGCCTGAACTACTTTCAAAATATTTGATACAGTGCAGTGTGTAAGTGAGTTAGGTTAGTGACTTTAATTCGTAACGTACATGTACAGATGTAGGTAGGGCCTACTCCTCCTAGAACTATGACTGAGGCTCCACGTAGTGGGCTCCACTACGTGGAGCCTCATAGTTCTAGGAGTAGGTTACTCCTAGAACGGGAAAATGTCCATACTCGGACGTCCATTTATCTGCTGCCAAACATATTAATTGTCACCTCACCTTGTCATTTGAACCAAGAGAAATCCAGGAAGCTGTGTTAAGGTGAAAAAAATTTACTCAAAATGTGTTTTTAGAGCACATTTTGGATGCATACGTTGTGCAGAACTAACTTGAAGCAGCCGGTCAAAACTGATTGTAGTGGCTGAAAAGACAGTGGTACGTTATACAGGTGACATCAACAACCATGACGTCGCATGAGCCTGCCAATGATAGTGCAATACGTCATTATGAATATTTATTTTATCATGAATATTTAGTTTATTTCAATGGATACTTCAAATACGTCCAAAGATTGATTATTGCAACAGCGATCGTGCGCAGCCTAGCGGTTAAGAGTCTCGTGTGTCAAGCAAGCGTCAGAGGTTCAAATCCCGATGAAGTAACTGACTGATTAATAAATAGAAATTAAGGAAAGGAGAGGGTGAGAGTAGAGGAGGGAAAGTGGAGGAATAACCATAAAAGATGTAACTTTTGGCGCTAGAAAATTAATTGAAAAAAGTGACGTCCGAGTACGGAATTTTTTCCCCTAAAACTATGAGGCTCCGCTCACGCGGAGCCTCATAGATCAAGAAGCCCGCAAAATTGCCTGCAGCACAAAACACTAATAAAGTTTGTACTTTATTAGTGTTTTGTGCTGCAGGCAATTTTGCGGGCTTCTTGATCTATGAGACTCCGCTCACGCGGAGCCTCATAGTTCTAGGAGTAACCTACTCCTAGAACTATGAGGCTCCACGTAGTGGAGCCCACTACGTCCATCAAAATGCATCCATTTCACACAGAACAGCTGCACAGTTTGCCCCTATACTCCGTACTTTATCTCTTGACATACTCACGTATCTTGTGCGGAACTAACATAGGTGGATTCTGTCGGTTTTTAGGCCAAAATGATGAAAAATATGCCCTTTCCGCACTGAGCCAACCTGACACTTGAAACGTACACGCATATGATCGAGCGATGATTTTTGGTTCGCTCGCCGCGGGGGGTACGGTACAAGCGAAATGATGTGCATGCGTACAAATGACAGATTCGACAATCGCGTAAATTCACAGGAAGCTCAACAAGTAAGTGATTTACCTATGGGCAAAATTATACGTGGTTATGTGTAGTGGATCAAAAGCTTGTATTTACCCGAGGGAAGCGCACAACGCCATGTTCACGGGTCTAGTCTAGAGCCAGTATACCGACTACAGTCCATATCCAAGGCCCTATACAATAAGTTGCTGAAAAAGAAACACTCTTTCTTGCCAACATTATTCGGCCCATTTTCCTGTAAAACAACTGAACAAGTCAAACAAACACTTTTTTCCTTTTTGGTGAAATTTGGATGTCCTGTAAACCATTGAACATTTTGTTTATGGCAAAGCCTATATTACTGTCAGGTGTATGATTGTTGTATAGATCTGTTCATCTTCTGGATTATTTCTTCACAGACTACGTGTAGGTCAGGATCATGTCTGGAGCACCACCACAGAGTCAGCAGGTCTCGAGACAAGCTGAAGGGCCTGGAAAATGCACATCATTTACCATTCGTGCAACTGCAGCGGTTGCTGGCATAAGTAAGTAAAACAAAAATAATCATAAAGTGAAGTTAAATGCCATTGTTTTATTGATGGAAATTTTTCAAGGTTTCAAATTCTTATTTGCCGTATTGCAAAAATGGTTCCTTACGAGTCTTGTCCAAAGTTGGATTTGGTTTAAAATTGTTTAACCCTAATGTATCTGAGTGAATCCTTCAAAATCCACATCCCTGTTGTGGAGGATTTCGGCGGATTCAGAATACCTCCATATTGAAAGAGTTGGGGGATTTTAATTAATTCAGGACAGTAAGCCTAGCGGTACTGTAGGATTTTGATGGATTCAGGATACCTCCATATTGAGCAGCTGAGGAACTTTGATGGATTCAGGATCTCAAAAGTTTAACTCATTGGCTATATGTTTGGTGTGTATGAGGTATATGTACTACACTGGCGGATTCTGATGGACTCGGGACACCAACGTTTTTTTGCATGACAAAATTGGTGGATTTTGGAGGATTCAGGATATTTTCTAGTACAAGTGCTCAAGGGGTTAGGGTTAATGCGGCCAGATCCCAATCCGTGGCACGCGTGCCAAATCATTGCAGCAGTACTAGAGCGTGCTTTCAACAAGATGAATAGTCTTGGGAAGTTTGGCAGAGTGACCCAAGAAATTTTTGGCTTGCATACAGGTCACCTCAATGGAGTGCTATTACTTCTTTGGAGGGGTGGGGTTACACAAAATCTAATTTGGTGATCATGTCTCAAAATGTTTTATGAAGAACACCAATGCAACAAAATTTGGCTTGAATGAAGAGATATGTACGTGTAAGAAATCTCATGCAAAAAGTGGAAAACAATCCCAAAAATAAAGAGAAATTGTGCAGAAATGATCAAATTTCAAATTGTTTTTTGTTTTGTTGGCAGCCATATTGGATTAAAAGAATGCATTTTTGATATATCACGTGACTGCTTTTTAAGTGAATACATGTATGTACAGTACTAGGTTTGAGAAAAGAAATCATGTTTTCGATTGACAAAATGTGCATATTTCCATGTATTAGAAAATGAACACCAATTTGATTGCCAAGATTTTTGATAAGGTAACCAATGGACATCCAACAGAAATAAAATATTGTGGTGTTATTTGTTTACTTTTAGTTTGTGCGATCACGGGCTGTCTGACTTTCATCACTTTTTCACCAATGTGTCTCGTGGCTGGCATTTATTTAATGTAAGTATATGTACACAATAATAATAATAATTTGGGAGGCTAATCATCCTTACTGGCAGCTGAGAAGCTGAATTGCGAAGGACGCGGCTACAACGTTGTCGGGCCGCTGGCACGTGAAGGCACCTATGGCTGCCGGCCACATCGACCCATATATGACCACAGAGCACAGCAAGAGATCGAAAGTGTTTGATTTTTCTGGAGGGAGGAGATCGGATGGCCCGGAGAAAAACCCTCGTGGCACAGGATAGAACCAACGCAGAACTCTGCCCACATATGGCATGTATGGTCCGCGGACGGGATTCGAACCAGGGCCACAGTGGTGAGAGCCTAACGCTTGACGCTCAAGCCACCCATGCCACCACAAGTTCTACCATCTTGTGCCTGTCTGCTTGTGTATTTAGAATAGTCCAGATTATAGACTGTGTGTCATGCCGACAGGCAACCAGCGGGCACCCAAAACATTTAAGCATCTTTTGCATGTTATTTGGCCAAAATTAAACAGTGTTCCCAACACTTTAAAACCATTCAACATTTAAGAGAGATACATGTACATGAACATGCAGTGCAGAGGAGAACAGTAACCGTTTGCTGCAAAGTTGGCATCACGTGATGACAACACCCAATTTGTAAACAAATGTCACATGGTCAATGCAAATGAGAATTAGACTTGGTGTTGTTACAAAATGTAAAATATGTACATAAAGTCTGTGTGTTCTCACCAAGGGCAGGTTCAGAGAGGTTTATACTGCAAGGGTGGGGGTCTCTCTCTAGGGGTGTGCATTTACGGGTTGTACAGGAACTGGGTACCCGATTGAAAAAAAACCCATGGGTACCCGTTAAAGAAACCCAGCCCGAAATTCAAATCTCGGAAGTTGCTGTTTAGATTGTTCATCAAGGTCTGCATGACAATACTGCCACATCAGTGCACCAATACAGCAAGATACAAGTGTGTACAGTGAGCTTTACAGCTTTACGGTGTAACTTGCAACTTTCACGAGCGTCAAAAATGTGAAATATGTTTTGTTTTCCTAGCCTGGTTTTCATTTTTAAAATCCTCCACTAATGACATTCGAAACCTTTTCATTTTTACTGTCTGAGAAGTTACTTAGTAATTTGTAAAGTTGGTTGCGGTTACCCGATTCCATAATCTGGAACCGGTTCCTGACATTAACGGTCGGGTACTCGGGTACCCGGTTCCGATGCCCAGCCCTAGGGGTGCCCCCTCCTCACCTCCCTGGATTTGTCATTGCTTCACTTGCGACGTAAAAATGCGCAAGACTTAAAATGTTGTCTGTGTCACATCCTTGATCAAAGCACTTCCTAGATGGCGGCTGCCATTTGATGCCCATAATGTTCAAACTTGCTGATGTGAAACGATAGAGAAATATTGTGACACAGCAATGAAATTTGTAATTACTGATAAAGATCGTTCTTAACACTTATACACAAAAGTGAATGTTACAGATTGCCAACTGTGCCCGTATTTTTTTTATTGCAGACTGCTTGGGATTCTGATTGAGATGTTTGAAGCTCCTATCTGTTGTCAGTACTTCAAACTGACTGACAAGATCAATACCTGGGGCTCCAACCTCCCAGCTTGGTTCAAAGCTTTAATGTATTTTGTGTAAGTATCTAGTAGGCTCTGCCGAATATTGGAATATTCGATCATCAACTGATTATCCGAATAGCATTCAAATATTTGAACAAATTTGAGCGGTCTCAAGGAGACGATGAAAAGTGTCTGAGACGTTCTGTTAATCGTAGATGTTGTGTGGTTTATTATTTGTCAAATGCCACACTTTTTTGTCATGTTTGTAGTCTATCACCCACAGAGCCCTCTCCATAACCAACAGCTGATATATCTTAGCAATGCAAATTGTATGCGACCCCGTTCATCAGCCAATCACAGTCGACGTTTGAAATTGTGAGGTCATTTGGATCATGAATGTGGACTAAGCTGTTGATTGGTCAATTTGGCTGCCATTTTTTTAAAAATACAACGGGTTACAGAAGACCTGATAGTAGACGCCCGCTGAATGGTCAGAATCTCGAGGTCCAGACTGCTCGCATATCATAGACTTCACTTTATCATAGACTACACTTTTCGGTCAGTATGTGCCGATTTTCATGAGGAGATGACACTCAAATGACATCAAGACAAAAGCTGATATTTAAGACATTAACCCTAACTCCCTAGGGGTGATTTACTCGGAACCTTCCTCATCCTTGCAAATCCCAAAATACAATTGTTGCCTGCTGTGGCAGTTCCATGGTGTTTTGTACACCCGAGGGGGCAAATGGCACCCTCAGCTTCACCTCTAACCATGGTATAACAACACTGGTAAACTGTGCACACAAACAGTTGGACTCTGTTTATTTGTGGTGTACCTAATCCCACGTAAAGCACAGTCAGTTTACTAGTGCAGTACCCATCCTAACAGATTCCAACAAACCCTGGTGTTGGAGTTTGGCTGGTTAGGGATCGTTAGGGTTAGTGAATGATCACTTCTCGTTCATTCTGAATGAAACGATCGTTTGGTAGTAAAAAGACAACATGGTGATTGTGTCTCTTTTTTATTGCAGCCTACCCATATTTGCTATTATTATGTGCCAAGGAATATCTGTCATCATTGGCGCTCTTGTCGTGATTGCTGTTGGTCTCATGTATGGCATGGTCTTTATTGGGAAAAAGTAAGTACATAGTTTCTTAAAATTTGCCAATAATTCTCCTGTAACCCTCCCTTTCTGGCTGGCAATTTCGACAAGGCCAGCCCAGCAATAAAAATAGATAATATGACTGTTTTTAACAGTTGAGTGCTTCTAGCTTTCATGAAGCAGGATTGACTGGCTGTGATTGTTATGAAACCTGATATACATGTAGCTATGCTTTGACTTTAGGCCGAAAAAAAAATACTTCTGCACTTCCGATTACATGCCTTTCAAAAATAGGCTCGGTCAGTCGGAAATTTTTTTTTTGGCCAATTTTTTTTATGTAGATTGAATGGGGTATTCAATTATATGCGAAGTTTTAGCCTGAACTATTTCCATTGCACTACGAAAGCTATACACAAAATGGCCACGCAAAGTGAATAAAACCTACCTTAATTATTGTCAATATATTTACGTTTGATAATTCTTTAAAAATAATGGAAAATTCAGGCCGTTCGCATCATATGCACAACGCTAGTCAAGACGGGAAGCTGGCCAAAACTCTGAAGTGTGTGATGCACTGTGCATGTGTGGCCCGCGGCCGACAGACCTCGTTTTACGGTCGAAAATTTCGGGAAACACGCTGCATGTATCACTCCAAATACGAGTAGTGCGATCTCAAAATGAACTCTTGAACACGGAAAATACATACACAGACTAGATAAATCAATTCTGTGAATTAACTTGCAAAATATGTTCTTTCTCCATCGGTGTTTTCTTGGCATTTTTACGATGTCGAATCCGACCAGTTGACACTGACAGTGCACGTGCCTAATAGCCATGCTAGCGCTAGCGATCGCATAGCCATGACAGACTGGTTACCGCACTTTCATCATGCCTTCTAAATTGGCCCCTGCGCGGCGCGGCGGGAACCAGTCGTCACTGCATTGAGCAAGGTTTACCACGTAATAAAAAGTCACCGTGACATCGCATTGCGAGGTATGATGACAGATCGCGAAGCGAATTTGGTTTCTTTTGAAAAAAAAAATAGCGAATGTAAGTAAGAAAACAAATAAATACAAGCATTTTTTGAGGCAAATGGGTTGTTGAGAGGTATTTTGTGAAGACAGAAAAGACAAAAAGTTTTTATCTTTATTTATTCAATCATTATTTTTTTTTTTTTTTTTTGGAATTGCCGACAACATTTTTAGGGTCGCAGTCTAAAAATGGGGTCGGTCGGGTAACCGGAAGCAGAAGTATTATTTTGTTTGGCCTTAAGAGATTGATAAGCTCGCTGTGCCTACCAGTCACCTGCTTTTGTCTGTTGATGGAATTTGACTGTCACAGTGCCTACAAGAAATATGATCTTACTGTTGGTGACTAGCCTGTGTCAAAGGCATGGCATGGGAAGAGGACTGAGTTTTTGACAGTCTGTGACTGATCCAACAAAACGAGGATTAGTGATGTGTAACTAGTAAAATTTAATTGACTAGTCGATAGTCGTGTGATAAAGAGTTGTGACTGCCCGACTAGTCTTGACTATTTGCCATATGGTGTTATTAGAAAATATCTATAATTATGGAGAACTACATTGACACAGTGAGGTGTGTCTGTGCTAAGAAATATATTTGACAATGCCACGCTCATCCAATTCTTGTCAGTTTCTTGTTTTTTCCCTCCAGTTTCTACATTTTTTCCAGTTTCTTGTTTGACGAAACGGCCATTCAAATGTTCATTTCATAATTTCCAAATGCAGGAATAAACATGTACATTGATCTTCCAATGAACTTTCCCCATGAATTTTCCCAAGTTTGTCCTTGCCCCCCCCAGCTTGCCCGCCCCCCCCCCCCCCCCCCCCCCCCCCCAGTTTCCCCTCAACACTTTATCAACAAATAGATTAATTATGTTTATTTTCTTTGCTGTTAAGATTCATAAGATGTGGACACATTTTGGGCCAATGAAAGCATTATAAACGTACTTTGGTAGACAAAACACGCCATACATGCATTTATACAGCCGTAGATAGTGCTCAGCCAACGTCTTTATCATTTGTTATACATTTGTTATACACCATTCTGCGGTTTTAAAACTTTCTCATTCATTAAAAACGACTACACATAAACACTTCTTAGTTGCTCTAGTGGCTTATTTTCGACGCAGTACACAGGCTTAAGATGTTATTTTGACTGCCCCAAAAACTATTCCCTTGCCCCCCAATTCCCCCCCCCCCCCCAATTTTAGAGTCTGGCGCCGCCACTGTGGACCATTTGGTTCCAAGACGTCCTTAGCGGTGCGATGATTCAGCACGCACAGACCTGCTTCACCAAAGTGCTTGGCTTTCGCCATGGCTCTGGCCATTATTGGCATCCAGGCCCCAAGCTGGTTATAAATGTACTTGTTTAAAACTACCCAAGCACATATTTATTCCTTCAGTAAATTCCCTTCAGTCTAATTTGTATGATGCAAGTGTTAAAGTGAACAAGCACACTGATGTGTGCATAAAATATATTCAGTTGTCTTTCAAGCTAGATTTTTGGATGGTTCAAGAGTTTTCTGTTTGGATTTGCTGCAGGGGAGATGGTGTGAGCCGTGCTAGAGAAGGCCACCAGTTTGATGCAGTCAACTTAATGGAGACTGAAGAACACAGTTTTACAAAAGCCAACCCATGAACTCAACTCCCTAATGGGTATTTTGGTGGTTAGTAAACATTCACATTGTCTCACTGATTCAGATTTGAGTGAAAAAAAAAAACCCAAAATGGAAACAGGTTAATTTAAAGGGCCCATGCAATGTGATTTATTTTACTGAAATCCTTGAAATTTGTTTCACACTTAACCTTAATTTCAATTTTCGTTTTGCCATTATCAAGGGTATTTTGGTCAGCTTTCTTTGCTTTTATGCTGATGCAAATATCATATTAAAAAGTGTGATGTCAATTTCAGGCAGAAACCTCTGTTGCAGCACCACAAGTTGCCAGAATTATGGATATTTGTCTGTCGTGAATGTTCTTTTCTTTGGTGATTCGTTGTAGTGTCAGCACTTTAGCAAACTTCTCACAGATATTTTCAATGAGCAATTTTATGGGTGCACAATCTGAACAGGACACCCCTTAACTGAACAGTGTCTTCCTGAAATGACATCACGGCAACAGCGCTCTCAGTTGTGCGGAAAAGCATGGAAAATATTTTAAGAAGAGCACTTTCCAATCAAATTAACCAAAAAGGAATTTCAAATAGTTTTTATACATTAACCCTAACGTCCTAGCCATTACTTTGGGATAAAGAACTGAGTACTACAGAAATGTGCACACATTATGCTGAAGTATTTTATACTTCAGTTTACTACTTCATGTAGTAGTATTTTGTAGCTTTAGGCGAGGTTAGGGTAAAAGAGGTGTAGAAAGTTGCACAAAATGTTTTTCTAAGAAAAATTTATTCCATGGACCCTTTAATGGACAATAAGAAATAACTAAGAACAGTACATGTACTTGAGACAAATATTTAAATGAAGATACCAATTTTGCTGTACCATTGCTGCACCGTTGCATGAAATTAGAACTGTTCCCTTAACCGTAACTTAGGACAAGCTTCAAGGGAATTGGGTTAGACTTTTTTTACAATTTATTTATTTTAAATTGGCAATTAGCCAGAATAGCCCATTAATACTTTCTGACCTACTTGGAGTTGGGTTGCTTGGTAGAAGAAAAGGCGGGAAAGGACGAGGCAGGAGAGGTTGAAGGAAAACCCGCAGAGACATTCCAGGGAAAACCCATGGAATCAGGTCGGGGGAGAAAACCCAGACCGCATCATGGCCTGGGCAGGATTCGAACCCTAGTCACACCAGAGGAAGTGCCACCACCGCAGCCAAGTTGATCCCCTGTGTGATCTCCCATAGCTGATACCCCTTATCCCCAAACCTGATCCCGGAGTACTTTTTTAATGTAAACAACGGAGCTGTTCACTGGACGAAACTCGTTTTTGAATAAGATTATTCACAATTAATCTGGTCACTTTACTGCAATTTACATATACATAATACAATAAGTCAAATGAGTAGGGCAAGCTGTCCCTAATGTACCGAATACATGTACTTGAATACATGTATTCAAAAATTGTCACTCTAGTACCTTTATCTAATAGTCGTGTAAGTAATTTATATATGTATATGTGTATTTATGCTATATGTTGATCACTTGTTTGTACCAACATACTGCTCTGTCAATCATATTAAATATATGGCTGTATATCATTGTTTTCGTGGGTGGCTGCTCTATGTTCCGAAACCCCTGTGGTCTGACAACCTGCACATAAGATCGTGATACTGCGGGTTAGGGTTAAGGATAGGAATAGGATTATGTGCAGTCGGAACATAGGGTGTCTGAACATAGGGGTGTAAACGTTTTGGTGTGTAAATTCAGAATCATTAGTTTTTGTTGTAGACACTTGGAACAAATGTTGAAATGTCAGTGCTCTACCCTGTACTTCACCTCGCATCAATGTGTCTTGTTTTTGGTTTAGGATTGTATACGTCCTTTTTTCTTTATTTTCTCCAAATACTACAATGAACCTTCGGCCAAGGTGCTTTAGACCGAGTATCATCCGCTTTTTAGAGCCCATCTTCAAGTGGAAAACATCTATTCCATTGTTCCTTTGTGTCCTGTTGTATTTATGTCAAAGAGACTAGAGAAAATTCGTAAAAAGAAAAAAATTGAAGACAATAATGACTGACATCATTTTTTTACTTTTCACAGACAGTTACTCAAAGCTATAACGAGTGCAATTAGAGTTGAAAGAGAGAAGGAATTTAAAGAAAAAAATGGCCTAGTTTTACCACAATTGTTACATGTTCATGTATATGCTTATTAGTCTAAATGTTTAAATTAATCTTCTGTTCAGTGCTTATGTAGAAAGTGTAATTGCAAGCCTATATGATATTGTATGTAGCTCATCAGACAGTTGGGTGTTGTGGTAAATATCGTCACTTATGAATGTTTCACATTCGTGCAATGGAAAGAATGATTTCATGAGGTGACAGATGGAATGTTCCATTTCACTCGGCTTCACCTCGTGGAATGGAACATTCCATCTGTCACCTCATGAAATTGTTCTTACTATTGCAGTCAAACATTCATTATTTGTGTATATTATTGTTTTATGTTATGATGCGAACATTTTGTACTTAGGCTTGTTGGTTTCTGCAATAATACATCATAGCCCCAGTATGCTAATCATAAAGAATAACTCTTGTCAAGTGGGCTGAATAACTTAAATATCTAGCTAGCTCCATTAAGTGTAGTACACGACAGACACAGTCGGTAGGTGATAACACGCAACAAAAATGACTGCTTTTTAAATTAAAATATAAATTAACCTGATTGAATTCCCACTGACATAAACTTCAATTAATTTGAATGATTCAAATATATTTATTGATAATAATGGCCAGTCCATTCGATGATTGTGGTTTAATGGAATCACATGAAACCCATTATAATGTACATTTGAAATCACTCAGTTTTCAGGTAAAAAAAATATATCTTATTTATTAATTCCCATCTGTAATTTTGTATCGTCTTCAAAACCAATGCTTCCATCGTAAAAAGCCAGTAACTGTTGTAAATGTTGTGAACAAAATATATTAACCTTAAGTTAAAATTATATTCAGCTTGATGTGTGTGTGTTTTCAAAGTTTTTTTTTTCCGACCAGATGCATGCTACGCATGAATGCATTGCCGATGTAGTGCGAAATTTGGACTCTTATGAAATACCAACTCATTGGTTGTATTGCGCATGTTTTAAGTGTACAGAATTAGAACAGGGACAAGTCACGGGTGAGAGTTAAAGTCCGTATAACGTAAATAATGCGATCGACCACGGTAGGCTGGTCCAAACGTCGTTCCCATAGCGTCGCGCAGTACATTCCCAGTAGCTGCTCTCTCGGGCAAATTATTTAACGAAAACAAGAGCTTTTTTGGACTATGTACTCCGAAACAGCTAATTATCTGCTTCAGATTAATCAAAATTAACGCACAGAGCGACCGGCCGGCCTATGCAAATTCGAGTGTGGGGTGGGGGGGGGGGGGCTTATTTGACTCTAGAGGGCGTTCCTTTTTCTTCTAAAGTTTCTTCAATATTTCAAGAAGCCGTGAAGGGAAATGGGATAAGTAGACTAAAGCAACGCTTAATGTCCCCACTCACTCAGTGGATGAGTTAAAGATCAGTCGTGATTGATCAGCTAAAAACGAGCAGCACTGAAGATTACCATATGTGAAGTTCACTAATTTTCCTCTGTATTGACTAACAAGCCCCCAGATAGCAATTTCATGTCATCAAAGTCAATTTGAGCAGTGAGAAAATACGAGCATTTTCTTAGAAAGCACTTAGAATTTTTCAGTCCACTCTCGTAGGGTTTGTACACAGAGTGTTGAGTGAACTTCGTATATGGAAATCTTTCCAAACGAGCATCAAGAATCGTTCGCTCGTACCCACCACCCAAACAGGCGCATGGCCCAGTGGATGTAGGCCTATGACGTAATTTCGTCGAACCCTCATTGGATAGAATTTGTTTGAACAATAACACGGGTCAAGTTTTCCGCCTGGCGCATGACACGTGCGCACAGAATGTACGTCGTGTGCACTGAATGAGGCAGTCAGCAACCTCGTTCCCCATGGAACGATCGTGCTGCGCCATGTTGTTTCCCATCATGCCTTGCGCGATGAACGCGAACGCGCCCATGGAGTTGAGGCTGGGCAGTCAGCTCCCCACAATGTTTTGCGCGCCTGTGCTTCCTTTACCACGGGCGGATCCAGGGGTAGGGGCGTTGGCGTTCAGAAAAAAAAAGCAAGAAAGCGAGAGGGAGAGAGACACAAAATGAATAGGGCAGTTCCGTAGCCTGCTAGGATTTTCTGATCACATTATGTTCCCCCTTGGCCTTCGGCGTAGGCGCCACAACTTGCCTTCACCATTTCCTGCTTGTTACGTACATGACCCCCTTTTTAAAAATCCTGGATCCGCCCCTGATTCACAAAATTTTGTGAAGGACTGGTGATTAGCCTTTCCCAGCGCCCTGTTTGGAATTGGGCGGTGGGTACGAGCGCACAAGAATCGGTCATATTTTTTTGAGCGAGTGAGGCAGGGGCGAAAATCCTGGGGGGCTGGGGGGGGGGGGGGCTACGAGTCATCCTTCAACCAAAAAATGCGTATTTTGAAGTATTCTTTCTAACTACCCAACAACCAAAATGTATTCAACAGCACTGGAAAATGAAGAAAAAAGTACAAAAGCTTAAAATGCGCAGGTTTGATATAGTTGCGAGTACACATAATGATGTACACCTGAATAATGAACAGCGCCCCCTAGTGTAATGTGGTGCCTAGGCTCAACCCCCCTCGCTTTTCAAATTTTCACGGCTTTGGACAATTTTTGGATCTTTGGTGCGTTCGATCGTTTAGCTCACCGGGTCGACTCGGTATAGCCCCGTGCCGTTCGATATTAGTTCTGACAGTGAGCGTTCGATTAGCCCGGCTGTCGTGGCTAACCCGTCTGCCTTTTAACCGAGTCGATCCGGGTGAGCTACTCGAACGCAAGTCACCCCAGTCCCCGGCACAGATTAACGGCACTGGAGTGAGGGCGCTGTTACGACACTATTTTCTAGGAATAGAAACAGAAATATCACGTGTATCGAAGCAGGTTAGCAGCTTTGCTCCAATCTAAAATTAAAGATTATAAAAACATGTAAACTGGCTTAAAAACCTTGAATTCACTTCGTTTTGCAACCCCAAAATGACGTTACAGCGCCCCATGTTGCTCAAAACGTGGCCTGTTTTAAAATAGGTATCCCTGTTGCGAATTATTTTTTTCCCAAACAACATCGATGGTTGTTGAGCGCCGTCTATGATACTTTTACTGTACGAACGAAGGTAAATGCCATGAATTAAGGATTGCTGTTGAGCTCTCGGGTGAACCAGCTGGATAATGCCTTGGTTTTTAGATTATGGTGTGAGTTCGAGACCACATTTAATTTTTTTTTCTTTTTTAATTTGCGGCTTTGGAGGATTTTTAAAAAAGGGTAATAAAGTCTGAATTTCAATAGGTTCTAATTCATTTCTTTTTTTCCCTTTTATCTATTTTTTCTCTCATGTTTTTAGGGAAGTAAAGCCCAAATCTCATAGCGTACACCTCATTTGCTTATGTCGTTTGCTTATGTCGAATGTCTCCCATATACAAAAAGAGAGAGAGAACACCAGTCAGTATGTCCGAAACCACAAGGGCGGATCCAGAACACAATTTTTTACTCTTTTTTTTGGGGGGGGGGGAGGGTTTAAAAAAATGTTGGTCCCCCCAAAGTGCGTCCATTATGGCGTGGGGTTCGGGGCCCGCTTAAAGGCCCCGATTTTTTTTTTGATTGTAGATGCCCTGTGATGCGATCTGAGGCAATTTCTGACCACTTTGACCATTTTTTGGAGGAAAAGATGGTGGTGTACGCAGTGCCTGCCTTTATTGCGACGTCAGTTAAATTCAAAACTTAGGTTCTTTTTTTTTGGGGGGGGGGGGACATGGCCCCCGTTGCCTCCCCCTGGATCCTCCCTTGCAAAACCATGGCGACATTTCCATGCAGCCGGCGGTGTATAAGGAAAAGGTCTTCCCGTTACTGAGAAGGGCTGCAAATTCTGGACAAAGCTTCACGATTGCAATGCTTGATTTTTGTAGGGAATCCTTATTGTAATGCACTCTTATATAGCTGCGGTTATATTTACTGACGCAACTCCCGCTGATCCGCTGTAATGAGGATAAATCGACGGCGGTAGGCCTCCTCGCAACCCACAGCCGGACAATAAGACATTGCTAAGTCATCTGTAATTGACAGGTAGAGCAACACAGAAACCTGTCACTCACACGCAATTCTTAGAGGGAAAAAAGAAGGAAAATACACTTGCTAATCCATCACTACGACCTCATTAAGGCATCTGCAAGAAAAAGAATGTGAAAGATGTATGGTCATCGTATCGATGGTAAGATAAATCTGAGCGAATTGTCCGTTAAATTCTGCATAATTATCTCAAGCAAGGGTTACAGAGAGACGGTTTGGGAGCTAATTGCCCTGTTGGTGCCGTATCTCCGTCCACACAATGGACAGCTTTTGCGATAGCAGGTCTTGCATGGGCGCTTGAAAAAATGCAAGCAAGGACGGACGGCGTAATTTGGGATGGTCAAGTGAAAGGCTTGGAACGGCCCATTGTGTTGTCTCCGTGTGGCTATTGTCCCGTGGAATTTCATGGAATTCAGTGGTTTGCCGTGTAAGACAGTTATCAGCGTCATCAGTCAGTGAGAGTACGCATCCAGCATTCGTCCGTTTTTGACCGGCCGTGACATTTTCCTTTTTCTTTCTTCCCTCTTTCCCCCATTTTTTTTAGGGGGTGGGGTGGGGGCTTGAGAAGGGGTTCCCTCTGGGAGTGTGCCACTACAGATATCCACAAGATGGTTTAGTTTTTAAATAACAATTTATTTCGTAAATATGCAACATGCTAACAACAATGTAAGAAATACTTGCTCAAACCATGACACCGTGCCAAACTTTGATTGACTCATATTGGTATACCATAGTTCAGTCATAACTAATATATTTTGTTTTGATCATGCATGTATCAAAGGTTTTCGGACTTTTGCTTCAAAATTAATAACTAATAAGTAAATAATAATAAAAAGGAGGATGTGTACGGTATTTTGTGCGCATGTTATACACTGGTATGAAATTACCTTGAACATTTTAAAGGCAGTGGATAATTTGACTACAATCAACTCGCTGAGCAACAATTTGCCTTTTTAAGGCCAAAAAAGTCTCCGGTTTCTGGTGTGGAGCTTGCCCCAAATATGGTGCGGCGACACGGGGTTTTTCCCCTACTTTTTTCTTCTTCAAACGGTCGGCTGATGTTGCAGATGGCGCTTCGATACCCTTAAAACTCTAAAAAATATCCGTCAGAGTGGAGCTTGAGGGGACCTCAGTAAGGCCTTATGGCTTGAGAATGCTGCACCCACTTACGATCTCGACCAACACGAACATTCTTCGGGAAATTTGGATAGTCAAGACAAAAATCGGAGAAAACGGTAACGTCAGACCATGCAGCGACATCGACATCGTGCATGTGCTGCCAGGCTGGTCATTAGTCTGCTCCCTAACATATTGCGCTGATTAAAAAGCGTTAACAGGAGTTCCAGATACACGGCTATCGCTCCCTCAGTCTGGCTTCCGGACGCACAATTACAAAATTACAACACGGTCTGCAAATGGTGCCCGACTTAATTTGGTGCAAAATATATGGGAGCGCAGAGAGGCCACATAAAGCTTATACTCGATCATAGCCCCATCTAAAACACGTTATTGTGCAACAGCAGGATTCCAGTCAAACAAGTGAGTTTGGCGGTTTTGAGACATCATAATACAATGAATTTAAAAAAAAAATTCTGCCGACGCACTTGGCTACGGCGACGCGCGCTGACATTAAAATATACGAACATGAAACTCTGATATTCCCGCGAACAGACACCTATGACAATTAATGGCAATGTATAGTTGCTCAAACCACAGTAACAAAAACTCAATTTTTCTTTCTGATTTGCAACTAAAAATAAATTATGATGTCTGATTTGTTGCTGACAATACTCTCAGATAGAAAGGTTTTTTCTCTAATGTTAAAGCCACGTAGGATCATTTGCAATAACCTGGAAAAGTACCAACCGAATCAATGACAGGAACCTTGCTCAAAGTCAAGATAGGACTGGTATCAAATACCCTGTGAAATTATTCCTTCTGAAATGGCATTGTTTGGAAGAAAACAAACAGTGAAGATGGTTTCAAAATAGGGTGCTCACGGGTAGACATTACCTGGGTTAAGAGAATCCAGTTATGAGAGACCCAGAAATTGTTCATGCGTCTTGTCTGTTTTCTCAAAGTGTATTGTATCCACTGAGCTGAAATTTCAACATGTTATTAGTTGTTATATGCACCCTACTTGAGATTTTTAATAGCAATGTTGATGCTTCAAACGATAAAATAAAATGCACAAAAAGCAAATGATCTTACGTACCTTTAAAGCAACTACATCAGTATTAGCTTGTTATCAATATGGCGGTTGGGTAAACCCTTAAAGGGCCCATGCAATGTGTTTGTTTTAATGCAGTCCTGAAAAACACACCTTTGTGTCCCATTTAACCTTATTTTCATTTTGCCATTTTAAAGGGCATTTTGGTGCGTTTTGGTTTTTATGCTAATGCAATTTCCATATTCATGAGCTAAAGTGTGATGTTATTCCAGGCTGAAACTTCACTGTTATATTGGTATAAAAAAGGATACATTACAGTACATGACAGTAAGGCAATGAGCAATGTTTTCTCAAAAATGTTTTCAATGAGCAAATTTTAGGCTCACAATTTGAACAGAAACCCCCTAAAGTGGACAGTGTCTTCCTGAAATGACATCACAGCAACAGCACCCTCATTTGTCAGGAAAAAAATGGAAAATTTTAAAGTTTTAAGAACGTGCACTTTTCAATAAAATTAACCAAAAGGGGATGTTAAGTAGTTTTCATACATTTAAGAGGGTAGAAAGTGACACAAAATGTGCCCTTTAACGACATCAACTGCCTAGAGGGCGGCATTTTTGTTTCACAAAGATAGACATGCGTAGATCTTCCGTGTTTTTCAAGTTATTGAATTAAGATTAAAAAAAACACAAGTATCTAATATGCATCACAATGTACACACGTCCATATGTTATGGAAAAAATATATATACCTAACATTTTAATTAACAAATTATTTATTTACAACACTTTTAGTCAACAAGGTGAAGCACGTTTGGTTTCATTAAGTAGACAGCTACACATTTAACATGGGTTTGACAGTAAACAATCCAAATCAACACAAAGTAAAAAGTCTATCACCATTATCATTGCGTAGCCTGGAAAAAAAATATTTAAAACTTCTAATATTGCACTTTAAAAACTATAACTTTTCGGGCCACAGGCCGATTTATAATTTCCTCATTTTTCTCCCATTAATGGCTTAAGTGTTATCGAGATAAACAAACATTAAAGGATATCCGTTTTTTTCTATTGTTTTGTTATTAATCAGGATGCAAATTCGTCTACCCTTCTTGAGGAAATAATGCATCCAATCCTCCCAGGTCATACTACTTTTTTCTCTCCTTTTTTATTACAATTTTTACCACAGAGCTGTTTATTAATTAAAAGCTAGCCTGCTTGGTGTAGCAATGCTTGTGCACAAACCTATGGCTCGAAAGGTTGTGAAGTTTTTAGGTTTGTTGGGCTATTATTTTGTGGAGTGCCGTGGCCTCGTGGTCTGCGGATGATTCTGCAGGTTGCGGGTTCGATTCCAGCCTGGGGTTTGGGGTTATGGTGCGTGTGCCCTTGGGCAAGGCACTTTGTCATGCATTGTTTCTCCCCACCCAGGAGTAAATGGGTACCTGTGGGGGCAGAGATGGTTATTGGGTTTGATTTTAGGTCCTTTGCGCCGAAATGGTAGTCTCGAGCTGCACACTCCCCAGGGAGCTGAGATGGTATTAGGAATGTTTCATTGGCCCACTGATCACGGGTAACAATAATGTAAAGCGCCTTGATCTTAGTTAAGAGCACTTTATTCGAAACTGATTAGGTACTGTAGCCAATTCATCCAACACCGAAATAACAATCAGCAAAATGAGCGTTTCACTTGGCGCCCTACAATAACCACCCACGTGCCCGCTCAAAGGAAAACGTGCTGATGATTGCAGCGGTTTTTGTTTGTATTTCGGCGTTGTTTTCAGAACATTTTTTTTCTATTTCGTCGAATTTCAAGTGACAAATTATTCGACCATTGAAATATGCATTCAAAATATCTGCGCTCAGGGCGCTTCCGAAATTATGCTGCTTAGGGAATGAGGAGTTAGCAAACCAGCCGACAAAGCGGGATGTTTCATAAACGGACATTTTTCTCATATTTCTAATTTGAGAACATTTCATAATCATCTAACACGATGTTCAGACCGTGCGGTGGGCCGTGATTATGTGGTACACGTTGGCCCTCTGCCCTTGATGCACACGCAGTATGAAGTCCCGCACGAGACACACACATCCTGCCTCGACCCTGCATGACGGATACAAAAGAAGAGACAAATAGGAGTTATATACTTTGCAAGGGTGGGGAAGGGGTGGTCAGGCCATACAATCCAAAAAGAGAAAAAGGTACCATTTTCGTTCGTGAATTTCGTTTACATGCACCGCAGTGCTTCTACATGGTGACCAAAAAAAATGCAACCCTGAAACATTTACCTTTTTTTCAAAAACGTGATATGGGATTCTTTATGTTTTGGATATCTGATTAAAGTTGAGAGTTTTCTTTCAAATACAGAAAAGAAATCAAGAAAACAGCACATTGGGTTGCTGGGAAAATGCCAATTATGTAGTAACACGACACCTTTTTGGTCCGTTCCAATGCCATCACCACGTGGTACACTCATATTATTTAGGGGTAAAACAAATACTGTCTCATTACACATGCATGACCTTATTTGTTAGGTAATGCGTGCACGTCATCTCTCTGTTAAATTAATTACTGTGGCCGAGTGTCGCTGTGAAATTTCACAGGATCGAGACATAATGGGACCATAAAAAAGTAAATATAACGTAGCAGTGACACCATTTGTGTGAAATTAAACTGAACATCCGCGGGACTGACAGAAGTTAACGCCAACAGGTGTCAAACCAGTCACAGAATGATGAACCGTTTTAATTAATTGGATTACAGACATGCATGCTTCTTGGTTGGTTCATCTCCTATACTCCGCGTGGGAGTTTATAAAGGAGACCAGAAACACCGGGGCAAACCCCTTCTCTTAGCGATAAGTGTCACTGGGTTCTTTTTAGTGCATTGGATTACACAACACACGGGACCTACGGCTTTACGCCCCATCCGAAGGACGAAGCAATAATGGTTAAGTGCCTTGCTCAAGGGCACAAGTGTCCACCCGGCGGGCTCGAACCCACGCCACTGTTGCCTCTGAAACACCAGAGCATGAGTCCGGTGTTCTTAACCGCTAGGCCATGACACTCCACGTGATATGATATGACATAACGAAGTTGCATTTTTCAGTAAAGGGAATTTGTGGAGGAAATTACGGTCTCCTCTGCAATCAGACGAACCTAACTTTAGATCAATTGCACTTAGTAGCCATCTTTGAGGCGTATTTTATTATGTTAATTCATTAACAATGAATGCACTTTAGGTCTACTCGTGCGTATCCCTATTGAACAAAAGCACATACCTCAAACATGGCTGCAGTGCAAACGATCTATACGATCAGATAGCTGTTGGTTTCAGATTGCGGAGGACTAGTGCAACGGCACTGAGGGCAGTTTTGTAAATTTTAAATCAAGTGACAATGAACGAACAATCTGTCTACTCATGCGTATTACAGAGGGAAAAACCCCGTCCCGAGATGTGACGTCAGCTGCAAGGGTTCAATAAGCCAGTTCGGTAAAAATATTCCAAAATAGTCTGGTGCACAACAAGATTCGACGATTTTTTTCGGGATAACCGCGGCAGATAAATGCACACAAGGCTATAGGGGACGTGGTAACCAAATCTGCATCCAGTGCAATTTTTCGTGCAATCGAAAAGAAATGGAACTTTCGTTCGCACAAAAGTTTTGACACACAAGACACCTAAAAACACTTCGCTGTTCAAAGGTTTTTTGCAAAATATCATACTTCAGAACACGATGATCTCTTCAATGATGTTGGTACCCCGCTATGCTTTTGCACGCATACGATGAAATTTTTATCCCGAAAGAAAAATCGGCAAATCTTGCTATTACTTATTAGGCCTATGTGCACATGCGAAGATGAAATACCGAACGCCTTTCAAGAGCCAAATAACCCTAGCATATGAACCCACAAAATGGGGTGCACATCCATCCGAAGGAAAAACAAGAAAGACAAATCTGAAGATTTTGTCAATCAAACAGGGGTGGTCCCACAGGATACACAGATGACACCGAAATATCAACCGATAGTGATGCTTTACCTTCATCGCTCGATGATGAACCATGCAACCCGTCACCGGGTGAACCTTTGTGCTTCTTTTGGCGTGCACGTGAATTTTGAAACCACACCTATGAATGAGAAACACACAAGTTCATGATTTAAATTCAGGCATAAGGTGAAGGTTAGGCATTCCGTAAATCCTACCGCCCATTATCGTCGCAATGCGCACTCAGGCCGTCCGGGAAGATACGGTTTGTAGCGATTATTCAACCGAAATAAGAAAACAAAATGGTGTACAAATTTTCGAAACTTGCTCTGTAAAATGGAGTTATAACTTTTCGTAAATCTAAACCGATAAGTCACATCGATATATTTCAACAAAAGTAAGCTATTTTGATGAAATGTGAAGTTGTAGTGGCCTATATTCCACAGTAGAAAATGATCCCAAAACGCGTTATCCAACCGAAGAGGGCGTTGTTACATGCATGGTATCAGTCAGCAAAGTTGAACGCGGTTCAACTTTGCCGATGAAGTTAGTCTTGGATGTCGGCAACATCTCCAGAGGAAATGGTTTCAAATAATGACTTACAGTTTGCGTCTCGTCTGCGTCTCTTACGTCGATATGGAAACTAGACATAATTACTTATCATCTTGAAACGGTTTCGACATGTTCAACGTTAGTGTCTTCAAAACAGCTAGTTTTTTTCCATATGATGAAGTCTAACGGGATCTTTCTCTAACCGTTATCGTATTAAAACTTGACAACATTACATATCTGTGTGACTTTTATTTTTGAAGAAAATGTGCGTTTAAATGACATATCTCGCACACAATACGTTTACGAATTTAACTTAACGTGAAAAAAAATGCGCCTGATGTGGAACACGAAGTTTGTATCACTCGCAGTGCAAGTACGTATGGTGAATACCACACTATATAAATGCATGTTCTCGATCATTTGGATGAAGAATAATAAACAAGCTAGTACTGTAAATGTATAGCGTTTTAGCGATATAAAAACTGTGTGATATGGCTCTATATTGCTTACCTGTGTGACACGCTTGCTAAGGCCTGTCTGCTGGGCAATACGTTCTAAGTCTTGGCCATCTGGGTTACTGTCTACGGTGAAATTAGCTTGCAAGACCTCCAACTGCTCCTCAGAGAAAGTGGTCCTTATCCTCTTTGATTTATGCATATTTCTCTTATCAACAATATCTGAGCCATAAACAAACCAAGAATGCAAACATAAATAGCATATCAAAAATTGTATTCAAAATACACACCAGGGTGAATGCCAGTTGGCCAGCCAACCCGCCAGCCAGCCAACCAGCCAGCCAGTCAGCCAGCCAACCAGCCATCTGGGGAGCCAGCCAACCAGCCATCCGGGGAGTCAGTCAGCCAACCAGTCAGCAAGCTAGCAAGCAAGCCAACCAGCCAACCATTCATGCAGTCAACCAGCCAACAAATCAGCAAGCTAGCAAGCCAACCAGCCAAAAAGCCAACCAGCCAAAACGCAAACCAGCCGGGGAGCTAGCCAGCCAGCCAACCAGTCAGCAAGCTAGCAAGCCAACCAGCCCAAAAGCCAACCAGCCAACCAGCTAGCCAGCCTGCCAAAAAGCAAACTAGCCAGCAAGGCCTACATTTATTGTTCCTTGAATTGTTTTTAAATAATTGTCCTTTTGCAGCGAAAAAGGTCTTTCGTTTAATAGCCAAACATTTCCCGATTTCAAAATGAATACAAGTTATTTTCCTGTCTGAGCCTTCTTAATTAATTATTTTTTTTATTCCCTAATTGGATCCAAAAACTCGATACATGACCCATCAAACCTTCTGCAAATGGGCCTCAAGACATTATTTTATTTATCGTGTTGATTAATTCTAAATTTGTAAGGAACCGGTAAGTCCTTTGTCCCGTTGTGTCAGAGCTATCTGTAATTATTGCAGACCTTGGCTGAAAGCTTCAGCATTGAATGGAAGCTAGCACTAAAACCATATGGTGTACCTCGCAGTGTCGAATGGGACGGCAACATTATTAATTACAGGGTATATCTAGAACCGCCGTTGGACCTGTTCTAAACGAAGTACCAATTAATTCGACTTGTTGCATTCGGTACGCCGACAGCACGGCGTTTAGAACAGGCCTGAGTTTTTTTCCTGACAAACGCAATACTTGAGTGATGAAAAGAAAGTGATCCCTGAATATATGTAATAATTTCCGCACGGCATTTTTTTTCAATCAAATTCATAAAGTGTGCTGCTAGTCGCGTCTGCGTGACATACTGCTTATGTACTGCATTCAAAGAGAGCCCATACAGGGTGGGTCACAAAGAAAGTGACCCGAATCAATGATTTTTTTCTAAAAAGCAATCAAATTTGAAACACCAATAAAGTATGTCTTAAAAGAGCATGTTCTTTCACTCATCTCATAGAAAGATTAACTCAAATTGATCAATGCTATCAGATGTTATGCACGTTTTACTATAAACGAACCCATTTTTTTTTTTTATAGCTGTCCGTGGAATGCCATTGGAAGTTGAGCTGAGTGAGAATTACAGATTACACGCAAACATACAAATACAAATGAGATTTTAATCATTTGAATTAAGACTAAAAATTATCTTACTATCAGATATTGTTGTTTTTTATATGAGGGACAAGCCAACTATGTAGTTTTTTTTCTGAAATATTAATTGAGATTTTGGTAGGTTTTCCCTTGCAAGTTCTCGTCCATTCATCGAGGTGGGAAAACGTCCATGATAAATCATCAGTGGTAAACCGTAGACAGCCACATTTTGTGATCTTTATATTAAAATAGACGTAACTTGGAAGTTCATTATGCAAATTACTTGAAATTGTCACAGTTACTAGTCGATAACATGTACGTTACGCCTGTATAATAAAATAGGAGTGAGCCACTTTGTTTTAAAATATTGTGTTCTAATGAGCTTACTTGCTTTTTAACTCATAGTGTAATTCTCCATTTTTCAAGCTATGCTTGTGCCGCTTTATTTGGCACATTCGAAATAAATCCCAAGAATATTCCACATGAGTTCCACACTTCGAAAATGCACGGGGCTTGATTGAGAAATAACCATGTTATCCTGGAGATAATGAAGTTACCCCCAATTTGCATGATAAATGAACCAAATACATGTAAGCGACCATCGCGCACAAACAATATTACCGTGCAGCGTCTGGCTAATCAACGCCATTTTTTGAAATCTTTTGGACATTCCAAATACTTTCATTAATGAACTGACTGTCATCGCGGATCCCAAATTAGATAACGACAGCCTTGTTAGTGCTGCACAAACATGATGCAGCTTGCGAAAACAGGTATCGTAATGAGGCTTTAATTGTGTTGAGTTTTATGTTTGTTCCAGTGACATGCATTCAAGTTGCGGTCCCCAAAATGACCATCGGATATTCAGTATACCGTCCCCGAATAAGCGGGTGAATCTGTTTTGCACCAACAAACTACCATTATAACATGTATAATTATGTATCCATAAAATGGAATTTGCGTCGGGTTGAAGTAATATCAATATTGGGTTTTGCCCTTAACCAACGTATTTTAGAAACATTGTATCCTCATCAGTGTTGTCCCGATTGATTGTGAGAAAAGAAAATCGCAAACTACTTGGGTGGGACCCGAACATCCTGCTCAGGGGCGTAAATACCCGGGTTTAGTGTGGGGGGTATATATCCCCCACTTTTTGACCGGGGGATGGGCTATTGAATATCCCCACACACTTTTTCGTGATGAGATAAAAAAAAATGCGGATTCGAGGTATTTTTCGAACATCTCAACAACCAAAATGCATTCAATAGCACTGAAAAGTGGAGAAACTAAAGTACAAAATCTTTTAAAATGCGTCGTTTTGATGTAAGCGGGAGTATACATATTGATGTACATCTATATCCTGAAGAGCGCCCCCTAGTGTAATATGTGGTGTCCAGCCCCAGGCCCGCCCCCGCCCCTTTTTGAATTTCCACGGCCGGGCAATTTTTGGATTTTGGTCATCCCCCCCCATTCTCCGGCACAGATTTATGCCACTGCTCCTGCTCACTATAGTGCAGACGTCTTATACCACTAAAGACAACTTAGCTAGCCGGGCTCAGCTGGCCGGTTCAAATCTGATATAGCAGCGGGTACCGCAAAAACCAATCATAAGATGGACTTTGCGTCAGATTATACAGTGTTGGTAAATTACGTCGTGAAGGGCAAATACAAATATTGAATGTTTGTATCCTGTGCGCCTTTTTATGCATAAGTCGTGTTTAATCCTCCTGATGAATTTTGGATACTGTTGTAACACCTTGATAAGAAGAGAATTCATTTACCGTTTTTACCGTCAGCTTCCTGAAAACTTCCTTCGATCATATCCAAGTAGTGCACTTTGCACAGGACCTTGCTGTCCAACATCGCGAACTCTTCCCCCGTAGAGAGCTGTCGTTTGCAGTCATCGCAGGCGAAACACGCCAAGTGATACACGTGGTTCTTAGCCCTTCTGACCCAATCACTAGCGTGAATGGTGCGCTCACACCCAGCACACTTTGTGCTGAAAGTTCTGAAAGAAATAATCACACCCTATTAAAAATACAACTTTTGACAATGATGAGGAATTGAATTGAGTCACAATAAGAAGAAATCGACTTTCGAAATTTAAGGAGTGGGAAAGGATAAAGGTGGAGGTACCATGATGCATAGACCAACAAACGCTTTAAAGTCGGGTAGTTCCATGCATGTTTCTGTTAATTCCAATCAAAGTGCGAAGAGCCAAATTGAACACATACTCTTTTTCAAAGCGTATGGGAACTCAATGATTTTGCTTGGTGGTCCAACACGCAAAAAAAATAGATCATCATGTTACATGCCCGCTGTGCAATTTTGCAGTTCATCAGCCTACGCGGTAAATCTTTACAGGAACACTGTGATTGTTACAATAGTGCTTGACATCCTTGATAGATTTACGTACTGAAGCACAATCAATGAGTATGCATACTTTAAGATGACAAAATTAACTGAAATGTGTGTTTGACGATGAAAATATATGACAGCTATTTCAACAACCTCAATAAGATTGACGCAAGTTTTGACTTCCAAGAACACCATTTGAGAGTCGGTTAAACAGACTTAAACAGAAGAATCGGACCAGAATAAAACTTCAAGTGGGGAAGCACGGACACTACATCTTTAAGCTGGATTCGTATTGCACATTATATGCCGGGCACTGTCCGGGTCAAAGTCTTACAACTCACGCTGAAAATCATGAACTCAGTTCCACCCTTGCAATTGAAAGAAAGCCGAGTTTCCGGGCTCTGATGTGAAGAAGCCGTAAATCTCGAAACATCAGAACAATCGGTGGACTTTCTTCAATTCAGGATATTCCATCGAATTTATTGCAGAGGTTTTAGTGATCCAATACAGACAAATTCAAAGATGCAGATACATTTTCAGCTTTTCAACTTATTACATATTTGTCTCCAACGAATTTTCAATTGGTAACCTTAGTTCAATTTCAACGAAACAGCTACATTTCTGTTTTATTTTGAACCTCTCAACGCTCTGAAAAAAAACCCGCCATTCTGAATGGTTTTCATTAACGCTCAAAAAGATTCGCCTGAATTATTGTTGGGCCGCAAATAATTCTGACTATGTAGAGTAAATATTTCATAATTAAACATGGGCGTCCCCCCCATGTCTCATTAAAGAGTGAATAAACTAAGAAAGAATCTAGAATCTAGACTTGGACAAATAGGAGAACAAGTTAACAAAAAAAATAATATAGCAACAAGCTGCAATCCAACACTGGTCTCGAATAATAAAACCCCGACATAACTTATAATGAATGTGCTTTAATAAGGTATTGTTCATGGACAACGTGTTTACCATAACACAAATGGCTGTTTTTTTTTTGCTGCATACGTAAACGTTCAATACTGTCAAGGCCTATGGCTGGGAAGCAACGGGGGATTCCTGCAAAAAAAAAATGGCCCGTTGCATGCATTTTGTGTGACTGATCATTCGTGAATAACAGTGCAAAGATAATAGGCACTAATGAACACAGGCATAACTGGGCAAGATAAAAAATGCCAGTCGGGCGGGGCGGAAGGGAGAGGTGGGGGGCTCCTGCAGATTTTGCTCTTAATAATTACTTGCAGTTTGTTGCAACTGCCAAATCTTTCTGTCTTGAATTTCTTACAGCTCAAGATTTCTCCAAATGTTTAAAGAAAAGGCAATATTCTTTCGAGAAACGTTCAAAATGGGCGAACAATGTTCAGGAAATACATTTTCTTGAAAGGCAGGAGAGCACTGATTTTTTTTAGCATTAAAATATCCACCGAAGAGAAACGTGTCTGCCAAGACACGCGTTTTGATTGCGTTTTGAGGGTTGGGGGAGTGGGTTAGTACTCAAGCACAAAGTAGGGGGACCTGCCAATTCAGCCTTTGACATTCACATTACGGGACCCAAGAAAAATAAACCTTCCTAAATATATTAAGTAATTCGATGAAATTGGTAAAATAATCCGTTTCCCCAATTTACATCAATCTAATTTGTTTCAGTGTTGTCACTATTATTATCTCTCAAAGAATGTAAATGTAAATTTGCCGTTTGCAGATCAGCATTACCATTATCTGCTGTATTTTCTCCCCAACAAAGAGAACAGGCCGATTTACAGTGCGTGATGCTCTAACGGGATTCAAAGCAGGTAATGAAATTAGAATGTCCTGCTTGCAATGAGCCGCTAGAAATCGGAACGATTTTTCCAAAATACTGCGTGATACTGATTTGGCGTTCTGACAAATCAACGCATGGGACGTTATGGCTCTGGGTCATGACGTTGCCCTGTAAACTTTCAATAATTTGCATAAAATGTACATTAGATCGCGCGGTTTTCCGCCCATGAATGGTATTAAAAGGTAAATGGCAACATTTGCAAACATTTCAAAAAACGAAACTGGCGATATATTATGAAATATCCTACTCGATTGTAAGTACATAATAGAATCAAGCATTCTGTGAAATTCTTCTGCCTAATATGCTGTCATTTTCAAGAAAAGAGTAATAACCCTCATTTCCTTGCAATGGTAAGGACCAAAACCATCGCGAGAAAAACACCCGGCTTTATCCCCAAAATATTTCTTCAAACTGACTGACTTTAGTTTAGTTTTCAATCGGTTATACACATCCGTGAATGAGATTTGTTTCCGAGTGACAAACTGGGATCATGTTCCACTAGGGTGCAAGTCAAAACGTCTCAATGAACATTTTGGAAGGGAGGGCTTTTATCGTAAACCTTGTTTTGGGCTAAACAAAATTATGAAAATACATTCTCATAGTTTTCTAAAAACAAAAGCATGATATACACTGTGCTAAGCTTAAATTTTCGATAGGTTAACCTGCTTTATTATAGATTTATTGTATTGATGTTCCTTGTGTCGAAAAAAATACCTTTTTTTGCAAATGGAGTCCACTACCTTTAACTACGTCGCGACTTTAGTTTTCGTTTCAGCTTTTGGTTACCGCGTCTCTGTGTTAATCGACCCTGGTGGTGCACGGTATGTGCGGCGCGGTTTACAGCTGTAACCGGCGCAGCCTGCCGACCACGCACCGGCTCAGCTAGGCGCGCGTGGCTGACCTCGGCCGCCGGAGCAGCAACCGCCTAGCCTACAGTGCGAGGAGGCGGATGACAGGGGTGCGTTTTGACGGGTGCAGATGGCTGTCATGACGCCTGTCGCAACGGTCGAGTTGTCTCATTGGTCGAGGTAGTCCGGGCTCGGGTGGTACAGTATGCGTGGTTATTGCCTAAGCTTTTGGTTACGACCATTTTTTTATTGCATGGCTTTAGCCTCGGTCTTAATCTTAGAGACATATTTTGTTACTCAACTGAAATATTTGTTTCATATGGACGAATTTGTCAACTAAACAAAAGTTCTGAAATTGGATGAAATGTCTGAAAGATGCAGTTTTCTATACTGATAATGTCTTTCTCTCAGATTCAAAGGGTCAGATTTCACTTCTGGGAAAATTCTGAAAAATTCCCCCAACTTATAAAACTACAAACTTTTGAGAATTAAGCTCTTAAGGGCAGTGTACAACATTTACAAACATCAACGAACAAAACACACCAACCAAATTACTATGAAATACCTTACTTGACTGTAAGTGAATGACATAATTTCCAAAGATATTTGGCGAGCCATCGTTGAAGAAAGAGCGATTTTTTTTCAAAAACTGTCTCAAATTCACCAAAAAAAATATAGTTAGTCCACATTTTGTTAGCAATCAGTTGCACATCCGTGAACGGGTACAAGCCATCTAGTCTGGTTCCCAGACCTGACAAATCCCTGACTTCTATAAATTGCTCCGTTTTTGTCTGAAGGAGGGTAACGGAACCAGACTTAATAAAAAAACATGTTTTTCTTTTTTTTCCAGCATCCATGAACATGAAACTTTAAACGGGTCAGTTAAAAATAGATTAAATACTAACCCCCAAATCCGTCCATTTCTGAAAATTGCAGCAAAAACATATGTTGTATATTATTTAAGAGGGGGCCAGGTTAATAACTGGCCGGTTTAATACCATCACCTTGACGGACTCTCAGCAAATAGGAACGATTAATGATATCCTGTCCGTACTCCGCAACAATTTTGATTATTTTCTTCTAACAAATTTCGATCTTTGAGTGGCATATATTTTAATGGATTTTTTTCTTTAAAAAAAATGGTTTCAGTTTGATTGCCTTTGCGCACAAACAGATCCGCCCTGTGAGTAGACTTGTTCCCTGTCACCCTATTATCTATTCTTACAGCTAGGGAAGCAGGAACCAGTCTACCTTGCTGAAATTGAATTATTATCGGGCCGCAAATAACTCGAAATTATTTTGTCAGATAAAATAAGTTTTGTATTGCTCGAAAAAGGCAAAACTCAAAATCAAAATCGCACCCAAACCGACTTGACCAGATATTTATAAAGTTAGCTCTTTATAAACTTAGGCAGAATTTGAAGTTGGAGTGAGAAATAGTGTGAACATTATCATAGACGTTGCAAACGGTGAAAAAAAATAACGAAATAAAAATGGCATGAGGTCAAGCATGATGAACAAGCTGCTAAATTGTGTTTTATCGTGACTTCGCGACAAATTTGTTTTCAAAAGATGTGAACCACTATTTCTGTACATGGAGTGCGCAGTGTTCCCTCCTCACAAAGACGAACTGTTTAGTGCGCATTCTGAGAAAAGGTATAATAACATATTTCTTCTGGATATGACATTTACTTCACCTCATCTTCTTAGAAAGAAGAATATTCTGGGTGTTGTATATTTGGTAGGTCACTCATATATTTCTTTTCATATCTAAGAATCTATATGACATGGGGCAGTCTTTGAGAATACAAATCGGGATAGGATCAGTTGATTTGAATGGATTTGATTTGTACATACCTGGAATAGCAGTGTTTACAGTAGACCTTGGAGTCCCGACAGTAGCATGTCACTTGTGTGTCTAACTTGGTTCGACATGCAGTACAGCTTAGGCACTTCATATGCCAGCTTAACGCTCCGCCAACACGAAGCAAGTAACGATCAGCTATGGTGTCACCACAACCATTACACCTCACACTTTTACTTATCTAAGGTCAGAAAAGAAAGAAAGAAGTATTAAAAATTATGGATTTAAAGTAAAGTAACGCATTCAAAGTAACAGAGGGTCAATGGTAACAATGGTATCATGCTGGCGAGAGCAATTATCGATAGTTAAACGCTTCATTACATAAAACAATGAAGACAACGCCTCACTGCTTCATAAAATCGATTCATTTGATGGATGTGTTGGGCCATTTTCAGCCTGATTGCCTCAAACAGCAAACAAATAAAATGCCACATTAGGTTTAATGCTTAAAGGCGTGCGTTGTTGTCACATGATTTATATTGAAATGTCGGGCTGCAATCAGAGGCGCGTCACTGTCTGTTATTGCAAGCGTACGAGAAGCGGGCACATGGCCGCGTGCGGCCACGTGTCGCACCGGTAAAATGAACGACAACGCACGGGCGTTGGCCGAAGCGACCTTCAACTGTAGTCAACAAGCGGAGATTCTACTCAACCCCGAGTAGACTAAAATTGGTAGAAGATAGCGAACATCAACCCGACACTTAACACAAAGACATATCTGTATTAAGACTGTACGTCTGGTTTTTGTTCTCATACTTTATATACATTTCAAGTATTAGACACAGTTGGACTTTTCTAAATTGGTTTTAAAGATTAACTGTCCGTTCGCTTCGACATACGATGTTTCCCCCACCGAGTTAAAACTTTTGTTTTATTTTAACCAAAAAAGAAACCTAGTTTTGTTCTATTCTAAGCGTCTGCAACCCTCTGAAGATATATGCTTTTATTTTTGGATGTTTTCGGGCACAAACAGATTGCTCTTAATTTGAGAGTGGACCTGCAGTCCCTACAATATCGATTCTGAAAAGTGGTGCAAGAAGTATTACTGTCGAACCGCACATATTTCGAAATTTAAACATGGGCTGTTTTTTTGTTAGATGTATCATTCGAAAGTAAATTGTTCGAAAAAAAATAACAGGAATTTAAATGAGAACTTTATATTTTGGGTGAAAGTCAAAAATAGCACGGACAGTTCTTCTTGAATGGTTCTGAAAATATGTCTTATTGGCCCAAAACAAAGTCCTTTAAATAGAAGTATGAAGAAGTTGTTTGCACAGATGTTGCTCATACCAACAACATGTCTGTCCCATTTCCTGCCCAATCGCCTACGGGTTGTGAGGTGACGAAACAATTCAAATTCGAAAAACTTAACAATATCAATTATTTTCAAAGGTATTAAGAGCACACAATATTACGTTGTAAAGTCCAACCTGTGGTTTCAAACACTGATATGACTGATGATTCAATCATTTAAACCTGTCAAAAGGGAACTGCAGTGTTGTACTACTCGTACCCGCTACATTATTTTCGTGGTCGTGGTCGCAGTCCTTCTCACTGGAAAAAAAATACACATATTCGTACACGCCCTCATGGCAAAGTACTCGCACACACACACCCAGACTTGTTTCACATACCTAGTGTGGACTTTCCTTTCTTTTCGTGTAGTTAAGGAACACCAGTGGAAAAACTCATTTTTCTCAAACTGTGAAAACTCTTACAACCCATTTTTTTTTCAATGATTCCCTTTAGTGTTTCTCTTCATTCTGCTACAGATAAACCTAACCCAAAAATGCCTCTAAACCTGTTTTCCAGAAATGGGGAAACACTGTGTGGACGTGGGCAAGTCCACACTTCGTCGCTGCTACCTACATTATGTGGACGTCTTTGTTCGGAAGTCCACACTGCGTATGTAAGACAAGCTCACACACAATGTTCATGACAAAGTACTCGTACGCGTAGGCCTACTCGTACTCATGGAAATGTTCTCCAGCTAGAATCTTAAATTTCTTAAAGAGGTACACGCAGAAAAAGAATCAATTTTAAAGTGACATACTATTGTCTACAGCAAAAAAAGCCCTTGAAAACATGTCTACGAAATGTTTTCGTTGTGGAAAGAACTCGTATTCGTGTTCGTGGATATGTACTCATTTTCGTACTTGCATTCTTGGGAAAACAACTGCCTTATAGGCTACACGTTCTCATGACAATGCACTCGTACTCGCATTCATGGACATTTACTCGTCTACAAAACTGCAACATTGTGCCTCCATTTTGTTCTACGTTGTCATCAAACTGGAGTAAATAACAAAGGAAAGAATGACGTTCCAAATGGTATACCTCCTCGCACATTTGCTCTAATTCCTTAATTAAGAGGGCTCAGCGGGGATCTCATGATGTAATATACCACGAATTTGCGGTTCATACTACAATTGGATCTTGGTCAAAAAAAATCATGTATGGGCGGATTCCCCCTGTTACAACTGATAATGTAATAACCAATGGATAACGTATCTCCAACCGACAATGTAACAAGAATTGACCGATACTGTGTCGCTAATCGATAATGTAACAACATTTTACTGATAGTGTAGTAAATGTTACTACATTATCAGTCAAATTTTGTTACATTATCGGTTAGGACCGATAATGTAACAAAATTGACTGATAGTGTAGCACATTATTTTTACAACACTATCGGTCAATTCTTGTTACGTTATCGGTTATTGATACAGTGTCGGTCTATATTTGTTACATTATAGGTTGGTGATACGTTATCCGCTGTTGTAACACCCCTCCAATTGACAATGTTACGGTAATATTAATTGTTCACAACTGTTTACATTGTTTAATGGAAAAACAAATCCCAAATTTGAATGAAGTTCCCTAATTAATGTCATCAGTCAATATCGCAAATGTTCATTCATTGACTTGGGCCTTTTTATTCGTTTACTGCAACGCCTCATCCAATCTCCCCTCCCCCCAAAAAAACCCCAAAAACAAAATGGACTTCAACATCCCAGCCGGCCCCTTTAAAAAATCCTGTATCCGCTGATGATATCGGTTTGAGGTAAACTACGAAGCATGTAAAAACTACTAACTTAGCAAGAGAAGATAACACATCATCCTGAAAAAAAATTAACTCAAGAATAAAACCTCGAGATTGGCTCTTTAAAACCACTTATCATCCTGAAGCTTTGAGGGGCTAGGAATTGGTGGACCTGTTTATCGATCGCTGAGTTATCTCAAGATGCGCGCAGGACCGGCGCCCTGCTGGGAGGAACTCTGGGCGAGGACAACTACTGAATTATCCCATTCAACCCAATTCCCGGGAAGTTCCTTCAAGAATAATCGATAGAAATAAACAGGATCTCTTTAAAGGTAAAATAACAATTCATTGTTAATGGTGTGTGCATGTGTGTAATCGTAGGTCTAAAGTGTATAGTAAAGCACACCATGGATGGTAGGTTTTCCTACCTCCAGGTTCTATAGGACTACTGCTATGTAAAGGTAGATACTTCGAAGCACTCCACAATGTTGAAAACAACTTCTCGATCAGATCACTAGTCGATGGTGCGTCCTCAATCATTATGCCGGAAATGCATGCATAGCAGGAGATTGCTATATTCAGCCAAGTAAATATAGATACCCTACTTCCAAAACGAATCAGAAAACAATGAATACTCACAACTCCCGTCTGTAGGTGTTCAAGACATAGTTACAATTAAAGCTTGATTTTTCCTTTTTTCATTTTCTGTTCCTTTTTGTAGGTTAACCAAATATTGGAGAAAAAAAACATTCTCTAAAGATCATCACCCCTAAAAGAAGTCCTGATTACCCATTTTAAAAAAAAAAATCGCCATTTTGAAAAATGATCACTCCACTCCTTTGCAAAATGAGCGAATTTCGGGTCTAATTTCATCAAAATTCCACAGAAATGCAAACCCAAAGACCGTTTCAGAATTGGTACCCTCCATAGCTACAAACCCTCACGTGCAGGTACCACAAAACTCTCTATTAAGAGACAAATTGACGGTAAACAAATCGTAATTTGGTCGGAGTTGGAAATTTTTGAACATATTACTGATCTCCAACAATCACACAGCAAGCCTTGGCTGTACGTCTTGTTGAACTGATGTGAAATCTCCGTTGAGTTATTGTACAACATTTACTTTGCTACAGCCGTTCTCAGTTAAAATCTCTTTTAAATTAAAGGGCCGTGTATTAAATGTAATTTTTAATGCAATCCTTGAAAATGCACATTTGTGTCTTATTTAACATTATTTAAAATTTTCGTTTTTGCTATTTTCAAGGGTATTTTGGTGCTTTTTGGTTTTTATGCTGATGCAAATTTCCATATTCATGAGCAAAAGTGTGATGTCATTCCAGGCAGAAACCTCAATGTGACATAATTTTTTATGTTTTGCGGTTGTAAATTTTCTTTTCTTTGATGGTTTGTTGTTGTGCCAGTTCATGGCAGAAAGCCATTGTGCAATTTTTGTTCTCACAAATACTCTCAGTAAGCACATTTTGTTTTTTTACCATTTGAACAGAAAACCCCTAAAAACTGAACAGTGTCTTACGGCAACAGTGCCATTAGTTGTCTCGAAAAGCATGGCATTTTTTTATGTTTAAAGAAGTAAACTTAATAACATTAACCAAAAAGGGATGTCAAATAATTTTCATACATGTAAGAGGAGTATAGAAAGTTGCACAAATTGTATTCCTTAGGAAAATTCATCACATAGACCCTTTAAGCCATGCCAAGTAACATGTACGATGGTCTTTTTCGACATTGATTGCAATGGCGAAGCGATATCCCTCGTTTACAATTGGGAATACCTGTTAAAAGGCGTTTAAATATTCTGTGTATCATTACAGTAAAGCTCAAATCCAAACACAGGTCAATGTTGCTACTTTTGCTATTTTTTAGTTTCAACCCAAAGAATAGACTTTAATTTCCTATTTTTCCAGCAATACAACCTATTCACTTTTGAATGAGACATGGAACAGAAATATTCACCCACGTTTATCTATGCAATAGGCCTATTTACTTGTTCGAATATTTACAGAGTTCGAATTCTTTGCGGCAAGACAATAATTCAGTCACGGTAATTCAAAAAAGCCTATTTTCAGAGGGTTGAAAGCGTCCCGAGAAAAATAGCTTTTCCGTATATATATATACTCATTTACTTTTCCTGCATTTTGTTCGTTACCAGTAATAACACCACTCAAAATCCAAAGACGAATGTTCAAAAGCCAACCTGTTGAAGTTTCATTTAAGTGGATATTACACTTTTCGAGAATACAGTGAAAACCATGCACAACCTTTTGATCAAGAAACACGATTTCGGCTATAAAACCCTTTATTTTGCAAAAACCAGCCAAGTGACTGACCGGAAACCATTTTGTTAAGATTTTCTAAATGACAGCAAGCCAGAGGAAATAATTTAAACTTTATGATCATATTCGGTAGATTACTTTTGGGACAAATGCAAATGATCCTATAATATGCCTTTAAATTAATGTACAAATTGAAAATTCTTCAGGAAAAAAAATCGAAGAGGAAGGCAGAGTATCTTTCACTAAACCAACTAAAAAAAGGGCTGAATGAATCAATAGATTCAATTGTAAAACTTCCACTTTCACTCTGAAATTATAATCAAACACAATATATATCAACGGGATCAAAAAGCGTTTTGAATGTAATTTTGGCAGTCAGAAACAGAACAGTAGACCGTTGATATAATAATGATTCCCCAAATCTGGGCTGACGGTACACGGCGTGCGTTACTGTACCTCTCCTCGCTTAAGCTACGACTTCGCGACGAGTCGATATGACATTGTTCTAAAACTCCCCCAAAGTAATAAAAAAATATAATAAATAAAACCGAATACAAACATATACAGAGACCCCAAAAATCGGCCTTAAAAAACAAAACAAATATGACAAACTGTGCTTAACTTTGGGTTCTTCCAATTTTAATTGGAAATGAAACTTGTAATTTGACGTGGCTGCCATTTTGTCGTAAGCTCAAATCTTCTTGATTCTCAAATCAACCCTACATATAGGTTTCATGCATATGGAATGATTCTCGATGCTTTGCTGTCACCAATATGAATGTTTGAGTTGAACCCAAAAAACTGATATAATAAACTTCAAATCCTTTATACGCGTATCGGGACGACTACTTTCATGTACATGTAAATCATATATCGATTGAGTATATATACCATGTTTGATAAAATGGAATTTGACTATCATACCCCAACCATGGTAAGGAATGGAAATACATCTGAGAAAACAACTGGGGAAAAATGTTGCAACCTGACGCCACTTCAGGTATTTCGTAACAAAATTGGAAATGTTTCTCAGTCCCAGATTCATGTCTTATCATCATTTTTTGCAATGACTGACCTTCATTGAGATGATATATGAAGAAAAAAGTGGTGTCAGGTTGCAACATTTTTTCCCACAACTGACTTTCCTCAACCGGAACTATCTCAAAAAATGGTACGACCTCCTAGTTCAAGATTAATGTAAACGTACGGGAAAAAAATATTCAGAAAGGGCTTGACTTTTTAAAACACACTTCTTGGCCTATATTACAACCACACATACAGACTGCAATGCTATTTGCACAACATTAGTATGTAATTACCTAAACTGTTGGTTGACTGCGGTAAAAAGTTAACCAACTTTTGACAGAATTTGCTGGCAATGAAGGCAGTTGGTATGTTGACCAACATAGGGCAAAATACCAACCCATTCGCCCAACGTTTTTGGGGGAAGAATTCCATACATGGACATCACTCATTTTCCCCTGCAGTGACCTACCAGATATCAGAAAGCGGTAACATGTCCTAAAAAGTCCAATTTAGCAGGGAAAATATTGAAGCACTTACTGAGAAAACACTTGGAACTTTTCAGATCAGTCTCATTGGGTTTGTGCACAGGGTGTCAAGTGATGTCCAGGCATGGAACTCTTTCCTGCTTGCTTTCTCAGACTACCTGACTATTTACGGTGAGGGTCTAATGATGAAAATATCGTCAAAATGAAGTCTGACTTTATATATCTCGTGAAATCAATGTTAAGCCCCACTCGGACTTTGACAGATAGCAAGGGTGACTGTTATTGAAACCTCCTTGTAGAGGCATACTTCGTAAACAAGTATCAACTGGTTTGCCTAATTCAGTTTACTGAGTGTATCATGCACAGAATTAAGTTTGGCGATGTGTATCGTATTCCCCCTCGATATTTATATTGCAATTGTTCATGGAAATGATATGATATCTTACCGTGGAGTCAAACGTTTCTTCTTTGATGATGATATCAGCAGAATGTGGCAAGGTCGCCATCTGACGCACAATATGAGGCATATAGTCCTACACCTTGGCTCTGCCCCTTCTCGGGACAGGTCTGCAGATTGACTCAGTTATAACTGTAAAAAAACGAGCTCAGGCTTACATCTGATCCCACATCTTCAAGCACCATACGAGTCCAGTAATAAAAACATTGAGAGTCGGGTGCCAGATGATTCTTCCCCTATCTGTCTGTGCTGTCTAAATACATGTACAATCGCTTTGTAAACTAAACGCGCATCTTGTGTACAGCGTGAAAAGTCTGGCCCGGTGGTTTTCTGTGACGACTGAATAACCAGTGTTTGTGTGACCTATTGTGTTGCATAATCCGTCAGTCTAAACGAGATGGGCGGAGTTATTGACGCTTCTTCGCCAAGGTGGCGTCAGCCAGGAAGCCAAGACTGTGCGGCAGACCTGTCAATCACAAAGTGTTCCCCATTGTCACTGGAAACTGACAGGTGCCTTCTATTGTTCCTTTCTTCACTAGGGAAAACTAACAAATGAGATAGCACTCATCTTCCGAATCAATTACCATCGTACTTTTTTGACTTTTGGGTCAAGAAAAAGCTTTCCGTGCTAGCATCGCTCGCCCAAGTAGTGTGGATGTTTATGCTTAACCCACGCTCGTACAAGACTATAGTCCCGGATGTGTGGCATGTTTTATCTATACATGTAAATTTTAAATTATCGTAACCTGTATTCATTTGTAAATGTTTTAACCTTGAGCCATTTTCAATAATTCGACAAATTACCGAATAAACAAGGATTGAGGGACAGATTGTCACCTTAATTTAAATAAGTCAATTATGGTGTTGACCATATCGTGCAAGTTACGACTTTGTTTTGAAGCGACAAATGAAGACGATTGTTAAAGGCCGATAGGATTATTTGCACTTCATGCATTTTGTTCATTTCCAATAATAACACCACTCAAAATCCAAAGAAGAACTTAAACCTAACCTGTTGAGGTTTCAGCTCAGTGGATATTAGACTTTTTCCCATCAGAAAACAGTGAAAACTCACACTCTACAAACTCCTCGATCAGATTGACCCAGACTCTGCATCTATATCTACCCAGTCCTTTTCCGGGTCAAAAATGACACCTTTCCGGGTCAAAACGACACTTTACCGGGTCAAAAACCCATTTCTCTAGATCAGCTTGACCCAGAAAAGTGTCATGTTGACCCGGTAAAGGACTGGGCAGAAGTAGAAGCAGATTCTGGGTCAATCTGACCCAGGAGTTTTTTTTAGCGCGCACGCACAACTGTTTGATCACGAAACACGATTTCGTCAATAGAACTTTTTGTTTCCAACGATCAGTCAGTTGACTGACTATTGGAAATAAAATCACCTACATTTAAGGAAAAAAAATCTTCTAAATGACAGCAAACCAGACGGAATAATTTCACAGGGTGTTTAGTTCCAGTTCGATCTTTAATCCTAGTAAGCTTTGTGATAATAATTCGGTGGGTCACTTTTGGGATAAATGCAAATGATCGTATGTGCCTTTAAAGAAAATGTTAAGGAGCTTGTGCGGAATACAACTGGCCTCCTGCTGTCTCTTTGTGCATGGTATGTGCCTTGTGCACGAAACGGTTATTGATATTGGTTTTCCTCGAATCCTTTTATTCGAACATCACGGGAGGGTCTGTCTTCACGCATGTCCAGATAATGACGTAAGGATTAGTGTTTGCCTCGCTTTCGACCATATTTTTCATTCGGGACAAACTATGTGAAACGTTCGTGACTTCGATTTTTCCATCACAGCACGACATTAAAGATGAACCGTGTTTTTCAACATATTCTATTTCCCCCTCCTCTTGTGTGTTTTATTCTAACGAGAAGAGGGCTGATTTTGTTTTTTATTTCGGGCGTCTGCAGTGGAAACCCCTGAAAAAAGGCTTAAACTTGGGTAGACTTGGCCCAAGACGTCAGTGATCAAGAGCCATAGTTGCATTGTTGTGTAGCGCCAGTATTGTTTTTTTTTTTTTTACTCTCTCTCACTAACGTCTTGGTTAATTCGTAGCAATGGGGCGGGGCCATTTTATGTTAATAAGACCGTCTGTTTAAATTCGAACGAACACAACTCCTTTGTATATTTCCATGCTTGATCACCGACGTATACAGGGGCGGATCCAGGATTTTTCCGGGGGGAGGGGGGGGCCTCATCAGCAAAAAAATCTGAAACTTGATGTACACAGTTTTTTTCTCCGGACACTTGGCCTCCGTAAAATCAAAACCTGTTGGGGGGGGGGGGGGGGGGGGGGGGCTGGGCTGGTACCATATTTCAATAGGGGGCGCTGTTCAAATTCGACGATTATTAACACTAGATTCAGAATGGTGTACCGTATTTTGAACAGGCGGACATTATACCAGTATAATTTTTTGGGGGGTTTCACAGGGCGGGGGGGGGGGGGGGGGTTCGACTTATTTTTTAGGAATTTGTATGATAATTTTTTTTGGACAGACCCCCCCCCCCCTATAAGTTGGATTGCTTTTGCGCACAAAGAAATCGGCCGTGCCAGTATAGACTGGTTCCCATAATCGACTCCTCTTGATTTTATCGATCTTTTTTTAAATGGAGGCGGAAACCAGAATACCTCGCGATCGAGAACTGACTTATTTTCGGACTACAAGTGATTCCAAAGGTGTGAAGGAATTTTTATAATAACAAAACGTGGATGGATTTTTCAGTTGTCATTCAAAAGTGTAAGGGTATTTCATTGCTAGAAACTGGCTTTTAAAATAAAAATCTATTTTCGGGGTGAAAGTCGAAAGGAGCGCGGATCTTTCTTCGACTTGTTTTATAATTTATCGCTCTTTTTCCACTGCTATACGGAAGGCTGTTCAAGAGGAGAGTTTACTCATTGCTATTCAACCATTCATCTCACGATTTTGAAAGCAAAATAACTCAGTGCGGAAACTAGGCTATCGCACGTGGGTGTACGTTCGTCACAATCGATTGTGATATAATATTATTGCGTCGGAAAGAATCGTTCAGACGCCCCACGCCAACTTTCGGTGCGCTTGATGTGCATGTATCCCCCCCCCCATATTTGTTTTCACGAGTGCTCCTTTTTTACCAGTGCCCGCGAACGTACGTGGGCAATTTTGTCGCCATGAAGAGCGCCACCTATTGTCAGAGGGTGCCCATGATCCTCGCTTTGAACAGCGCCCCTCCCGCCTCCGTTATGCAGGTTTCTAGTGTCTTTCTTGCCGAAATTAAATGACCTATATAGCGAGCCATCTGACTCAAGATGATGCAATAGCCGATAGACAGGAACAACCGCTGAACGGCCACTCCTATCATGTACAGATGCGGTTTTGCTCAAATTGAGGCCTAAGTCTGGCAACTAGAAATTAATCTGACAATATTAGGTGGCGCTGTTCATAATACTGCTCTGAACCGTATAGGTGCAGACCAGTTATTATTTGCCATAGACCCCAATGAGAACTGCACCCACTTAAGAAAAAAATCATGCAAAATATACTCTCCAAGGTGCTTGAGACACAAAAAAAGTATTCCTGAGGTCCGTCGCCATTTTGTAAAAAAAGAGTCCTCCATGCCTCCTCTGACCATTGAAAAATAGAGCAATTTTTAAAATGTGCGTTCGTTTAGCTCACCCGGGTCGACACGGGTCAGCCCCGTGCCGTTCGATAAGCACTGACGTCTTCTCGGGGCTCACCCGGGTCAGCCACCACAGACCCTGCTCGTGGAGCAGAGTCAGTGGTGGAAATACGTCGCATGCGTTGTTCATTCCAAGAAACGGACAAATATGGAGGCCGGACAGCGGAAATCTCAAGTGGACTTAAAAAATTAACTTTTTTTGAAGTCTGAAGGTAATCATTATATTGAGTTCCTTGTGACTTTTGAGGCTAAAGTTTCAGCCCAACTTTTTGGAGTTTTGCGCAGTAAATCTCAAACTAAGACCCAATCCGAAACGGGCATTTTGTCATCAGTGGCTACGGCCACGGTTACGGGCGTCACGTGAGGATCGTGATGGTCCACGGTTAAGCGTTCGATTAGTTTCGCCGGTGTGACAGGTAAGTCTGTCCCCCTGGTAAATGTGTCCCTCCCCCGGACAAATTTACCTGCTTGTGACCCGGTAAATTGTGACCCTGTAATTGGGGCGGGACATTTGATCTAGGTAAATCTGCCCCCCTCCAGTAGATAAGTCCCCCTGCCCAACGTTGAATGTGTCCCCATGGTAAATGTGTCCCCGTGCAATACGAGTCGTGAGCAGCGCGTCGCGCCAGTACACATTGCATGCTGCAAAATTTGTGGCAATGATGTGTAGCCCGCTATAATGGAAATGCATCCAATAGGAAATTCGTTACGCGCAATGATGTTGAGAACTCGGGAACGTATAGTTTGTAAAAAAGATGGGTGAAAGCCGTGCACTGGATGGAACGCGAGCTCGTATTTCTGTGAAATTTGGATGAAATTTAATATTTTTTTGGAAGTATGCGTAATTATCACGGAAGTCTATGGGAGTCGATTTACAGGTCTGCATCCTTGGAGCGCGGTGGGGACGACCGAAGACGATCTTTTGATCACTAGCGTTGCTGCAGCGCTGTTGTACATGTACTGCCCAGTGCGATGGTTGGAGGACGGGCTCCGCTGTACTCCGTTTTTCCTAGAGTGCGCATGACAATTTCGATCACAGCTGTTCAGGCTGCACAAAAGATTGCTGATCAATGTGTCGTCTTTCATTTCCGTTTAAGTTTGGTGGGTTGACCAATGATTCTTGAGAAATTCTCATCCAAAGAAGACCACCTCTAAAACGAATGATATTTTCTGGAAAAGTAGCCATTTTGAAAAAGGATCCACTTTCGCCACTTTCGGACCCAATTGCATCTAAAATGCTCAAAATTTGAAGCCCCAAGTCCAGGCCAGAGGTGCGGTGCCATTGTGTCTTCAACCCCTCAACTCCATGGCTCTCAAAAAGTCAAACTGACACTGAAAGTTTTCGATCTCTCTTAAGTTCTCTTAAGTTTATGTTCACTCTTGTATTTTTTTAACAGTAAATCAGGTATAAAATCCACAGGTATTTAAGAATAATTAAGATAGCACAATGTACAGTTTGGTATATGCCTAGCATCTGTATAGCAAATAATTAGGTAAAGCAAGTAATTAGACAAATAAATAGGCTATTCCAACATTTTCCAATATGTACACAAATTATTTCAGTTCCTATACCTTATCTTATCCATTCCTATTGGGCCGAGAGTCCGTCACGTGGGTGGTTTTAAACCGCTGATAAAACACAGGCAGGAAGTGTTTAAAACCAGCCAGCAACAGATGTGGCTCCTGCACCAGGACAACAAATTTCTGCCTTCTAAAAGGTATTCTTAAAGATTTGTACGTTTCGGTTCGGGCCATTGACAGCGACCAGGCCCCTACCCGCTTTTAAAGTTTAAACGACACTTTAAAACTGCCCCACCACACTAATACCTTATTAAAACAAAAAAGAACATCATCAGCAGCCATGCGCCATAATTATAAAAAAATAATTGTCTTTCACAGTATTTTTTACTTCAAAAAAAAAAATAGTTTGCAGAGCCCAACAGTCACTGGGTTACCAATTCAATCTGACGAGTTGCTATCAGATTGTTAGGATAAAATATATGGTACGTGTCATGATCATACTGACATTATGACGGTGCAGAAAATCTATGTTTGTGCGATTGTTAGTCTGTCACTGTTGTTAATGGTATGTTGTTTCGCGTTTCTTTTTGCACGGATAGGGTTCGATAGTCCGAATTGAGAATAAGGTTCGATAGCCCGAATTGAGAATAAGGTTCGATAGCCCGAATTGAGAATAAGGTTCGAAAGTCCGAATATACGGTAGGGTTCCTAAATCCCAATTGAGAATAAGGTTCGATAGTCCAAATGGGCAATACGGTTCGTCAGCATGACACTTCGGACTATCGGACCTTACTATTGATTCGGACTATCGGACCTTATTGTCGATTCGGACTATCAGACCTTATTGTCGATTCGGACTATCGGACCTTATAGTCTTTTCGGACTATCGAACGAGCCTTATTGTCAATTCGGAATAATGAACCTTCGGACTATTGAACCTTCCGACTGATTAACCTTATTCTAAATTCGGACTATCGAACCTTCGGATTAATGAACCTTCGGACTATTGCATCAAATGTTCGGATTAACGAACCTTATTTCAATTTCGGACTAATGAACCCTCTCTTATGGAAATGTTGTGCATTCAGACTATCGAACCTTCGGATTAAATAACCTTCGGACTGTCGAACCTTCGGACTATCGGGCGGCCCCCGTTTTGAACACCCGACATGAATGTCGCGTGCTCGAAACAGATGATCGTCTGCTAGTTCACGGCTCCCACTCGTGTTTGAAAACATGGTGAAAATAGCGTGGGTACCAACGATAGAAGTGTTTCACATCGTATACGTACCGTACGTACAAAGTCATAGCACACTCCCTGTGGGATTTCACGTACGTGATATCCCGGTCCCTCTGGGAGTGTGCCATGACTTTTGATAAACTTAACGCGTGATCGTTCTAGGCCGATGAAACTACAGTATTCAAGACAGAGGTATAACAAACCTTATTGAAGATATAGCTTAGTCCATAATCAAGCCATCTGTGTTATGTACAAATAGCGATCTCCCCGTTTTCTGATCATCTTCGATTGTATTTATTTTTCAGCTGGTGTTTCCGACCATTGATGGACGGTGTATAAAGAGACAAATCACAACTTATTTTTCATCTGTATCTTTTGGTTTACTTTCTTTGTTGTCAAAGGCGTAATTGTGTACTTCTTGTTTAGTGTCGAGCTCAGTCATGTCGATGATTGCCATGGTAGGAAAAGCGTCATCCTCTTTGTTATATCCCAGGCACTTGCACCTTCAAGAAATAAAAACAATACAATAATGAGGTAATCTTTGGCAATGGTTAAGATGCAGTCTTATAGGATTTGGGGAGAGTTTCGCTGTGGTCACTTTCAGAGTCAAGCCGTTACAGAAATTTGGAGAATAAAGGTACGTATGATAGATCATTTGCGTTTACTGCATTCTTATCCACTTTTTTTTTACGTTACATTCTGTACCCGGGGGTTGGGGGAGGGGGGGGGGGTTACGTTACATTCTGTCCCCATCCTATAATGTCCATATGCGCCAGCCACTTTTACTAAATTTTGTCAGAAATGTTAGGTGACCAGAAATCTACAATTAAATTATGACGTCATTTGGTTCCACCGTGCGGTCAAGATATTTTGGCCAGTATTTTGGGCATCATTTCTGCATTTTTTCATTCAAATGCCTTCAAATTTGGTAGAAACAAGTTTCGGGTCATATTCATCAAGCTAAACAAATTTTGGCGTCCAAAATCACCATAACAGGGCGATATGGCTACTTTTGGGGGCATAATCATCATTCTTCGTGATTTTGTCACAAAGTTTGATAGATGTATCAGCCCCAAGTGGCACTAATGAAATAATTTTTTTTATAAACGATTTAAATGTTTATGCAAGAAGACCCACCCAATATAAAAACATTGCGCGAAAAAGGCGAGCATTACGCTTTTCGCGCAAATGGCGGCCATGTTGGATTCCCAGCATGCATTGTAATTGGTCACGTGAATTTTGTGTAAAGTGAAAACTTCATAAGTTCAGGCAAAGTAACCATGGTTTTGACACACAGACATGCATTATGTCCACGTATCTATACAAAATTGATAATTTTTGTATTACATGTACTAAGGTTCTTAATCAGCATGGGCGTCGCGAGGGGGTGGGGGGAGGGGGCGTAAAGGGGACGCTTGCACACCGCCCCTGGAAAATCACAAAAGAAGAGCAAATGTCCCTCCGCCCACCCTCGCAAAATGATAAATTGAGAATATGCTAGAGAAAGTACAAGGATTTTGGGAAATAACGTGCTTTGCCCCCCTCTAGAAAAAATCCTCGCGACGCCCATGTTAATCGGTTGCCATGGTAACCATGTAAATCCTACATTGACTCTCGATAAAAGTCACTTTTCATGTCGATCGGCGAAAGCGTTCTAGAGCTATATTACTAGGGGCGCATTGGCACATTGTTACACCGGTCCTGAATACACACACATAATTCCTGGCTATTTTTATACAAATGTAGTGATAATTGAAGCAAACTACTGAAACAAGATACTGTGCACAACAATTGCACACGAACTGCCCTTACTTTCCAAAGGCCTCCCCCTCCTCCAACGTCTCCGGCAGTTTCTTATCTTTTGTCTCAGGAAGAAGAAACGAAAGAAGTCCGGCCGCCACAGATAAAGATCCAAACACAACGAACGGCAAAGGACTCCAAAATTCCTTCAAATCCAGGATGAATGGCGATAGAATACCGGCAAATCGTGCTGACGCCGAAGATATTCCTAATCCAGCACTTCTGTATTTTAAAATACGAGAAATTTGTAATTGTTAAAAACAATCTTGAAATTGATAGATATAAAGGATTGTAAATCATTTTCGTTTTGAGAGAAATTTGGTTAGCTATGCGTACACAAAACGGACAATACGTGGCCAATATGAACATTATTGACCATTATTCTGCCAGTAAGCATTTATCTCCAGGATACCACTTTAAAAGTCAAGGTCGACTTTTTGCATACATTTATCATACAATCGATTCAACTGCATCTCTCCCTGTCGCACAAAATGCATAAATGTGACCATTTTGTTCACATGATGCGCTGCGAATATGACTTGTTTACTTTTTAATTCCGATTCATGGATCTTTGGGATTTTTTTTTTGTAAACCGAAGTAAAGTCTAAGAACCATAACAACTGACGCATGCGCATTATAAGCAGTGATACTTGGTAGCAGAAGTAAAGCAAGTACGGCTGGGGCTTCAATCATCGATCGTATAAAGTGTAATATACCTTACTGATGTTGGGTAGATTTCTCCAGACACTACGTATATTATAGCAAACGATGCAGAAATACAAAACTTTCCAATCATGGCAATCGCCAGGCGAGCATTTCCTGCATCTGTGTTACAATAATACCAAAGGACCATTTTTAAACTACAAGTACCTCTTTAATTTAACCTGATAAAAGATTTACTACTCCAGGCAACAACTACATTGGGTTGTGAACATTAATAGTCTGCATATGGTTCCCTTAAACGGCCTAAAAAATGTTTGTAATGAAACCTCTAGTCTAACTTAAAACACATCGTTAAAAGTATAAGAATGCAAGCAAGCTCCTGGCACGTAGACGATTATGAATTCCAAATAGTCTGCACCTCGGTTGAGGGGTGGGGGAGGGGCACCAAAACCAGAGATATAAGAAGAAGGGGGGAAACGAATGCTCTTTAGGAATTACATGTAAGGTTTAGCTTCTCCACTTTTTCGAATTTTCAACGGCCGCCTGACCGGCTGTACCCCCCCCGAAAATTGCGTAGTGGATCCACCCTTGTCCTAGTCTATGGAATAGACATTTGCAAAGTCAAGGTCTGCGATATGCGAGCAGATTCGGCAACTATTTGTACAAAACAAGACTGCATCTTGACCTCGAGATTCTGACCATTCAGCGGGCGCCTTGTACCGAGTCTTCCGTAACCCGTAGTTGTATTACCAAAACAACTCAGCCAAATTGACCATTCAACAGCTTAGTGCATATTAGCCAGTTTCAACAGCTTAGTCCACATTTGTATGCAATAATGTTCGCATCCCTGAATAAACTATTATTATTATATGTCATGACGTCACAATTTCTAAAGTCGACTACGATTGGCTGGCAAAAACATGCATTGCTCAGATATGGCAGACGTTGAATAGGGGAGGACTCCGTTAGACAATGGGTGATACTCAGACTACCCTTGTCCCTACATTACCTAGAAAAGCAGTGATGATGCAAGCTACGCCTCCGACCAACAAGTTGCCGCCCAGGTTGATTCTACGGCCCACGTACTGAAGCGCAATGACACAGAACACATAACTTGGGAATTCAACCAATCCCGAGATGACTGCCGCGAGGTAGTCATCCACGCCGAGGTCTGAAGTGCTGAGGTTTAGCCCGTAATATACCATGCTATTGACAAACCTGCGGAATGGGAATAAACACGTGCGAGTGCACAATAAGATCTGGCGAAAAATGCAATGCCGATAGCACATATGGTACGCCATACTTTTTCGGGGATATTTCCTCATTCTGGATACCGTCCAAACACTTCACAAAAACCACGTGACTATAACATTATTGCACGTATTTTGCCGCCATTTACAACCATTTCATAAACATCTTTTCGAATTGTTTACAAACAATTTTGTTAAGTATTAGATTTATTTTGTTGCGAACATTTCAATATTTGGTAGTTACATTTTGTGTGAAACTTATGGGGCTTATTTACGTCAATTTTCGGGGACAGACATAAGCAAAATAAACCCGTGTTTCGAAAACTTTCGTCAAGAGTGCACTTTATGACCACGGCATGGTATTTGGTCAATCAGTCAATTATTTTTGGTCAAATATTTTTGGTAAATATTCGGGGACAGAGAGCACAGGCATGCAGCACAACCGACCGACCGACCGACCGACCGACCGACCACCAAGTGACATGTTGAAGGTCCTGCCATAACTTAAAAACCAGGGTATCAGAGTATCATTTATTTATTTTCCACGAACAAACAAATTGAAGCAACAAAGCTAAAAACAGACCGCGTACAGGCTGACAAAAGTTCACAAAAAATAGGTTAGCAAACTGTATAACGACAAAGGTGGATATTGGATTGATTATCAGCAAATAAGGTTGTCCAAAGGTCATGTAGCCAAATTTAGAAACGTTTTTACGGAATCCAAACTTGGAGTGCACTTATCCTTTATTTTGTACTGTATTGCTCCCTCTAATCGTGTTTATAGCTAATTATCGTGTTAATGGGACTATCCGGCAGGATTGTGAAAAAAAATCAAGAAGGTTTGTTTTGGGGCATTGGTTCTTCTATGCGTTTCGTTGTCGATAAAGGCAAATTGTATACACAAACTTTTCAGTGAGCTGATCATTTCGGGTAAATAAAGATTCATAACTGTACGCTTGTAACACGACCGCGTGCCTCAAGTGACACCAAAGCAACATCGCCCCAAATACTCAGGAATGGCATAAACACGAGAACAGTGCAAAGTAAAAACAGTGCCCATCAGAATAATTCACAGTACAGGGACCTTAGTATGGTGCGCATGCGGGAGACGTATATGAAATCAACATTTTCAGTAGTTGATTCACCAGACACACTAACGGGAATGTGCATCTAATGTTGAGTTGTATATGTGGGCCTGTACAATATTCACACAAAGTTGTGAAATAATCATTTTTCTTTTGCCGCATGCGTCTCCTGTAGGTGCATCAGACGCTATAGGGACCATTAGGCCTAGTTTCCAAATCGTCGTAAGAAACGCAAAGTGAAGCGCAAACATGACCCAAACTACGACTCAGACACAATGGAAATATTTCATTCGGAATTGTCGCCGACAACCCAGACAGACGCAAACTGTCTCGCAGACGATCGGCAAAGTTGAACCCGGTTCAACTTGGAAAAGTTGTTTGTTAAATCGCCATTTTGCGTGGTTATTTCATCTGGCACACTACGGGCGATGTGCATTTCACATCAAAATATTAAGATGTAAAAATGTGGTTTTGGTGAAATAACCACACAATGGTGATTTAACAAGCAACTTTTTCCCAGCCGCATAGGCCTAAGAGCTAAGACTAGCATCCCACACGCGTACCATTTGTAATGGTCCCTTTCCTCGTCAGACCCATTATGTACTAACCAATTGAACATTATATTCAATGTTTTGATGCGCATGTTTGGAGTTCGGAATAGCCCCACTGCCGTTGATTGGCCTTTAGATTGCGTCTCCTGTGGAATAAGAATTGCTAGGTTTAATAAGTTGTTGTGTGGGTAACTGTCAGTTTAATACAAACTCTGTTGAATGGACGAATTTCAAATTAGAGTTGAAACCGAGGGCCTCATACTGTCAGGTTTAGAGTAAGAAACAATGAATAACAAGACTGGCAAAAGTCCATTCGATTTATTCAGAGTGGTTAAACAGTTACTAGAATATGGAAAATCCACTCTTGCCATCGCATGAAAGTATGCAAGAAACATGCGGTGGAGCGTGGGATGCTGCGGACAAATCAATAGGCAATTTTCGCAAAGCTGGTACAAGCCTACTGTATACATGTACTTCACAATCCACTGCATTCAGTGAGATTAAACCAGTCTCATTCACCAGATTTTCGAAGTTGCATACATAGCTACAATGTTGCATACATAAAAAAACTACATGCAAAGACAATTTATATTGCAGATGTATAATTTACATCAAGGAAACAGGTGTTTTTGTTTGGCCTTACCTGGGCGGCACTAATGGCCTCTGGACTGAACATCTCCTCGGGAAAGTCTTTCTTGTTTCGTGCTGCGACCTGGCGGAGTGTCTTCTCTGCTTGACTGTATCTCCCTTTGGTTATCTGCCAACGGGCGGATTCAGGCATTTGACTGGATTGGTTTCAAATAAAGCAACAAATAATGTCACAAAACTTGATTTCAACGTCACGGCAACAGTAAAGGTTTTAGGTAAATATCTTTAAAATAATAAACAGAAATTCAGATGTAACATTTTGAAGGTACCGTGTAGATAAAAAAATCTAATAAATGGTAAAAAATTGCACCAAAGGGGGATAGGATTAAAAAAAAATAATACAAACGAGAAGTTGGGGTTAATATCTGCATCAAGGACAAAGTTCAATCTTAATCCACGATCCTCACCCCTTTGTAAACCGGAATCGGTAAAATTTAACGTGTTACTTCTAAAAGAGACTTAAAGGTTTGCATGGTGGACATTATCAGTTAATGGGAGGTTTGCGGTAACACCATGTGAATGATACTTCTTTGTGAGTTGTGTGATTCTGAGAAGAACCAGTTGGTTTAACTTGGTCAAACATCTTACATCCTGTTAGAATCGCCCGCCTCAACGGTCCACTGAGATAAGCATCCATTAAACTAGAGCACACTGTTCGAAACGTCGAGTTAAACCAACTGGTTCTTCTCAGAACCACACAACTCACAAAGAGATATCATTAACATGGTGTTACCGCAAACCTGTTACTTCTATGTCTTACTCACAAGTACATGAGAATATACAGGGCAGTTGGTAGTGCAATACAAAGCTGTAGGAAACGCCAGTAACGGATGAAATAGGCCAGCAAGGGAACGATCGTCAAACCAGCTGCGAAGAATCCCTGGAAGGAAATTCCCACTAACACACGTCGATTCGGGCTGAGGAACTCATTTACTGCAAAAGGATAAATGTCATTGATATTATCAAATTAAAAAAATCAACATAGTTAATCATGTACATGTATAAATCATAATCATTATCACGTACAGCGGGCGGGCTCTTCAATTTGTTTTGAAATGGCCATGAAAGATTGTGTGGATAATTAAGTGGTTTTCAAACTTCCAGTATGGAATTGCGGGAAAGCCAGAAATAAATTTGATTATTGTCAACTTTTTAATAAGTAAAATAAGAGTTTGCAGTGCGGTTAGGTTGGGAGCGAAAGTCTTACAAAGCAGTTGTGGAGATGATCGAAGTTGACGTTATGCAGATAAAGTTGACGAAACAAACGTTAAGCTTAGACAAGAGTTTAGCCAGGCCATGAGTACGAGTATCAGTACGAGTGCAAGGAATTTCCCCCTCGAGTGCTCGGTACATTTTCAAGTCTACCAGTAGGTCCCTTCATTATACGATACGACCAAAAGTACTTGCCATGAGTCGCAGCACATTTAAATGGGGACGTTTTCAGGGGCCTTTTTTAACCGTCAAGCCAGGAGAACTTTTCCACAAGCACGAGCAGGTGTACAAGTACTTTGACACATGAGTGCGAGATACAAGTACATGCAGCGGTGTACAGGGTTAAACTTTTAAGGGGCTACGTGGGGATGCACCAATTTTTCAAGGGGGGCACCGAAGACAACTTATGATATTGTTTTTGTTTTGTTTTTGTGCAATTCAAGATTTTAAATGGAGGGCGCACACGGGGCTGTATGGAGTGGGAGTCACGGACCAACAGGTTAATTTTGTTTGCGAGTACAAGTATGAGTACAAGCATCATTAACATGATTGCGAGTATGAGTGCGATTTAGAAAAGGCCAAAGTACTCCAGTACGAGTATGAATACAATACTGCTGTAAAGAGTAACATATCAAGTTCATTGTAGGGTTATTTCACTCGAGTCAATTTCATTGGTGTCACAGTTCCAGAACACGCAATCTTACCTAGGACAAACACACAGATAAAAGCACCCATAGCACCGGCGGCTACGAAGAATCGAAGAATCGCATAGACGACAATACTCGGGGAGAAGATGTTGCCCAAAGACATTAAGAGCAGCAATGCAGAAGCGAGGTAGGTCGCCGGCTTGCGGCCGATGCTGCGGAATAATCAACAACAATGAAACATTTGGAAAATACGTTTGAGGTTACATTCAGCCAGATTTTGCAGAAAAAAGTTATAGATTGCCCACTTACCATATTTCAAAGGTCTCGGTCACAGGAAATCCACATCATGTTTTATATTTGTGAGGAAATCCACACAATGTCTAACATTTACGGGGACAAATCAATGGGACCCAAACTTTGCTCTTTTTTTTCAATGGAGTGGATGGATTGTTTTTCAAAATGGCGATGGGCTTCAGGACTACCTTTAAGGGCGATCATTTTGTGGAGGGACAATATAGGGACACATAACCCAAAAGTAAACGGTAAAGCCCCTTAAAAATGAACAGCGTGTAGAAGGTGGCAAAACAAGCTTCAATTTGATGAATATGTCTTGAACAGCATGGAAAATTAGTCGCAGCTGAAAAGTGTTCAATTATGCGAATTCACAATGCGATACCTGCTGCCGCCGTAGTGCGCCTATCAAATGTTCCCCCTCCCCCCGCGCTACCCCAGGTCCAATGTCGCGATTTGGTCACGTTTTTCATGCCCCAGGGTGGGGAGTTTGGTCACTTGTTAACATTGGCGTACTAATGGAAAGGCAATCACTAGTGCGCCCCACGTATGTAAGTCGGGGCATGGTCGGGGATTGTCACTTAAATGTTGCCCGAGGGGTGGGGATTTTGTCACTTCAAAAGAAACAATCCCCACGTCTTGGGTGGGGCAGCCCGGGAGGGGAGGGGTGGGGGAAACAATCAAGGGCGGATCCAGAACATAATTTTTGGGGGGGCCAAAAAATTTTTTGGTTCCCCCCAAAAGGGGAAAAAAAAAAATTACAGCGTGGGTTCGGGGCCCGCTTAAGGGCCCCGAAAAAATTTTGGTTTGTAGATGCTCTGTGGTGTGATCTGAGGCGATTTCTGACCACTTTAACCAATGTTTTTTTGAGGAAAAGATGGTGGTGTACTCATTGCCTGCCTTTATTGCGATGTCAAAAAGTGGGTCAAACAATTTACGGCGTGGGGTTCGGGGCCCGCTTAAGGGCCCCGAAATTTTTTTTGGATTCTAGATGCTCTGTGGTGCGATCTGAGGCAATTTCTGACCACTTTAACCAATGTTTTTTTTGAGGAAAAGATGGTGGTGTACTCATTGCCTGCCTTTATTGCGATGTCACATAAAAAAAAAAAAAATTGATTTCGTTTTGGGGGGGGGGGGGGGGGGGCCATGGCCCCCTTTGGCCCCCCCCGGATCCGCCCTTGGAAACAATTGATAGGCACATAACGTCACCGATTCGCGTTCACGTTCATATTCGTGCTGAGAATGAACCAGCTTTTACGGAGATGAAGCAGTAATGATATAATAACACTAGGACGTACAAGTCTGCAAGTGATCCGAAGAAAAGTGAGCCGACCAGTAAACCACCGAAGTAGACAGATTGGAGGATGCTTGGAGTTCCTCTATCATCACACACAAGATCAAACTATATACAATGACAACAAAACAGAAAAAGGTTTTGAGGCCTAATCGTACTCCTAAGCCATGTTCGAACCCCCTGCTTCTTTAACTGAATTGTTATTTTAATATAGGTTTTTTCGGCCATGTTCATTCACTTCTGAAAATCGGTCATTCATTTTCGACTGAATTTCAGAATCGCTCTGAACACGCGTTTCATTTTCGCTACCAGAGCATTCGATTCCATTTCAGTTCAATCAATTAAGTGATTGAGCAGCACCTTTCGTTTATGTCCATCCAGATCCGTTTACAAGACTGCTTTTTCGATTTTAGAGGGCAATTTCAATTATTCACCATTCTATTTCACTTTTAGTTGAATGCCATCGGCACGAGATACAATTAGGGGTTTCTTTTTTTCATTAACCGTCAATCAAATCAGCTGTGCCTGAAATCAACTTAGAAAAGGTATGCTTGCGTAAATGACTGCACAGGTAACGTGATTGGCCGTCTGTTTCTCAAAACCGAATGCACGGACAATGAAAACGATTGAACTTCCGTTGAATTGAAATGGGATTCAAGACGTGCGTTCAAATTCAGATGAAAAAGAATGACCGATTTTCAGAAGTGAATGAACATTTTAGGAAATTGGCCGGGAAAACCTATAGTTAGAACTGGTACCTCGGTTATTATGGTGGTCTTGTATTGTCTTGTGTCATACTCCCAGGCATGGGAACCAGCCTCCGCAGTTGGGCACTTGATGGTAACATTGCTGTAATCGGAAGTGTTCATTCCCACAGTAAAGTCTACATTCAGCACGTCGTACATTTTGCAGCTGTCATACACCTTTTTACCGCCTTGTATTTGGAACGGGATGGAGGCATCACGTTTGGCCAGCAGACACCCCCAGTCATCAGGCTGGCCGTTGGCGGTGCAATTGGCATGGTCCCATTTGGGCACGCGGCACCAGTGATCGGACTCTCCTGCAAAGAAGACCTGTGCTATGGTATGCGCACCTGTCATAACGCCTATCAGCGGAGCCCAGACAAATAATATCTTCTGCCATTTTCCAAATCCACCGATGATCTCAAGTATGTCATCAAATTTGGGCGGCTCGTTCTCCCCAGAATCGATCTTAAGGTCGTCTTTTTGGTCTTCAGTCATGGTGCTGTATACTTGTGCGTTTGACTAGAAAGGTATAAATTAAAGAAAACTGACTTGTTGATCTGACCCAACGGGGTTCATTATTTTTTCCAAATACATATCTGTGGACTTTGATTTTGGCTTCTTTTATAATTGTATCTATCCTAATCTGCACTTCAATCGCTTCCCATAGTTATCTTGTTTGTTATATGTTTGTTTGTGTACTTTACAATCACCACACCCCTATGACGCGCGACGGAGATGTTCTAATTAGTTGCAGTCACCACTTGACCTTTATCTGGGTTGGTATCATGTACAATCAGAGAGACATGTTTGTTTGGGTGTTTAATAATAATAACAGATCGAGAAAAATACTACCTACAATAAATAATTATAGCCTACAGTGTGCAGAAATTACAATGTATAACACTGACTCCGGTTGCATTATCAGACTTTTTTTTTAATAACGTCCCTCCAAATTTCTAAATGAGAATAAGAAAGATTTTGAGTGTCTTCGAGTGCTCAGTTTTATATAGTTCAAAGTACTGTCGAGTGCCAATGCAGAATTTTTATTTTTTTATTTATTTTTATTGTAATCTTTAACGAGGCTAGTCCATTTCAGTTTAAGAAAACTGCTTTACAAAGGAGCCCACACAAGAAATGGTCATTGAGTCGGAGTATCACAATTGAGAACGAGCCCATCCCAATCCAAGGCGGAGGTTGAGTACGAACACTCGAACCTCCGAGAATGAGGACTTTTTTTGCTACTTGTTTGTCAAAACTGTCCAAAATGAAGTAAAATCAATTTTATTGGGTCATTGAAGAACTTTTTAGCAACTGCGAAATTACACAAGCTGATCTCCCTCGATGCAGACCATAATTATGTAACCTGCAACCTTCAACCATCTCAGCCACAGCGAGTACTAGTCGCCACTGCCATGTCACATAATGAAGCAGAACCTTTTTTGGCATTGGGAAAATCAAAGGCGTCAAGATCTCTTTTCAAAAGCATACCCTTCCATAATGCATGCACGCAAAGATGTTGCGCGTGAGCTCCATGCCATTGGAAGATGAAGGATGGATGGACCTATGGGTGAGCCCCATCCCTGTCGCACCGAAGCCCTTTGGTGACATCAGAATCTGCGTTGACATCAGTGGCGTAACTACGGGGGGGGGGGGGGCATGCCACGTGCCCCCAGCGGATGTTTGTTCCCCCTGGGTGCACACCCCCCCCCCACCCATTGAAATCTTGAATTGAACAAAAACGTTTACACCGCGCTGTCAAAATGAGCGCTTGAACTGATGTCTAAGGGCAATTACTACGTTCACGTACGCTAAACTTTTTACATGCTAATAACTGTTGGGCAAGCGACGTCCGCAATGATAGCACGTGGTTGTATAATGTCGTGTGGGCATTTCACGAACACATCGATTTCGCCGTTAGTATTAGTAGTAGTTGATGCGTTGAAAGTATTTTTTTGAAACAGTGAATACCGTACTGAGCGTGTTTTCGCATGTAATTTCTTCCCCGAAGCTAATTTTTGTAGCTGTTCATATAATTTCATTTATACAATCATTCTTGAAAGAGTGCTTTTTGAGGTAGGTACTGGCTCTGTTTCAAGCCTATATTGAGAACAAAATTCACTGTTTTACTCATACAAAACTAATATATAACGTTAGTTAGAGATAGCTTGAGTAACTCCAGCGCATATATGCTCATCGGGAATTCGACATAAATATAACGCTGGAGTGTAAACTATGTTGTATCCGTAGATAAAAAAAACCCCGGACTCCACAAAAAAACTTTCCCGGGAAGCACAACAGAAAAATACAGTTGTTTTAGGTTTTTTTGGTAAAATTTGTTAACAACGGGAGCTGAACTCCCTGTGGTTTGTGTTTCAAAAAGGATATTAGCAATCGACATATCTCTATTGATAATAGATAATATCTCTATTACAGGGATTAAAATATGTTAACTTTGTGTGTCCGAAACAGAGATATCTTGATTCCTAGAGATATCTCGATTCTTGGATCAAATGTCAAAATGCACGCCATATAACTGTAATGAAAACTGACTGGTCACCGGACGAGACTATATTGCTTAATAAGCCCGAGTCGCACTGCTCGTTTAAAGGAAATCAAAGACTAAGTTTTTTAGTGCATTTTATTAGGGAATAATGGCCGGTTGACGGATTTGTAATGAATACAACGCTCCTGCAAGGTCCTGTACCAATCAGGTATTAAAATGTTCACATTATTACGGACTTCATTTATTTCTTTATTTATCACAAAATGCAACGTCAGCAATTGTCACATCAAAATCAGCTTGAAAGTTCAGGAAAAAAAATAAGTACCGGTCCGTTATTGCCCACCAATTCTTCAAACTTTCATCAGAAATTCCCATTTTCAAATTTACCGGTGAGCATCATTCAATTTTATATTAATAACTGGGACCCTATTGACGGAGCTATAACGACTCAATCGTCCGTGGGCGGATTAAAGTCCTCCTACAACAACGGCCTCATCTTCCTCTTTGTAACTTAGCTTATGGCATTTTCTTCCTTCTTTTTCTATGCTTTGAACTTCCTTTTCTCATTGTTGTTTGTTATATTTATAGTTGTTTCATGTCGTTAGCAATATGTATATTGTTTCTTACCATACTACGCATGTGTTTAATGTCATGTCCATGTAATCAGTTTATTTTGTCATTCTGTATATCTGTTTGTCTGTTTTGTCCGTCTGATTTGTATGTCTCATCATTTAACTCAGTATTTTTCTAATCATTTATTATTTAAAGACATCTCTATACAAGCTTCGGCTTCGAGAATATGCCTCCATGTATGTGCTGGCAATTGTATATTTTCTTATATATTGTTATTTCTTGTATATTTCAATAATCCTGCGCAGACTGGAAATATGTAAATAAAACTGAACTGAATGCCCCGATGTATATGCTCAAGTGTGACACACGATTGACCGTACGTCATTCCCATCCCTCTGCGGTGAACGACGTAATCAGAGTTCTAGATATGTATTCTTTCTTTTTAGGCTTTCCTGTCCAATCCAGCGACTTAACCTAAAAGAAAACAATAGGCCGATGACCAGGGAACACATTTTTTCTCGGTATTTGTTTTTGTGTGTTATCTATATAACAGTGTTGTAGTCGAGACCGGATAGTCCGAGACCGAGACCAAGACCGTGACCTGAAGTTGCGAGACCGAGGCCGAGACCGAGACCAGCCCCTTCAAGGCGGACCGAGACCGAGACCGAGACCGAAATGGTCCGAGACCGAGACCGAGACCGAGACCGCGGATAATAATCTAAATAAACAACAAGACACTAATTACAGCTGAACAGTCTGCCCTTGAGATGTTGATGTTCATGGGGATGTGAAGGAAGTGATTGAAAGTTAGGAATCACTTGTACCTGCTTTATAATTGTGTCATGCGAGTGCTCTTCGTGTTTGCTTCATGCCATAAATTACAACATGGCAACAGAATTTGTTATTGTCACAATTAATTTAAACAAATGGAAACAATCTAATTTCAAGAAGGGGAAAACCTTATTTGATGAACTCCATATATTTTTGCCACTTTTGTAAAAAAAAAATTAATTTTTTTTTTTTTAACTACTATAAAGTAAATCTGATGAAGAAACTCTAACTTAGGAGTACGACAATTTGTACTAGTTTTTGCAAAACTTGAACATGTTGAAACTTGACAAAAGTAAAAAGTTAAAGGTGGATGTTTCATCTGTTATAGAAACTCGGACCCTAAACTCCACAGCCAACCCTTGGTTTCAGCAATGACCACTAACAGATATTTAAATGCAACTTTAATTTTACATTGGACCTCCTTGTAAACCTGATTCGAAAAAAATTTGGAGCAAGAAAATATTGATTGATTTTTTACAATTTCAGTCATGGAATATAGATTTGTACATGTAGACCAAAAATTTGAGAGATGGTAGCCAGATATGGATTGGTCTGCCCCCCTCCTTCTTTGTGATTCTCCTTCCAACCCTGCATGTTTGTGTGTCCCCTTCATGTTTGTTTCTTGTTCCTCTGTCACTTACCTCTGAAGAAGGCCTGGCTAAGGCTGAAATGTATGCCACTTTTTGTTTAATGTCAATACTATTACATATACTATAGAAGATCGATGAACCATATTTTCCTGATCTATATTCTGTTCATCTGCCCGCCGTCATCATTGTCATTAGCCTATTTGAGAATATGGCCGACACAATAGAAGGGCGCTGTCACAAACTGAATGTGGTGGGCGAGATGTACTTGTAGGGTGCAGACCAGTAAATCGGTCCGAAATTGCCTACGCCGGCCAAATCACGATTTGCAAAATCTTCAGTATTTGAGCATGCTGTGGGCCATGAACTTGAGGGTTTGTAAAAAATATGGGTGGGAGCCGTGCACAGGACTGGGAGCTTGCAGTTCTATGTAATTTGGATGTAATTTGGACCCTAAAAGCGCTCTATTTTGCAATGGAGTGTAGGCATCGTTTTTCAAAATGGCGATGGGCTTCAGGACTATTTTCAGGGGTGATCATCTTCAGATGGAAATTTCTCTTAAAAGTCATCAGTTGACCCCCAGAAATTGAAAAGAAAATGAAAGATGATGGAATAAGCTTTAATTTGATGTGTGTCTCGAACACCTTGGAGAGTTGTGAGCATTTTACCATTGGGGTCTATGGAAGTTTATTTAGTGGTCTGCTACCTTTAGGATTCATGGCTCAGTGCGCACGCCTCTCTGTGTTTTGTACCGTGCCATCGTATCGCCCGCATCGGCTACTTTGCTCGGCAATTTACTTGAATATTTTAGTGATATAACAAGTACGACATATTGCCAATGTATTAATAGTTTATTGTGATGGCCGTAAACAGCATATAGCTATAATGGAACACAATTCTTCTCGACTCATGCAAATGCAATTGACATTTAGGAAGGAGACGAGGCAGGCAATTAGACTCTATTTTTGTGTGACCATGGCAGTAGCTCAATTTGTGTTTATCACAGATGAAAAGATGAATACATGGCGAGTCAAAAAGAAAGTGACCGTATGATAAAAAAAATGGCACGCTCCATTTCATAAAATATATAATTGGGATAAAGAACATGTTATGGAGTAGTAACTGAGAACATTTCACGTAATTTGCATACTCTATTCCCAAGTCATGTCTATTTTAATAAAGAGATCACAAAATTCAGCTGTCCACCACTAATACCAATTTAACGGTCTACAAATTGATGAATATCCATTAATAAATATAATGAAAAAAAAAAACGTTTTCCCGCCTCCACGAATAAAGGAAAAATTGAAAAAGAAAATAGAAAAAAAATTACCAATATTTCTAGGGAAAAAGAGTTGAATTGTTCCCCATATTCAAAATACAAAAATCTGACGGTAAAAATAATGTTTCAGTCTTGATTCATAAGATTTAAATCTCAGTTGTATTTGGAATCAATGAGGATGGCTATAAAGTGCTTGTTTCAACAGATCATCCCACAATAAAAACGAGAAATAAGAAGAGGAGCAATGGTTATTGGACTATGCCTCACTCACTAGAAAGTGAAGAGAGACATGTCCATTAGCATCACACTGCAGTCACATTTGCCCTAAACTGATTCTTTACGTAACCCTAAAAGGGTCGACTTTCTAGCGACTTGTCCTCAAGTCTAAAATGTTATGGGCTTTAATTATTATACCTAATAATTGTGACCTTAGCACACCTTTGCACTACAGGTCATGCATAAATTATTATTCATTAAGACGTCATGAAAACGAGGAATATGCATAGTCGTCATGGCGTTTTTTATTTTACAGATTTCTACATATTGTTATGTTTGTCCGAGAGCAGTGATTCTGTTTACCTAGTGCTTGTCGTTCTTCTATAAAAGTAATCTACAGTCTATCTGCGTTTGAAGCATTTTATTTTGCGGATCACCTCTTTGCAGTCTTTCCTGAATCGCCTGTTTGCGATTCCATATATCAGCGGGTTAACTACACAGTTGATCAAAAGAGTGATTGAAAGTTCCGCAATTATTTCATCGAACTTGTCGAATGAACCATCCAGGGACAAGTATTGTTTAATAATGAAAATCAGGTAGGGCAGCCAGGTCAGGAGAAACACCACGCTGGTAATAAAAAGCATTCTGGTTGTCTTACGCTGTAGTTTGGCAGCACCGACCCTGAGAGGGGCGTGTCGTTGCTCTGGATGGCTCTGCCCATGAGATGGGGTATTGTCATTCGACGCAGCTATAGCTTTAGGTACGGGGATCACATTGGGTTGGCTAGGGCCAGAAGTGTCCTGGTGTGCAAAAGATACGACTTGAGCAGCAGTGCATGCACCGTTGGGTTTCTTTTGCTGAGACGTTGTATGAGTTGTCGAACTTGTATTTGGTTGATTTACAAACCTCGTCACGGCCTCGTCGACATATTCACGTGTCGGCAACTCATTGATCTGCAGAGGTGGTGTCGGTCGTGTCGAGCAGTTTACGTGACGTTCGACTCTCCGATCACTCTGTCTGCGTTCGTCTCGTGTAGTTGGCACCTGGGCGGGCTCTACCTTGACGTGTTTACGGATAGTGGCGTAAACTTTCCCGTAACTTGCACATATTGTCACTAACGCAATCACAAATATAACTGGTTTTACAATCACGTCTATGTACCAGTGTGCCTGTAAAGAAGGGGGTATGGAGCATGACACTCTAAAGCAGATAACAAAGGCGACTTGTCCTGCATGAATGGCGACTGCAAACAACACTGCGACCAAAACTGCTATCTTAGACCGTGCAGGGTTGAAAATCCGTTTTTGCGGACGGCATACGCAGTCATAGCGTTCTACCGCAATCACCGCAGTGATACTGAATGACGAGGCTATAGCTGCGTTAGAAAGTGCAACGAGAACAGCCTCTGCAATGAAACACACAAAGGAATTCAAATTTTCACATGCCAACATGACGATAATCCGCGGGATGGTCAAGAAGCAGACGGTCAGGTCAGCCCAGGCCAGGGCTCTGATCAGAATATCGGTGCTGGTCTTACGAGTCTTGGTCCAGTAGACTCGAAGAATCAGGCAGTTACCGGGAACTCCAAGGAGGAACACCAACATTTTAGCGATGAGGCGAAGAGTGATTCCAACGTCGGGATGATCCTCAGTAACCACCCCGTTTGCTGCTGTTGCATTCGAGGTGATAATGTTCTCCATTCTGTGTTTCAAATCATTTGCATTCCTACTTGATACGTAAAATTACATTGCGGAGGATACGCCTCTCTTTGAAAATTGCGCCTAAGTCAATCGATTGACTCGTAAAATACAGCAATTTTACATACATTCCCAACCACTCATTTCAGTCAGTCGGTAGATTGTGTCGCTTTAGACCTAAAGCCTTAAGGCTCCTACCGCCTCGAACTGATGACACAAGACACTATGTTAGGCCTTAATTACCAATAAATCAAATCTGAAAGCTGCTCCGTGCTGGCACAAGGTAATAGGATATTCTGATTATCCATGTCCATCTAGTGTTTGTCGTAGGAATAGCGTTTTGAGCGCATTACCTAGGTTACTGTGATGAAGACTGACTCATCATCATACGAGAGTAGATCGCTTAAAAGCCCGAGTCTTCCTGTTCGCTCGAAGGACATTAAATCTAATAATTGGAGTAATGTTTGGGATGTATTAAAAACTCTGTTTAGGACCGGTTGGAGTCTGGATGGGTGATAATTACCCATGGCGAAGCCGGGGGGTAATTATCAGCACATTCTATGTTCATTCACTTCTGAAAATCGATCATTCATTTTCGACTGAATTTCAGAATCGCTCTGAACACGTGTTTCATTTTCGCTGTATACCAGAGCATTCGATTCCATTTCAGTTCAATCAGTTAAGTGATTGAGCAGCACCTTTCGTTTATGTTTATCCAGATTCGTTTACAAAACTTCTTGTTCGCTTTAATTTTCAAACATTCGCCATTCTATTTCACTTTTAGTTTAATGCCATCGGCACCAGATACAATTAGGGGTTTCTTTTTTCATTAACCGTCAATCAAATTATAGCTGTACCTGCAATCAATTTATAGAAAAGGTATGCTTGCGTAAATGAATGCACAGTTAACGTAATTGGCCGTCTGTTTCTCAAAACTGAATGCACGGGCAATGAAAACGATTTTGAAATGGAATTAAAGACGGGCATTCAAATTCAGACGAAAACGAATGGCCGATTTTCAGAAGCGAATGAACATTTCTGGAAATTGGTCGGAAAACCTAATACCTTTTCGGTCTAAATCCCCCCAAATTTTTTCGGTCCAAAAATCAAAATAAGTCAAAAACCAGACGTTGCCAGCCATTTTTTTTCAACAATTTTACTTCATGTTATATGAACCACCTCTCGGACTATAATATGGAATGTCCCTCTACAACACCTTATAGGCCTAAGGAGATTGGCGTGCGCGATCGCGCAAAACCAGCTGGGCTGGTGTATTGTGGATTTCGGACTATATATGAAATGATTCACTGGTAGTATTGCTCATGCCTACGTGAATAATGTGAACGTTCAACCAATGAAACATAAAAGGCACTGGATTTCATGGGAGTCCAAATTTCATATGTGACACTTGAAAAGTGTTTAAGACCAGCCAGCCATGTCTTAAATCATCCGTTTAAGACCGGCCACGAGACGGGCTCTCGAACAATAGGAATGGGTAAACTAGGTCTTTATGAATGCGTATTATTAGGGGATCAAGACTGGTTGCCGGATTGTTAATGAACATAACGTTATTGCAAGTTCCTGCACAGTCGATCATTTCAATTTACCCATTAGTGGACGTCAGTCATTTCTTTATTTATCGAAGAACGCCAAGTCAGCAACTTGTCACGTCAAAATATACCTGACAGCTCAGAAAACAAAACATGTACCGGTACGTTATTGCCGTTATTCAAACAGTCATCAGTAATTTCAATGTTCATAATTTTTACATTAATAACGGGGACACTGACAAATGACTAAAAGAAGGCTAATTTTTGTATTCGTCTTTGCGTGTAATCTATAAACTATTCATAATGACAATTATGGCTGAGTGATTTTCCCAACTTACAACGCCTGACGCGTAGGCCTGTATTTAACGTCGATTCTCTGATATAAAGAAATAGGTATAAAACAGGTTTCGTTTTATAAATGTTATGGGTTTGTAGATCTACCGTGACGTCACTTTGTGAGTGACATGCCTGCGTACTAAATGCACACATGTACACATGTATATTACTTTTGGCTCACTGCGCTTCACGTAACAGTTCACTCATCGTGACGTCATTAATATAGGTTTTCCCGGCGAATTTCCTAATTTTTCTAATCGGTTTCATTATCAGCCATTCAATTTCACGTGAGTTTTGCACATGTGGTCAAATTGGGGTTTCTTTTTCATTTTGGGTTCATTCAATTTCATTTTTAGGCAGCCAAGATTTTGCTCTGAATGTTCGTTTTTATTTTCGGGCAGCCTATTTCGTTTTGGCGCATTCAAGACTTAACTTGTAGCAGTCTTAAATTAAGTCTTGGCAACCTTTTGACGGTTGATGCATTCAAATTAGCAAACATCTGTGCGCTTATAACGTATAACCATGCTTTTCGTTTCTTATTCGTTTATGGGCAATCGCTTTCATCGTTTGGTCATTTAAATTAGTAACCTTTTTTAATCGATATATTTTCCCATTTTCCTCCGAGGTTCATTCCCCCCCCCCCAAAAAAAACTAGTTGACTGTAAAATTTACAATGTAACAAATTAACTGATATGAGGGAAACAAGATGTAACGAAATAATTAACTGAAAGGGACTAAGATAATTTCTTTTTCACTGTTGATCTTTTCTACTTGTTTGAGCAAGGGGCATCTTTACGTTGACAATTTCTTGACGTGCAAGAAATCGGGACAAAAATATGTTTGGCAATGGTTGTACCATCAGGAATACTTCTCTTGCGTTATTTCTTAAATGTTTTCTTGCGTATGTCTGACCGAACGCTTACCGTATTCAAAGGGCCCATATTATGCAAAGTAAGTTTTCAATGCAAACCTTGAAAAATACATCTTTGTGTCACATTTAACCTTATTTGCAAGTTTTATTTTCCGTTTTGAGGGGTGTTTGTGCCTTCTCTGTTTTTATGCTTATGCAAAGTTTCATAGGGCCTATTCATTAGAAAACCTATGATGGCATTCCAGGCATGATTAATGTGAGGGCCCTGTCACACTTCTGCGTATCCCAATTCCTTATGAGTTGCGCATTGACATTTTTTTCATACGCAGTCGTACGCACAATACGCACCTCATATGCATCTCTATCGTTTTGTGTAAGTTTTATGTACGCAGGTCGCAGGCATACGCATGGTACGGCCCAGTACGCCGGATAGTTTTGGGCATGCACACAACTACGTTGCGTACGCTGTTACGCAGGTCATAAGTTATAAATACGCAGCGCATCGGTCCCGCATCTGTCGAGCACGGTACGAGTACGCTATGTGTTCGTGGGGGATTTAGCGGTTCATACGCGGTAATACGCTGACCTCCCAGCACGCACCCCGTCAGCATATGAGCCGCCTATAATTGGACGTATACATAGCGTACTTGCAGCGCACGCTGAACGAGCTCGTAGCGAATGCCGACGTATTGCGTCAGGCGTGCGGTCGGCATAAGTCGGGTGCGTCCGGAATACGCTCAGCATGTGCACTGCATACTGACCTATTCGCAGCCCGAAAAATAATGTTGTGCACTGCATACGCAACTCATACGCATCTCATACTCAATCCGGTTCGTAAGTGACTTCGTCATACACGCGCACGCACCACTGATTACGAGCGCCCATTGGATAAACACTCAAGTTGCGTTAACTTCCGGTTCCATTGGTGCCATGCTACACCATGTACAGTAAGTTGAGATGACGTCACACTTACGAACCGGATTGATGCGCTGAATTCGTTACTTGTACGCTAGATGTGCGTCGCACATAAGTCAAAGTATTCAAAAAATTTCGACGTTTTGAGCGTACGGCTGCGTATTGAAAAATTTTGATAAGGAACTCATAAGGAATTAGGATACGCGAAAGTGTGACAGGGGCTTGACATGGCTATTTCAGCACAAAAAAGTTGCTAGAATTTTGGATATTTGGCTGTACGGTCTTTGGTGATTCTATGATGTGTCAGTACATGGCAGTAAGCACAAAATAAAAATCCTGAGAAAAATTCATTGCACATCCCCTTTAATAAAGAAAGAAAGGTATCTACGGATTGAAGACATCAAATATGATTTTAATACGCTAAGGAATACGGACACGTGTGAAGTCTTAAAGATGTGTGACAAAATGAATGATTCTTTTTGATTGGCGAATGCCGATCTGCGTGATCTTTCAATTTCAATCTGAATCGAATGAGCCAGGCGTTAAATTGAATGAAAACTTGGTGAAAGTGGCCGGGAAAACCTATATTAAATATACATGGCCTTTAAGGGCCGGTGACCATTCAGCCCTGGGTTGAAAAGGGCCCCCGGTAAGCTCGCCTACTAGCAAAAAGCCCTTTCGTACCGGACCAGCTACCGGCCCAGGAGGCTGGTCCGGTGGTAGTCTTGGCCCAAGACGCTCCACGGTGATCGATAGTGGACGATGAATAGTGCGCCCTCTAATGACACCACAATTTGACCAGCGGGCCCACACGCACTAGCCTCTTGGCCATTTCGTATCAGCGGTTTAACTTTTTCTTTAATTTCTTAATTAGTTCGATGGCTTGCCCGACGGTTGTAAACATACATGTTATACAATTGTGCACTTTAATGTGACAAAAGCATGAAACTTTGCATATTGGTTCTTCATGCCATGAAGAAAATTTTCAGATTTGGAAACATTTCATATTTGACCTCTGGTGACCTTTGAGAGGCCAATGGCCTTTACATACACTATTTATAATATAGGTTTTCCCGGCCAATTTCACCAAGTTTTCATTCAATTTAACGCCTGGCTCATTCGATTTAGACTGAAATTGAAAGATCACGCAGATCGCGATCGGCATTCGACAATCAAAAAGAATCATTCCATTTCAATATCCGAGCATTCTATCGCCTTTTAGCTTCACCCGTCCCTATCAAAGATGCATTCATATTAAAAGTATCACGATGTTCATTCAATTTCGTGATTAATATAATCACAAAAAAAAAATTATGACAGCAAAATATCCAAAATTCTAGCAACTTTTTTTGTGCTGAAATAACCGTGTAACATTAATCATGCTCGGAATGCCATCACAGGTTTTCTAATGGATATGAAACTTTGCATTAGCATAAAAACGGAAAAGGCACTAAAAACACCCCTCAAAATGGAAAATAAAACTTGCAAATAAGGTTAAATGTGTCACAAAGATGTATTTCCAAGGTTTGCATTGTAAACTTTGCATGGGCCCTGTGAATACGGTAAGTGTTCGGTCAGACATTCGCAAGCAAACGTTTAGGAAATAACGCAATAGAAGTGTTCCCGACGGTACAACCATTGCCAAACATACGTGTCCCGATGTCTTGCACGTCAGGAAATCGTCAACGTAAAAAAAACCCATTGATCAAACGTTTAAACAAGTATATAGACAAGATCAACAGTGAAAAAGAATTTCGTTGCATCTTGTTTCCCTCATATCAGTTGATTTGTAACATTGTAAATTTTACAGTCATCAATATCGATTAAAAAATCTTACTAATTTAAATGACCAAACGATGAAAGCGATTGCCCATAAACGAATAAGAAACGAAAAGCATGGTTATACGTTATAAGCGCACAGATGTTCGCTAATTTGAATGCGTCAACCGTCAAAAGGTTACAAAGACTTAATTTCAGACTGCTACAAGTCAAGTCTTAAATGCACCAAAACGAAATAGGCTGTCCGAAAACGAAAACGAACATTCACAGCACAATCTTGGCTGCCTAAAAATGAAATTGAATGAACCCCAAGTGAAAAAGAAACCCGAATTGGACCACATGTGCAAAGCTCACTCGAAATTGAATGGCTGATAATGAAACTGATTAGAAAAATTAGGAAATTCGCCGGGAAAACCTATAATTGTTCCTGAAATCACCACTTTCCTATGACCCTATGTCATAGGTCTTCAGGCCATGGAAATAATAATCAGATGTGGAAAAAAGTCAAACTTGACTTCCAGTGACCTTTCAGAGGTCAGTGACCTATATATAGTTATTTATAAGATTTACACTTTAAACCCTAACTTTTTCAAGACCCAACTCTAAAAGTTAAGTGTTCATGCTATGAAAAGCATTTTCATATGAAGTGCATTCCATATCTGACCTCTGGTGACCTTCAAGAGGTCAACGAACTTTGTATGCCCTATTTATAGATATTTATAAGATTTACTATACGAAACCCCACATGTGTATGACCTAAGTCTAAAAGTTGGCTCTTCGTGACATGAACAGAATGTTCAGATGTGTGAACACTCAAATCTGTCCCCTGGTGACCTTTAAGATGTCAATAAACTTTGCATACCCTATTTTCCGCTATTTATCATATTTAACACTCCAAATGCCACTTTTTTATGACCCAAGTCTAAATAGTTCAAAACAAGTGCATTTTAAGTGTTATTCTACAGCATGTCATGAATTCAGACCCCAAGGACAATTTTGTTATGACCTCTGATCTCCATTTCAATTTTGAAGGGCAGAGAGGGGCGCAACAGAATACAAGAGGTAAATTGAACAAGAATCACACTCTAACAGAGACCAGTGGGCTTGGTAAAAAGGTTAAAAATGTGGTGACCAAAGTCCACCTAGATACTACAGAGTGTAATAATTAAATAAGAGTGACTGTTGTTAGCCATTTGTACATATTACATTGTAAGAAAAGTCCAACAGCCTTCTGTCCCGTCGCAACATGTTGCGTCTGCCAATTGAAAAAGGGAAATGAAGGTCAGATAATTATGTCACCCCCAATTTTTTGACTGTATAAATAATAGGTGCAATACCTTTCTTTTGCAACATTTAGGCTTGGGCCACGACAAAAGACGTTTTGACGAATAAATGTGAATAATAGCGAAAAATAAGGTCATTGACCTATCAAAGGGTACCAAAAGTCAGATAATAATGATGTCTCCACATCTGGAAACTCTTTTCATGTCACAAAGAGCCAACTTGGGTCATGAAATAGTTGGGTTTTGAATAATAAATCTTATCAATATCTATAAATAGGGCATACATAGTTTATTGACCTCTTGAAGGTCACCAGAGTTCAGATATGAAATGCCCTTCACATTTGGAAAAAAAATCATAGCATGAACACCTAACATTTAGACTTGGTCTTGAAAAAGTTGGGGTTTAAAGAGTAAATCATAATAATCATAAATATATATACAAAGGTCATTGACCTCTGGAAGGTCACTAAAGGTAATTTTTTTGTGCTTTCACATCTGATCTTTATTTTCATGGCCTTCGAAGACCTATGACATAGACTTTGGTCATAGGAAAGTGGTGTTTTCAAGAACAATTGTTATAAATAGTGTATGTAAAGGTCATTGACCTCTCAAAGGTCACCAGAGGTCAAATATGAAATGTCTCCACACCTGAAAATTAAAAGTTGTATCACTCAACAGCCCCATACACGTGACGCGGTACGTAGCCAGCATCAGCGCTTATCAGCGATCGAGACTGACGGTTCAATGACTCGCCCGACGTTTTTGCATCATTATCAGCGCTCTCCGGGAATGGTGACAGTGAAATTTGTTTTCTTTCATTCCTTTACAAATAACAACTAAACACAACTACTAGCATTTGAAGCATTTGATTTTGTGGATAACCTCCTTACAGTCTTTCTCGTCCGTTTGCGATCCCGCCAAATCCGTTAGTGGGTTCATGCAGGCAAAATGATCGTAATCATCATTTTGTAGAGGCGCGGCATATGATTGGACAACGGCAACAAGAAAACGCAGCCTAGCCAGGTGAGGAGAAACACTATACACTGGTGATGAAAAACATTCTGATAGTACGCTGTAGTTTAACAGCACCAACCCTTTGAGGGGCGTGTTCTGGCTCTGGACGGCTTTGCCTCTGCGATGGGGTATTGTCTTTCGACGCAACTTTAGCTTTGGGGGATCGCAGTTACGACCAGAAGAGTTTTGGTGTGCAAAAGATACAACTTGAGCAGCAGAGTGCAAGCATCGTTTGGTTTCTTTTGGTGAGAAGTTTGTCGACGAGGCCGGCCGTGACGAGTTTAAGGTTTTCTTTCAATTGTCGGGAGTTATCTTTTTTTCAAACAATGTTGCCCAAAAATTTTGGCCGCAGAATTTTTTTGGAACATTTCATGGGGTGGGGGGGGGGGGGGGGGGGGGGCGTCATGTAGGGGCGTCAATCGCTTCTCAAAAGTGGGGGGGGGGGACATACCTATCTATAATACGTGTTCCGTGGTGTGAGCGAGCAGTGCAGTGGGTGTTAATACGCATTTTAGATTATCATTATGCGCTATGTCACGCCGGTTGTCAGCTTACTGGTCCGCGGTCGCCGGTCGAAGGGTCGTTTCTCAGTGGTCATCATGTGGATCATTCGCGACTATTTAGATTTAGATCAATGATAATTGTTTTAGAAACTCAAAATCTCAGTGGGGGGGGGGGGGGGGGTGACTGGGGGGCGACAAGGTTTCATGGGGGGCGGTCGCCCCCCCCCCCACGCCCCCGGTGGCTACGCCACTGCATATCACTAAGGTCAAGTCGTGGGACTAAAAAAAATATAATAATTCCCCCCCCCCCCTTGGGTGCGCCATCGCGCATGCCACGTGGTGCACCTTGCACTTCAGTAGTTTAGAGAAACGCGCCCTCATCGACCAACGATGACAGACGGCCCCTCATGTGTTGGTGATTTGTACGTAGGCCTACATATCGGTAAGCAAAACTCTCTTAATTTTCACCACTCCGTGTGACATTTCACGGACTTTGAACCACCCTACTGGTACCATCCTATATCAAGATATACAAATGATATATTAGTACCGAAATGTTCGTGACAGGAGAGTTCCGAATTAGAAACGAAATTTACAATAGAAATTTTTGCCACAGCCATGACAGCATGCACAACAACAGCTGTTGCAATGAGGGAGGTGTGTTTTATTCCTCCATGGTGTAGTTGAGGACACCTCCGTTCCGTTTTTTGTTATTCTTAAAAAAAGTTGTGCCGCTCAGTTTTGAGCACTTAAGGTCCCAGTCTGGGGTGTAACTATCATATTGATGAAGTAGTAAGGGAGGCGGGGGTGCTGGACTTTTGTCATAGGTCTGTGGGTAGTACAGGGCCATTAATGAGAAGTCTGGGTACCAGACTTTGTCATAGGTCTGTGGGTAGTACAGGGCCAATGGGAAATCCCCCGATCTCAAGAAAAAAAAAAAAATAAAAAAAAATCTGACGCCGGGAGAGAGAGAGAGAAAAATATCTGACGCCGGGAGAGAAAAAAAAAAAAAAAAAAAAAAAAAAAAAAATATCTGACGCCGGGAGAGAGAGAAAAAAAAAAAAATATCTGACGCCGGGAGAAAAAAAAAAAAAAATCCTGACGCCGGGAGAGAGAGAAAAAAAAATAAAAAAATCTGTCATCGCTAAAATGAGGTGATGTCACCACCACGTGACCTTGAAAAATGTGGGAGTCACCACCACGTGACCTTGAAACGTGTTGAGGCACGATAAAATTTTGGCGTAAACAACGCGACCTTGAAACGTGTTGAGGCACGAATGAGGGGAGTCTAATTATTTATAAATCTAAAAGTCTAACCTCAAAAAAAAATGAAGAAAAAATATTATATTTCCTATAATAAATGGAGGGTAATATGTTTAGACCGACCGTCAAAGGATATTCTAAATGGAACAAAGCCACACTGCGTGATTACGTGCAGCGGTATAGTATACCACACAATGAAAATGTTTCTCTTACTCGTAAAGTTTACATCGAGGGGATAAAACATTATGAAAGTCAATTTAAAAACTTGAGGAAAAAGACACTACATGAGCTCAAACAGATTGTAGACGAACACAATCTAGAATACGTACCGACGGGTTATAAAGGACGAGTTTTGAAAAAAGATTTAATCTCAACGATTAAAACATACAGACAACCCGAATACTTTACAGAGTCAGATTTTAGAGAAACGAGAAGGTTTAGAAATTACTACAGAAACTGGGAATTAAACCCCAGACTTTATAACCATGATTTAATCAAGTTTTTTGATTCGCACAAGGAACAAATAGTCAATAAAATCAAGTCTGAATTGAGAGAGCTGAGAGGTTTAAAAATGGAGCTCACAATCAAAATAAAATACGAAAAAACCAAACCGGATGGTACGATCGAAACGATCGAAGCTATTCATTATAGCAAGCAAAAAGCCGTTTTAAATCAAAGTCAAATAAAACAGGCTTTAAAAGAAGAGATCGAAGAGCTATTCAAAAAGGATGAAAGGTATACGAATCAAGGATCGGGTTGGGTTTTAAAAAGATAATGGCGTTATACATCAACATCAACAGATATAATCCAGCGAGAGGTAGTTCCTACATAGACCTACCCGAATATCTTAAAATTAAGAAGGCGATGATCAACATCAAAAACAAAGACGACGAGTGTTTGAGATGGTGTTTGAGAGCTGCTCTTGAGTTGTATACGGATAAAGTAAAAAATCAAATAAGAAATAATCATAATTATAAAATTCATAAAGAAGAACCTGTTGTATACACCAAAGACGACGGACTCAGTTTTAAAGGCGTTGACTTTCCAACACCGGTCGATCAGATACCCAAGATAGAAAGACAAAATAATTTATCGATAAACGTATACGGTTATGAGGGTGAGATATATCCATTATACGTGTCTAAAAACTACAAGGGGAAAGAGATCGATCTGCTTTTGATTTCTAAAGGTGACAAGCATCACTATTGTTGGATAAAAGATTTTACGAGGTTGATATACGACGTTACGAAACATAAATGTAAGAAATATTTTTGTCGAAGATGTCTTTGTCATTTTACCAATCAAAACAAATTAGACAAACATATCACCGATTGTAAGGGTATAGATACACATCCATCAAAGATTGTATTTCCTCTGGGTAAACCAAAATACATAGACGGGCAACCAAGTGAAGAGAGAGACGTACCGATATTAGAATTTAAAAACTATAGGCACAAACAAAAAGCACCATTTGTCATTTATGCCGACTTTGAATCTATACTACAAACAACAACATCCACAGATAAAGAGACAAATACAAAAAAGATTAACGTTCACAAAGCTAGCGGTTATTCGCTAGTTGTCGTCCGATGCGACGGTAAAAATGTATATCAAGAGACTTATAGAGGTAAAGACGCTTCAACTAGATTTATAACGACGTTGTTACAATTACAAAGCGATATTAATTGCCTATTTGAAAAACCCCAATCCATGAAATTTAACGAGCGAGCTAAAGATCATCACGATAAAACAAACACGTGTTGGATTTGCGAAAAACCAATTTATACCAATTACTCGAGCAACTGTCAGTGCCAGAAACCCAGGGAACCCAAGACGATAAAACAAATAAAAGAATATCAGTGCAAAAACAAAAAAGGATTTACCGAGTCTAAATGTCTCGACTGTAACAAGAACATTAATAAATTTAGAAAGGTGAGAGATCACTGTCACGTCACTGGTAAATATAGGGGTGCCTCACACGCTTATTGTAACCTCAAACTACAAATTAAACCCGGTTGTACACCGATACCAGTCTTTTTTCACAATTTACAAAATTACGACGCGCATTTAATCATGCAGGGAATGACAGAATATGATAGTCAAACAGAAATACAAGTGATCGCTAAAAATTCAGAAAAGTATATTTCGTTCTCGATAGGAAATCTACGATTTCTAGACTCGTTTAGTTTTATGGCATCGTCGTTGGATAAATTAGTGAAAGCTTGCCCAAAAGAGTCGTTTCAGCTACTCAAAAAGCATTTTAAACATTCTGACTTGCTATTACAAAAAGGAATTTATCCCTACGAATATATGAACTCGTTTGATAAGTTTCAAGAGACCAGCCTACCACCCATCGGCAAGTTTTACAGCAGACTAAAAGACGAACATATATCGCAACAAGACTACGACAGAGCTCAACGCGTGTGGAACGAGTTTAATATACAAAATCTAGGAGAATATCACGATTTATACGTGACCACCGATACGTTATTACTGGCAGGCGTATTTGAAAACTTTAGAAGAACGTGCATTACAAACTACGGGTTAGATCCAGCCAATTATTACACCGCACCCGGATTATCCTGGGATGCTCTATTGAAACACTCAGAAGTTAAACTCGAACTATTGCAAGACGTAGACAAACATTTATTTTTTGAAAAAGCAAAACGAGGAGGCATATCGAGCGTGGGTGGAATGAGACATCACAAAGCCAATAATCAATATCTCGATGACTACGATTCAAACAAACCCTCGAGTTATATCGCCTATCTGGATGCCAACAATCTGTACGGTTGGGCAATGAGTCAATATCTACCGTACAGCGATTTTAAATGGACACCCTCAAAACCGTTTACCGAAGAAAGAATATTAACGCTTAAGAAAACGTCCAACACCGGTTATTGCTTTGAAGTAGACCTCGATTACCCGAACAATCTACACACCAAGCATAACGATTTTCCCCTAGCACCAGAAAACATCATCATACCCCAAGAGTGGATGTCTGATTATCAAAATGACTTATTAGATACCGAACCTAGTAGCGACGTACAAAAATTAACGTGTACCCTCAATCCAAAACAAAAATACGTGTTGCACTACGTTACGTTGCAGTCATACCTCAATCTAGGTTTGAAACTAAAAAAGGTACATCGCGTGTTAAAATTTAAACAAGCGCCTTGGATGAAATCTTACATCGATAAAAACACGCAACTCCGAACCAAAGCGTCCTCTGATTTTGAGAAAGACTTTTTTAAACTGATGAATAACAGCGTGTTTGGTAAGACGATGGAAAACGTTAGAAACCGAATAGACGGTTACCTACTGAGAGACAATAACGAGAGCGATCAAGAAAAATACAAAAAAATAATTCAAAAACCGAGCTATAAAACAACAACGCCGTTTCCAGAATGTGACCTGTCGTTTGTCGAAACATATAAGACTAAAACCGTGTTAAACAAACCAATCTACTGCGGAGTGAGCATCTTAGATCTCTCAAAGACGCTGATGTACGATTTTTATTACAATCGATTGAAAGACAAGTACGGAGATCAAATCAGGTTGATGTATACTGATACGGACAGTCTGTTGATTGTCGTTTACACGGATGACATATACAAAGACATGCAATCTCACGGGCAACACTACGACTTTTCAAATTACCCAACAGATCATCCTTTGTACAATCCAACCAATAAGAAAGTGATCGGTAAATTTAAAGACGAGTTTGGAGGTAAGGTCATTCAAGAAGCCGTTTGCGTAAGACCTAAGATGTACTCGATTTTAGCGGATGACAACAACATCACTCTTAAAAAAGCCAAGGGGGTCACAAAATCGGTCACTGACAAAAAATTAAAACACCGGCACTACTACGACTGCATCTTTAACAATAAATCTAAAACAGAAACGATGACTCACATTCGATCGGAAAATCACATCCTTTACACCATATCTCAAAATAAACTATCGTTGAGTCCGTTGGATACCAAGAGGTACATTTTACCGGATGGAATAAACACACTCGCTTATGGTCACCGTAATCTAGATATTAATTAGGCGGTAATTGCGTGTCCTCGGGTACGACTTGAAGCTCTTGTCTCACAAAACTCCTTTTTGGGCCGTTTTGAAGGTAATAAAGAGTAGGGCCCGTCGTGACTTTTTTACCGTTAATCATTTTAAATT